CGTCAAGTTCAACAGCGGAATGGAATGAGCAAAACTAAAATTGCGCCTCATCCGAGAGCGCTAAGAACTGGACCCTCGATCCTGCCCGGTGCACGGCATCCAAGGAAAGGAAGTACTCCAGAAGAAGAAAAGAAAGAAACCAGTCCCGTTCATCGGGAGACAGGGGTTAGCCCAGTGGACGGGGATGGCATGCGATGCCCATAGGAACCTCAATTTCCCTTTGGTTCTATCATGAGTCTTGACTCGTGCTTGTCTTTGCGCTAGGATCTCGAAGATGATACCCAGTTTCACCAAGGCGATTGCCAGAAAAGAGTTCCAGGCCCGTCCCATGTTATTGGCCGTGCGTCTTGGCTTTGCTCCTCGAGGTTGCGATAGGCTGCGCCAAACGTCACTCGGGCCCGGTGTGGTGGAAGGGCGAGCCGGTCTCCTGGAGGAGGGGAAGGGGAGAAGGGCCCCCGGTCCCCGCCCCCAGGGATATCTCGCCGAGATCCAGTTTTTCACTCTGAGCAAACTCCCCTTCCATCCTTGATCTCTAGTTCGTCAGTCCGCAAGATTGTTCATTCCAAGTTGTCGCAGCGCCAGGTCTGCAAATGATGTGTCACTTCTAGCGTTTCCCTCTGCCCCTCCCCCGTCAAGGTCGTACCCGGCCTTTGTCGATCAGACGAGAATCACTGCCAGACGACGGCCAGATCAATCTTCTGTAAAGCCGGGGGCGGCCCTCTTGTTTGGACCCAGATTGACGGGCGGAGCTGTTTATTGTTGTGCTTGCCTCATTTCGTGGCCGGCAGATTCGGTTCACTATCAGCTCAAACGAACCTCTAATATCGACAACTCCTCTGCTCCCTGTTGCCGGGCATGGTACATAGTACTTGTGCATTGCATGAAGACAAATCCCGCGGCCCGTCCGCCGAGTTCAGAGAGATATCAACGAGAGAAGAGTCAAGACCACCAACATTTTAATGCAATGTATGGCCGTGTCCTCTTATCAAGGTGCTGACTCGCGGAGGTGCCAGACATGGGGTGAGAGACGGGGAAAGACAAGGATCAGAGAGGCTGGCAGCTTAATAAACAACAAGTCTTTGACATGGGAGGCGGGGAAGAATGGGGCGAAGGGGCAAAGGGGCCCATGGTTATCTCGGCTTGAAAGTGTGGCGATGAGCGACGTGCAGTCCACTGTGTGCTCCTCTATCAAGAAAGCAATACGACTCTTTGACGCAAAGTGAAGCCCGCGCGTGACGACCCTCGAGGTTCCATGTGAGTTCCGTTCCGGTTCATCCCCTCCCCATCGTCATCTATAGGGATACTATAGGTATGCCGAACATAATATTCTCTAGGCGGATTTGCGCCGGATGGTGGAAATCAAGCGTGGAGCACACTCGGTAGTGGAACGATCCCATCGCCCCCTGCCGCATCACTATCAAAATCTCACCTCGCCAATCAACCCTGGATCCAAGAGAAGAAGGTCGGGAAAGAGGGGGCACAGGGAAGAGGAGAAAGGGAAGACGCCTATAGGAAGAAGAGGGGAAAAGAAGGAAAAAGAAAAGGAAAGAGAAAAAGGGGACAAAAGGGAAGGGACCAGCTTCAGTGGGCCAGTGAATTCCGTTCGAGGATGCGCGCCATGCGGGCCTGATGCGATGCAATTGTATTGATTCATTTCAAATCCTCGCAGTTCGAGTGTTGTCTAATGATCCTGACTTGCTTACGTGAAATGGCCCATGTCCTACCTAAAGATAACTCGGTCGCTGATTGGACAATGGAGGGAGGCAGGAGGGGTGTTTGGGTGTGTGACATGGAAGACCCAGGGCGGAGGTTGCGGGAATCGTTGGGAAAGCGCGGTTCCACGCCCACCTTTCCCATTTCCTCCAGTCCTCCACCCCCAGTGCTCTCCCCTCCCATCGTCCCATTGCCCTTTCAGTCTTCTCGGTTGAGCGGTACATGCTGCGCTCGGCTGGGTTCTGCCTGGATGTGGCAATGGGGGACAGGGAAAGAGTAAGGTGACGGAACGTGAAGGAAGCCACAGCACCGGACAGCCGCCAGGGTGGGGTGCGTGTGATGGCCAAGCGAGGACAAGCCCCCGGCAGCACTTGGACCGCGCTTTCCCCTACATTCCTTGTAGAACTCGACGAAAATCTGCCTTCCCAAACTTGGACCTGAAGTGTTACCGCACTGCCGCCCTCGCACCTTCCTCCGACTGAACAATCCAACCCCAACCTTCCAGAACTTTTAGGGCACCTGGCCAGGCCGGTCCGAAAACCTTCGCCTCAAGCCCCCAACGCGGGGCCAAAACCAACCCAAAAGAAGAAAAAAAGAAAAAGAAAGAAAAAGAAAAAGAAAAAAATCGGAAGTGAGAGAAGAAGGAAGGCGGTACTAAGGAAGGACTTCGTTACCATTGATCTTGCTGCGGCTCTCGCTTTCATCCCACGGGCACAATTCTTTGAGGAAAGGAAAAACCAAAGACAAAGGTCGCCGTCCAAGTACCCAGCCGTGGTGCTGATCCCTCAATCCCATTGATCCTAGCATCAATGGATCCTCGAGTTTAAGCCCCCTTCCCTCGTTTGGGTTACGTTTTCCCACAATTATACCCTGTGTGCTCAGTCCTGCTTTTTTCTGGTTGCCTTTCAACATTCTTCTTCATCAATCCTGGTGGATCCCAAGCGCTGCCGCCGGCAATCAGCACGCTACCCTGTTGATCTGTCAGTTGAAGCCACCCACCAAACTGGTGTGTCCTGTTTGCATCCACAATTGATCTGTGTCTGGGCTGCCTATGCATTTGATGGATCAATCCTGTCGCCTGTATCAATCAATCCCATGACGGCGCGCAATAGAGCGGGATTGGGTAGTCGACCCCCGTACATACGCACGCACGCACGCACGCACGCACGCACGCACGCACGTACACCCCTTCTTCACGCCAGATTTTAAGACACGACTGTCGTCTCACCCGATCGGCGGCCATACGCACAAATCCCGTCCCGCCGCGTCTTGCTTTTCTCTTTTTCTTGTTCTCATCGCGGGGGTTCTATGCCTTGATAGGAGCGGAGAAGAGCGTTTCTTTTTCTTCAGTCCTTGTTTCTATCTTGGTGTCTTTTTCCCCCACCCTTTTCGTTCCGCCTTGCTACCATGTGTCATGTTCTGATATCGGCACGACTTCAATCTTGTTCCCCTTACATCTGTCAAGAGGAGCTGTCCTGATCTTGGCACATTCTGATGCTCATTTCAGAATGAAATGGGAGGGAAAGACCAAAGGGTGTATGTGGTTGGTCCATTTTAGTGCATAAATCGAATGAAGGATCCCACACCACCCGAGCTCCATGGGATGGCACATCAGCCCTACACGCCCCCAAATCCTTTCCCTTGAACTTCTCTCTTTTCTTGCTTTCCCCTCAATCTCCAACAAGTTCTTTTGTGTTGCGCTGTTTGTTTAGTGTACTCGCTCCTTAGCTCCGCCCTACACAGGGTGCTTTAGGCTAGGCCAGGACCTTTCCCTCCGCTGCTAGCCCCCAAGAGCAATGGTTATTTGGATAGCTGCCCTGCCTACTCCATCTTAGGCATCGTGGCTATCCCATTGCAGTGGAGCACGCTCCTATTAATACCCGCATCTAACACCGATGGAAGGTTGTTGCAACAAGGGTCTTTGGGCGGTATCAGTCTCGTTGGCGGGGAGTGGGAGAAAGAGAACGTTTCCCCCATGTTTTGGGCTCTTCCCTTCCGCGTTTGTTTCATCGTCTTGGAAAGCCCTTCGAGGGCTTGATTCCGTTTTTCTTTTCCTGACTGGTTATAGGTTGAAGAACGAAGAGTCCAACATGTCGGCCGGTTGTTGGAGGAAGGGGGTGTAGGGGGTGTTGCAAAGTGCGTGTGGCGTGTGGTGGGCGTGGTGGGCGTGGTGGGCGTGGTGGGTGGTCTGCGGAGTTTGCGTTGTCAACGGAAGGTCTGCATTTCACGTTTGGCCACCCCTCCCTGTCTGCATCTATCCCCGATTTTGCTCCTCGTCCCACTCCCCCGTCCCTACTCCTCTCCTACCCTGTTCGCGCGGAGAAGTGGTTCAGATACTTGGGCTCTTGCTCGGACGGGAAAGACGAGGTCCACGCGGAACACATCTTTACTTTGTTCCGCCGATACTTCAATGCACTCTATATCATGGTCCCGTGCTTCTCCGTCATCACACATGTTGCCTCAGATTCTCTACTTCTTCCCTTGTCGACCACCACCACTTCCACTTCCACCACGACGGCTCCGCCCTCACCGGCCATCCTTATTAGAGTCTTCCTCGTCCCTCCAACACTTCCCGTCCGTGGTGGCTTCCTTCTGGATCCATCTCTGCCCTGCTTTCCCATCACCGCCTCTCTCCATATATACACACGCAACGCCCGTTGATACACACCCCTTGCCTTCCCCAGTCGTCATGACTAGCGGCCTGTGAACGGATTCCTTCGGCTCCCTGCTTGGCTCTTGACCGCGTGCCTCATACCCCCGCCCTTCCTCCACTTCTGACATCCAACTCATAGCAGCATATATTCGCCCTCTCCGCCCTAGACATGTCATTCTCTCCTTCTTTCAGCGCTCGCAACACCCACTCATCCTCCCAGCGGACTACCCCGTCACGAGACTCCACCATGCAGTCCCAGGCCTCGTCGCCGGGCTCGTCCACCGGTGCTCCACCTGCTCGGGCCAATCGTGCATGTGAAAATGTACCCGCGCTAAGAAGAAGTGCGACAAGGGCCTCCCTTCGTGCTCGCGGTGCACCAGGTAAGCCTCACCACCTCTCCTAGTGCACAAGTAGAGAAAAGGAAAATGTCTCGGGTAGTCGCGAGCGGCGTCTAAATGGGGGTGATTGGTCGATCCTTGTCTTTCTGGAGGGAGGCCTCTCTCCCTTCGTGAAACGCGCTGCCGCTTAGAGACGACTCTGAGAGGCTGGAACTCTTTTCTTCTTCTTCACCTTCTTCCTGTGGGTGTACAGTCACTAACTCTTGGTTCCCTCCATCCATTTGGAGGGGTGGCCCATGCTCTACAGACTGGTTACGAGATGCGTTTATGACTACACTCTCATACCCCCTACGTTGAGTATCGCTGGCGATCAGGCTCCAGACGCATCGTATGCCAACGGGTCCAGCACCGATCTGTCCCGCTTCAACCTTCTCGACCCTACTAGCCGAGTGACGGCGGAGCAGATTCATGTCCTCTTGGCCGCCCACGGGGTCGGCTGGCGGGATATCGTGACGGACTACTTCCAGACCACACACAAGTGGCTTGCCCTGGTCCAGACTGAGTGCTTCGACAGCAAGCTCGATGCACACTCCGCCGCCATTTTCCAGGACGCCCCGGTCGTTCCCGCACCAGACGCCGCCGACTCTCCCTCTGGATTGGCTCTGAGCGATAGCGGCGTCGACAAGGCCGATGCGGCGGAGCTGGCCACCGTCTTTGCCTGCATGTACCTTTGCACGCAGTGGGCGGAAACCACGACTAACGTCTCCGGCGCCTCCACATCCATGCTAACAAAAGATTTATATGTTGCCGTCAAGAGGGCTTTTGCACTCCTCAAGGCGACAGCGTCACCTAGCGTCGAGCTCATTCAGTGCGGCTTGTTGCTGTCCATCTACGAGCACGGCCACGGTGATACGAGGAGGGGATACGCCACCCTCTCTGAGGCTGTGGCCATGTCTCGCATGCTAGGTATCGGCCCCGGCGAGTACGAACAGATTGCCGACGAGCTGCCCATCAGCCCCCGAGGAGCAGCTGAGAGTCCTGTACTGGGCTATGTTTGTCTGGGATAAGTGCGTTGTTCCCTTCTCTTCCCTCCTTCTTCCCGTGCTCTCGCCGTTTTAGGTGCAGCCTCACTAACCTAGGCTCTATTTTGGGGAGAATATAGACTCTCTCACTTTGACCGCGCCACGATGGATCTCCCGATCCTTCTACCAACGCCATCCTCGTCAGCCCTACTGCCGCTCGACAACTACCTCTCGGGCAACATTTTAAATCCCGACCAGGTCCACCGAGTGCCCATGCGCGCACCCCTCTCAGCGCCCGTGTCCACAACGCCCCTTGGAGACTTTCAGCGTTCCTGTCAAGCCGCGGCCCTTGTCGCGCGCGCTCTCGAGTGGAGGGCCGCCAGCGAGAGTGAGCGCTCAGACGCCCCCGTATCGGCCGCGTTTGGCGCCTTGGACCTGGAGGCGAGGGAAATGGTTGAAGTCATGTTGATGCAGGAGTGCCGGGCACCTTGCAGCGATGCCATCTCCATGTGTCTGACGTAAGTCGTCCCTTTACAGGAAACCTGTATTTTCTTTTTCTTTTTCCAAACGTTGACTGACGTCCATCACCGCCGCATAGACTCCTTATCCTCCTCTCGTCCACCGTCTTGGAATCTTCGAGCCTCTCCCTCACCTCTCCCGACATTACCCTAAAGGCCTTGTCCACCCTCAACTTTTCCACCCGCCTCATCATTGATGCCTATTCGAGCCTGGCCGTCGGCTCGCCGGTACCTCACCCGACCAGTGCGCCCCAGCCGCTTCATGCTCAGTCGCGAGCTTCGGTTTTGAGGTTCCCTCTCCCGTCCGCCGTCCATGCCGTGCACGGAGCGATGCTTGCGGCGGACGCTTTACCCCTGTGGGCGAGGGCGACGTTGCCATTCTTCGTGGCGTAATGGGGACATTGGGTCGTCGTTGGGGCCTTGCGCGCCGGATGAGATAGGCTATATATCCTCTCTCGAGACCCAATCTGGAGCTACACATCTGCAGAGCCTGCCCATTTTCAACCCCGGGCTGGCTCGCACTCACGGATTCGTCTTTACGTTATCCTCTCTCAAGTCCTTGTTTTCCTTTCACCTTCTCCATGCCGTTGGAGGTATGTGGGTGGTTCTCGCGGTCTCAACACTTTGTGCTTTTCCTTGTCTTCTTATGTCTTCCTTTTCTTTTTCTCTTTTTCCTTTTTTATTCTTTATTTCCCTTTCTTTTGAGCGAACGCATGCGCCCGAAAATAGACAGCGCGGAGTTCTGGATGGAACAGTAGGAACACGGAGGAATCTTGGGTATACGGAGAAGCAAAGCTTCAGAGCGGGCTTCTTTCTTTTTCTTGGCGTTTTCGGGAGTGTTCTTCTTCTTAGGCTGGGTTTATTCTTAACCCAAGGGAATCGGCGTTTTCCAAGAAATTCTTACAAAGAATTGATCAATTGATATTTTCCCCCTCTCCATCCATGTCTTGGATCTGACTGCCTTTTCGAAGTCCCTTTTTGCATGAGAATGCCCCAACAAGTAGCATATCAAATCGGAGAGCGGGAACTCTGGGAGGTGTGCTGGATTTCCCAGGTTTTTTTCCTCTGCTGACCGGTTTGGGATGTAATGTACATGCAAGGAAGATCAATCGGGACGATTGCAGACCAGGGCTTACGTGGGGGACATAGATCCTCCCCTTTACGATCCAGAAACGGAGAAAACGGAGCCGGATCGCGGCAGAGGGGACCCAAATTCTCTTTCCCGAATGCGCGAGGAGGGACCGGGAGGCGACTGTCCCCGGGGGTCGGGGGTCGAAACCGGAGGGAGGTCGGCCGGGGTGTCGCGGAATCGGGGGCCGTCGGAAACCTTGTCCACTGCCTCTTTTGGTAAAACGGAGTCATGTAGAATGGATGTATTGAGATCCTTTGTATAGAGATTAGCGTTTATCAAGGGAAGAAATGCGCTTCCAACATCTTACTTGGTTTTTTTTTTTTTTTCCCAAAAACCAGCGTGATCTGTATGCATGCACCTGTGCTCCGTTTAGTTCCACGCAGACCCTTTTGAACCACCGCCCTTCACTTCGCTTTTTCTGTTTCATTAAACGTCTTTTCCTGCTCGTTCGGCATCTCTCTGGGGCCATCGCATTCTTAAAATCTACCTCGGCTCACTCCACGGAAGAGCAAGCTTCAGAATAGTGGCCCAATCTCCCAACGAACTACCGCCACGGGCCAAAAACACCTCCAGACTTCGCTTTCAACTCTGGCCGCCCGTAAACATAAAAGGCTAAAGGGCATCATGGTCATTTAATCTACCTTTGTCTTCTATTTCTTTCCACCTTTCCACCACCCTAGACTGTTGGCAAAACAAGCGCAAGGTCTTCTTCAAACCGGGGTATCCAAAACCTCTACCTTCCTAAGCGATAGCGAGGTCAAAAGACGGACCTTGGCCTCTCTCTCATCTCTCCGGACGTCTACTTAGTCCCCGCCAGCCTTGATCATGTAGGCCCCTTTCCTCCTATATATAGGTATATATACAAATGAACAAAACAGGACAAAGTAAAGAAAACAAAGTAAAAACAGCAAAAGAATGAGGCAAAAGAAACCTTATCCGAATCCCAACTTGTTCCATGGCGCCTCGATGTAATGCGCCGGATATGCAGTATAAAAGAGGAAGAAAGAAGACTTATCAAGGCAGCAAAGAATTAATGCTGCTGCGTCTGTTGATAGACTATGAGGTCGACTACGGGCCCTAGAAGAGCCTGTCTGGACATTCTGTTAGGCGTCGGGGCATATTAGTTATGGCGCCCGACTTCCGTTCCGTATATATGTATAATATACACAATATGTGCGTGTGGTGTGTGTTGAAATAGGTTTAGATCTGTGGTGAGGCGAGTGAGGAGCCTTAGTAAAGGCCAAGTCCTAGAGGCCTTCAAAAGCCCTCCATGACGAGGACCAAAAGCATTGAATTGAGGGTAAAAGCGCCATGCCGCTAGTCCAGACGACCGCGTGGTGCCAAAGGCTTAGCGAGTCCCGTCGACAAAGGTGCATTCCTAGCGCCGCACAGGCTGCAAACATGCTAGCAATCACGCCAAGCGCGGCCCCAGCGTCGACCTCGAGTCTGTTGCGATGACGCCCCGTGAAGAGCAGGGTGCCGGCAATGGCCATGATTATGAACGAGGTGGCGAAGCTACCTGTAGTACCCCAGAACATGACGTTTTCACGATAGCGTCGAAGGGACTGCTCGTTGATGGATGGGAATGTAGCGTGATGAACGAGGTAGCCCTCGGTGGGGTAATTGTTGTCCTCACGAGATGTGAGGTCGTCATCCCCATCCGACACCGAGGTTGTTCCCTGGGAAGATGTCATCGTGTTATACCCTGCTGGTACCACAGGCGCCGTCACCGGAGGAAGAAGGAGAGATTGGCGTTCGGGTGACTCAACCACAGCCGCCGCTCCCTCGGTAGGCTGCTTCTTGCCCATGGCCCATGACTTGGCTTTGGTGAACGGGGCGGACAACGCAGCTTGAACATAGCTCAAGCCAGGGACATCAGCTCCCCTTTCAGGATCGACGTAAAGGGTGTATGTATCCTCGGTTCCCTCATTATCGCTGCCATGATCATATTCATTCCAATATAGCATTTGCGGGGTGGCAGGGGTTTGAACGATTCCTGGGCCGTCCTATTCCCAGTACTGCTCCCCGCAGAAGCCGGGGGCTCAGGCTCAAGGGTGGATTCTGGGGAGGTAGGTTCACTGGTGATCTGGGGCAGCGAGGTGCGGAGGACCGCCCGGGTTTCGTCATAGCGGGACCGTAGGTGCGAAAAGTCGCGCCGAGTAAATGATTTGGGGTCCGAAAGTACGTGCTCACGGAAACGTTGGCCCAAGGCAGCAGAACCCGTCCATTTCTATACGTTGAACGCTGTTAGCCCGCATGCAACAGAAGCAAGGGCGACCAGGAAAAGCTCGTGCGGCTTCCGCATATGAAGGAAATGATGGCTGGCAATTGGGGGAAGAAAGCGCCACGCGGGGCAAACCATACCTTGTATTTCTTGAGGATCTTGCGGAACGCTTCTGTCTGGGCTGCTACGAAGCGGGTGAGAGCCTGGGCATCGTCACCGCATTGCAGAATATCTTGCTGGTACTTGATAAGACGACGCTGGCGCTTGAGGGACATGGGGGCGGTCGTGCGGGCGCATTTCGAGGCTAAGCGGTCTATGGAATCGGCGAGGTAGTCTGGAAAGGGGAAGATGGGTCCAACAGTTAGCCATTGCGGGTTTTCAACGAAGCGATCGGAGAGACGGAGAGAATGGGAGAAAGAGAGGGAGAAAGGCGGGGAAAAGAGGAAGCAAGGAGAGCACGGCAAGGAGGGAAAGAGCACAAGAGCCTACCTAGTCTGTAGGAGAGTTCTGACGCCTTGCTCGCAACAAACAAGTTGACCCGGTCGTGTTGCGCCACCAGCTCATCGAAGAATGTGCTTTCAAAACGCTCCAGCGCCATGTCCTTCTGGCCGGGAATGACCATGGCGCGGGCCTGGTCCCGGCTTGTATGTGTCTTTATTTCATATTTGAGCGAGTTATAATCGACATTGTCTGTGCATGTGTCTCACGAGTTAGTCCAAAAATTCCAACTGTCATCGCACATGTCCGCGACACATGTGGCAGTTCCGCCCCAGCCAGATCCAGGCGGCCACTGTCTCGCGCAGAGGGCTTCAACGTACGTATACCCCATTCTAGGACGGATTCTTGCTCGAGGCGTTGGCCGAATTTCATGGGGAAGGGCTATGACGAAGCTCGTCGTCGGCGCGTGGTTTTGTGCGTGTTCGTATCGTGGGTCCGTTCCGCGGCGGGTAGACGAGGAAAACGTCGCAAGGGTAGCTTTTGTCGAGTTGATGAGAGAAAATAAGAGCGGTTTTTGACTCGCTCCGGCACCGAATCGACAATTTTCTTCTCGAATTGGGGTTTAGGACAAGCGATACGGTCGGGAAGGGTGGTCGTGGCGAGATTGGAGGTGGGAGGCGGAAGGTGGGAGGCCTGTATAGGCGTGGAGGGGAGGAGGCTGAGTCAAGGTTGAAGCGATAAAGCAAGTGACGATGTGGCTGGCCCGGCTTTCGGGACAGTGCGCTTTGCGGTCAATTCGTCGATCCAAAGCTGGGAGAATGATTGCGAAGGGGTCAAAGGAAGGAAGAAAGATAAACGGGCAAAAAAGATAGCCTGGGATTGGGGGAAAGGGGAAAAGATATGGAGATACGGCCAGAGAACAATGAAGGGGGGTGGTTCCTATCAAGGAGTCGGCAGGTGCATGGAGATAAAATGGTCGGTGGTTGAAGAACAAAGTGGGTGGAAGAAAATGCTAGTTGGATTGGGTTAAAAAGGCCGGAAGGTCCCAACTGCGGACGGAAGTCCTGGCGCAGCGACAAACCCCAAAAGATTACGATGTGGGCCTTGCAGCAGGAGGGGCAGCGGGAAAGTGCGATAGGTGGGAGTGGGAGGTACCTCGTTCCGCACCCCAAAGCCCAAAGCACGGCAAGAGAGGGAGGCTCAGAGGGCTTCGGCTCAGAAGACGCGGGTTTCTACAGGCGAGCCCGAGTCCATGCAAGAGCGAGTTGACGCATGCAAGTTTGTCGTTGATAAGCCTGACATCAATCTTCCGTTATCCTTTCTCCTGCTTCTTCCGTATCCACCTCGACTTCCTTCCGTTAACTATCTCTATCGACTTCAATGTTTCTTTTTTCTCCTATCGTATTGATCTATTATTTTCTGTCCTCTCCTTCTGACCCTTTTGCGCTCGTTTACCTTTTTGTGATTTTTGAAGAAGCGTCACGGCTCCTGTGCTCCAGCTGTTTCCGGTTTTTCTGTCAGGAGATACCAAGGCATTCTGGACCCACTTCCTTTGCGTCGCCAGGCTCGATGATGTCGAGCGTTACATCAATCCACCTGTTGCGTTGGTGATAACCAGGGGGACCAGGGTTAGCAACGAATGCGCTAGCGTGTACATCCCATGTGCGACTGATGCTGAAAAGAGGTGCAGGACAAAGTTGCAAGAATAGGCGCGGCCACCATTGTGGGGGAGTGGGTGGTGGAATCGCTCACTGCTCCCTTTTTTCCTTCTTCCTCGCTGCCATTGACCGATGGATGAATCAATTGGTTGCTCACTGGTATGATACAGACCTCCATCACGACGCCACCATGTCTTGCCACCACACTGTGATCCGAACAGCTGGTGGCCATGAAGATCTACGCTGGGAGTCGAGCTGTCGAGAGACTGCTCCGACACAGTTCGTTGGTCCGTTTCGTTCATGACACATTATTAGCTCGAACACGCATCTTTTTCCCCATCATTTTCTTTTCTTACAGAAACGGCTGTTCTTCGTTATACAGCATCCAAGTACCTTGCATCCTGCAATACTGAACCGAAAAATTGCCCCCATCCACCAGCCCAACTCCATCTTCTCGCGTGCTGCCCTTTCTGCATCACCATTTTTTCTTCTTCAAAGAGCGTGTCTAGTTTCAACTCCGTTTTGCTGCTTATCCACTCTGCCCCCACACCTTGCCTTTCTCTTGTCTCCAGGCCCAGTCTCGAGGCTCAGAATTGGTGGAGCAAGCCGTGATACCAATACATCCATTCTCAAAAGTCTAGACCCAGGAGACCCAGCTCACCCGATCGAACCTTTTCTTCCCCACTCTTCAGTTTCGTATGGAGTCCATGTAGTGTTTTTCTGGGTTTCTTTTCTTGTGCTCCCTTCTCACATTCACACTAGTTCCTGGACTAGATGGGGTGCAAACCACGCGAATTCATTCCCACTCGCGGCCAAATCGCTGGCACAGCCTCAGTGTAGCTTACAAAGTGTCGATGGGTCAATGTTTTGGAGCTGAAGCTAATGCCCACACGCTATGGAGCCCCACCTGATCCATCAAGCCATTGATCCTGCTGAGGGTATCTGATGGGGATGTGGATGGCGACAATGTTTGACAGAAAAAATGCCCGAGACGGATAGCAGCTATTCTTCTTGCGGTGACTTTTGTTGGTGGTACACTAAAGGTGAAGCACGCCTTTTTCGCGCCAGTGGAGGTAATCCCGACCTCCGCAAGACACCTTTCCTCCCCCTTCGCAAGACTCACTCACGATCCATGACTAGACGATCTTTGATGAAGAAGTTTTTCAAGCCAGCGTCAATCAACTCTACACTTCAAATATCCAATGGGTTTCCCGTTTGCTCGTGCATCGAGTAGTGCCTTGTATATCACTCGGGGTTTGTTTCCATGGCTCTTTTTCTCTCTCTCTTTTCCAATCCTCTATTCCATTCTCAGTCTAGGCCTGCCTTTTGCAGATAACTATCTACAGCAAAGATAAAATAAATTAAAGTGAGGTGGAATACCAGTAGAGTATGTGAGCACGTGCTCGAAGTGCATCTTTTGAGTAGGTGATGAGAAGGGGGGCCCAGGATCTAACCTAAGCCGTTAGCCGGGAATGGCATTAAATGTGGGTAACATATCGGAACCTCTGCTATCACGTCCCGCACGCCCGTACGCCCGCACAGCCAACCAATATTGAAGACGGTGCAACGGGGAGGGGTATCCCATGATTTTCCTCTCGATTAGAGCCGGGTAGAGTTTGGGCGGAACATTGAACCAACAAACCAGCCCGAGGAGCGTGGCGGGGGACGGACGAGAGTGCCAAACCGAATGCTTTAGAAACCAAAAAAAAAAAAAAAAAAAAGAAGAAAAAAAGAAAAAAAGAGCATCTCCCCACACAAAAAGAAAAACCAATAGTCCCAAGCTTGTATATGATTTCCCGACTGTCTACCTGTACTAGGTGTAAGCCTGTTTCGGATGCGTCAAAGATGAACATCCGTACCTAGTGTAGGGCGGAGGTCGACCGACCTCAGTGGGCGACGGGACCCCAGAAGTCAATGTCACCGAGCCCGGACGTGGTGGGTTACGGCGGGGTTTCCGTGAGTGGGGAGGATCAAGTAATAAAACGTTGGTTGGACGGACCAGCCACCCATTCAAACCCCCTGTCTCGCACTCGTCAATATGTACGCATCTGCAGCCTGCAGCAATAGCAACGCCGCCAGAGCTTAGAGTGGGGAAACCCCGTTGATCGTTTTGATTCAAGGGGAAATACGTCAGGCTCCCCCAGAGCCAGATTTCTTCAAACTAAACTCTTCAAACCGTTGGTTCACGGAGATTTGGGCAAACTGGAACATGGGCCCCGTCGTCGTGGAATTATAGCACCGGGCCCGCAGGCCAAGCGAGGGGTTCTCCTCGCGGACGATGTCGACGGGCTGGATGGTGGCATATGTGGACCACTCGTCCCCGGGAACACCTCGACGATGCCGCGGGCAAGACGTCCGTTGGTGAATATGTAGAGGTAGCATACGCGCGCGGAGCCCACCATGCGATAGAGGAATGGACGTCTAGGTATTTTTCGCCGTCCGCCGCGCACTGGATCGGCTGCATGAGGCGGAGGTCGGACCAGCCGACGCCGCTGGTGACGAGCATGGTGTAGGCGTTGCCTACGTCGGTTTCCTGGATCTCGGAGACGGGTGCGTTGGATCCTTCGACGGTCCAGCCGGCGAGACCGTTGCTGAAATCGCCGTTGACGAGGGCGCTGCAGTCCGGTCCGTTGGGGGAGGATGTTTGAGTGGGTGAGCTGGATGGCTCGAGGGTTGTGGATGACGGCTGCTGCTGCTCTGTTACGGTAGAAGGGTCGGTTAATCTTTGGGTGGGGGAGGATGTTTGAGTTGGGGAGCTGGATGGCTCGTGGGCTGTGGAGGATGGCTCTGTTACAGTAGAAGGGTCGGCTAGGCTTTGGGTGGGGAGGATGTTTGAGTTGGGGAGCTGGATAGCTCTTGGGCTGTGGATGACGGCTTCTGCTCTGTTACAGTAGAAGGGTCGGCTAATTTTTGAGTAGGAGAGAATGTTTGAGTTGGGGAGCTGGATAGCTCTTGGGCTGTGGATGACGGCTTCTGCTCTGTTACAGTAGAAGGGTCGGCTAATTTTTGAGTAGGAGAGAATGTTTGAGTTGGGGAGCTGGATGGCTCGCTCGCTGTGGATGACGGCTGCTCTATTACGGTAGAAGGGTCGGCTAATTTTTGGGTGGGAGAGGATATGAGTTCAAGGATTGTGCTGGTCGGGTCGTCTATGGAGGCTGGCGGCTCGCTCGCTGTGGATGACGGCTGCTCTGTTCTGGTAGAAGGGTCAGCTAATCTTTGGGTGGGGAGGATATGGGTTCAAGGATTGTGCTGGTCGGGTTGTCCGTAGAGGTTGGTGGCTCGCTTGCTGTAAAGGAGGAGGGCGCAGCGATCGTGGTTGATGTTAATGGCGGAGATATTATCGGGCTCGACGGCGATATAGCACCGAGTGAAGAGCTAGACAGTACAGGTATTGACGAGCTGAATGGTGGTGCATCGACGGGAGAGCTTGACGATGATGGAGCTATTATGAATATTGTCGAACTGGATGGTTCTACGCTTGCACTGGGTACATGTACATGTAACCCCGTCCCATTGGTATACAGAGGACTGTTTGTCGGAATAATTGACGGCGAGATCGCACTGGGTGGGTCTGCCGTTGTCACCACAAACGGCTCCTTCGTCGAGGCCAAAGACCCTTCCATTGCATCCACCGATTTATTAGCGGATGTGGCAGACAGCTCGTTTCTCGAGGTTGCCAGCTTATCGATTTCGTCAGAGGATCCTGATGTTTGTCTCGGGTCTGGCTGAATACTGGAGTCGAAAATCGCATCCACAGACGTATCGGGGGCCTGGATAATGCTACTTGTAATAGAATGCGTCGTTTCGCTCGGCTCCTGCTGCAAGCTGGACTGAAAACCTGCATCCACAGACGTATCGGGGGCCTGGATAATGCTACTTGTAGTAGAATGCGCCGTTTCGCTCGGCTCTTGCTGTAAGCTGGACTGAAAACCCGCATCCACAGATGTATCGGGGGCCTGGATGATGCTACTTGTAGTAGAATGCGCTGTTTCGCTCGGCTCTTGCTGTAAGCTGGACTGAAAGCCCGCATCCGCAGATGTATCAGGGGCCTGAATAATGCTAATTGTAATGCTACTTGTAGTAGAATGCGTCGTTTCGCTCAGTTCTTGCTGTAAGCTGGACTGAAAACCCACATCCACAGATGTATCAAGGGCCTGGATAATGCTAACTGTAATACTACTTGTAGTAGAATGCGTCGTTTCGCTCAGTTCTTGCTGCAAGCTGGACTGAAAACCCGCGTCGACAGACGTGCCAGGTACCTGAACAATGGTCGTCCCTTTTGAGAGGAGCTCGCTGCAATTGCGCTAGGCTGGTCTGATACCGTCGTTGCTGCTGCTGCAGGTGCGCTTCCACCACCCAAAGAGGCAATTTCACTCTTCCTCAACGTCAAGCCGCTGATTGGCTGCGAGGTAGACGGTTCCCGCCTCGTCGCGGTGCTAAAGCCAGAGCCAACTGCCGCTTGCGTCCTGGTTAGTATTTCCTTGGACGACTGACTCGGAGCGTCCTCTTTTTCATCTTGCCCATCGTCGTGTCCCTGTTCGCCGTCGCCCTTCGTATCATCTTCTTCATCCACGTTGCAATATCCGTGTCGATGACCGTGACCATCCCAATGGCCGGGCCCGTGCCACCTGCTACCACCGCCCCGTACCAGGCGTTGCAGGTATTATGATGCTTGTTGTTCTTGCGGATGCCGTGGCGGTACCAGTCGTCGCTGCCGTCGATGCCGTACCTCCAGTCCACGTCCGGACCGACAAAAACCAAGGTGGGGAGAAAGTGCCATCCTTCCCATACGGGGACTTGTTTTTCGGAGTGGGGGCGGTCACCCGTGAACTTGTCCAGGTAGACGATTCGACGGGAACCCGTCTTCACCACTGGGCGCCCCTTATTTCCTCCTGCGACACCTAGCGGGAACAATACGTCTTCATCCGTAGCTAGGGCCCTGGGTGCTTGGTGCACCGGGCAAATGTGTTCCAAGACCTGGGCCCAGCCCTCGATGGTCGGCGCAACGGTGACTAAGACGGTAAAGGTTAGAGTGTCGAAGGTCGGGGTGAGAGGTGGGCTGGGCGCTGAAGTGCACTCCGCGGGGCCACCGGCGGGGAGCCGGCAGCCGTAAGCCGCAGCCAGAGGAAGAGAGGAAATATTAGGGTTATAGACATTATTAGTTGGCTGAGGGGCGTTTAGGCAGGCTAAGAGGGGCGATCGGGACTTAGGGGGGAGAATGACGCATCTCCTTATTTATGATGGGTACTCGTAGTTTAGGGTTTGTTTATTATGGTTTACATTGTAGGTTGGGCTATTCCTAGAGATCGTTGTCCACGGCCAAGCTCGAGAGAAATGGAGATATCTATGGATCTGTATCTCGGTGTGTGTTCGTCTTCCGCTAGTGCTTCAGGTTCCAGCTTGGAAGAGGCATGATGGGGGAACAAGAGCCACTATTCTTCCACGCATGTAGACAATAGGACCTCTAGGAGCACGATGCATTACTGGTGTCTGGGACATCTCAAGATAGAAATTAAATTTGGCCAACATATGTGTGCTGTTGCTCAATTGTGAAGAAGAGACAGTCTTGGTTGGTTGAAAAACAGGTCCCGTTTTCTGATCCAGGCGGAGAGACGGCTGTTGAGGATTCCCGCCGTCCAAAATCTGCATTGTTTTATTAGCAGTTCGTTTCTTGATGAACCAAGTGTTGTTCCATGTAGACTTCAATCCATGTTGGAAAGCCGGGACTCGGCCCTGACCGCTTTCAAAGGCGGGTTCTTGCCGAATCATGGAGGATCAATGCTCGCTGCACTGTGAATGTTTTACACCTCTTTACCAAAGAATTCCGCTCATTGTTCGCTCGCCATACTATACTCGTTTTCTTGTTTTTTCTCCACGTTCCTCTCTTCTGCAGACGAAGCCCTTTTGCAAAAACGGAGCAAGACAAACAGAGGAAACGTGGAATGGGAATGGGAATTGGGACGGACGGGGCGGACGGGGCATGGCCTGCCTCGGTGTCCCCACTTCTCTTGTAACCTTGGGACAGGGCCCCCTGGTCCCCTTTGCTTGCCGACTCCTTCTCAAGATGCGTTGCTCTCAATTTTTTTTTCCTGGGTCGGGAAATTCGAGCGAACAAGAGCTGCGATAGTCGACCTTGTGCTCTGATATGGCTCTCTGATTGGCTCGATCAAGTCTTGTCGAAAGGGAGGGGTGATCTGCATGGCTTGGGAAGCGCTAGTGCGAAACGGGCCAAAGTGCGGTTTTCCTTCGGTTTCTTCTATTCTTTCAAGCCCCCCGGCCGTGATTTTTGACGTTTGGCTTCAAGCTGGGACCGTGACACACGGACCGACCACCGGTTGGAGCTTCCCTCTGGCTCTTCTCTTATTAGAAATCTTTTTCTTTTTAGGTTAGGAGAGGCACTTGTCTTCTTCATCCGCATACTTTGACGGAGTACCGAGGAATCGAGGAATTAGAAGTGGGCTCTCCTTCGTACTCTCCCCTCTATACCTCTACAGGGACTTGTACAGACACTCCACTCGCCAGTCAGCAAGCGAGCTTTACCCATCTTGATCCTCATCGTGAATTGCCTCCCGTTTCTTTGTCTCCATGTAGACCAAGGTGGGGCTTCACACCCACACAAAAAAAAGAAATCTTCACCCGAGTGAACATGTCGAGCCACCTCAACCGCACGCGGGGCCAGCTATACCCACTCTCGTGGTGCTCCGGTCTTGAAATGACCAGATCTCGACATGAGACGTCCAGAGTGGAAACGAGCTGGCGCAGCACTGCCAAGACATCCAGGGCAATGCCAAGAGATATAAGGAAAACTACTTTAGACTCTTCTCATGTTATCTAGCCGATGCGACCACGTGTAGGCGGGCTTATGAACATTGGATCATGCTCCCAACATCAGCCCTGGACAGGTGGACATTTCCGTCGTGCTTTCCATGTCCTTGTCCCCTCCCCTTTGCCGCTGTGTCAAAGTAGTTTTGATGGCGGCTCATCTTGGGCCGGGAGGCGGAAGATACATTTGGGGATGGATACGAATGATGTTGCTACTATTACTATCCGAGCGATCTATTCGACGGACCGTTGCAATCTGGATTGCAGCAAAAGCGGCAACGGCGCCCGGAGGCGGGAAGTCATGCTTCGTAGGAAAGAACCGTCCTGACAACCTTGGGCAGGCGATAAAATGACAAGAGAAAACCGGCAGAGGCTTGAAGAAGTCGGTTGGGTGGTTTGTGTGTTCTCGGTACTTTTCCAGCGATGAAGAGTTGAAAGCGTGGGCGTACGATGGCCGTTCACTGGCTGAATAAGGTGCACAAAGTCTTCGAGTCGTCTTTGCAGCAGCTTATGCAGGAAGTGTGGGGGCGTGGTGCATACAGCATAGATTTGAAGTACAAGTATACGGTGGTGCCTCAGACTTTCTCGAGGCCATGGAACGGGGAGGGGAAAAGCGCCGACGTTTCCACATGCTGTGGACACTTTTCTTTGCACCATTTTAGCATCGGGAGGGGGACGGAGTTTCCTAGTCGATATCTCCAGGGGTGCTATAGTGTGGTGGAGCCCCAAAGAGTTAGGGAGAGAGAGAGAGAGGTGGGGCAGTGGGGCGCCCGGTCCGGGTGGCCCCGGCTTAGGTCCATCTGCGCGATACAACCGGTCGAGCCAACCAAAAGGATATCAGGGTTCGTATACGAGCGCTGATGAGCCTAATTGATCACCCATGCTTGCCTCTGGAGTACATGATGTTGCAGAATGTTTGTTGACGAGCATGGATGCCGACGGACTGGCGATCGACGCAGAACTGTCGAGTCTCCCGCACACACACACACCAATATACCAACGCAAAGGTCTCACGATCACTTTCCATAACCGGAGATCAGTGGGGAAAGCAAGAGGAAGGGAGGGTGGCACTGGGAGAGTTGACCTACATCGAGACGGGGACAGTTGGGGGTCAACTGCGGGAAGGGGGCGGGTGTAGTCAAATTGGGGGAGGCACGAAAAGACCAACGGCCAAGAAGAGTTGCACCCAGAAAGCTCAACTCCAAACATTGAAGCTCAGCTAAGCCATGATCTTCACGACCTAACCCCCTCCCAACCGACTTCTCGTCTTTCGCAGCGAGAGCCTACGAGCTCACGTGCGTGTTCTCGAAAAGGGCCACGCGCCTCATTGCAGATTTGGCATCTTCCTTTTCTATGCAGCATCACCAACTTTTAGCGCAACCGTCTGTTGTAGACGGTTTTCCGGTTCGTGAACTCTGCAAGCTCACATGTCGTACATCTCTCACCGCCTTGGGCGAACCAAAGTATTCAGCTCCCAATTTATTATTTGGAAGAGGCGGCCATCAATAGATCCGTGTTGTTCATGCACTGTTACCCATAGCTTCTGGATGGTTGAAGATCGTCGTCTTCGGACATACAGCCGCCGGGGAGCGCTTTGCGAAGACTAAGCTCAGGTTCGCGATAGTGTCTCGGATGTCCTGCGCGCTCAGGCCGCCGTTGTCATCCCTATCGTGACGATGAGCAAATGTAGGCGAGATGATGATTTGCATTCACGACCCTCAGGGTCAGGCGATGCAAGGAAAGAGAGTAAAAGGCTAGAGGTGGATTCTTGGTCTTCCTGACACACATTCGCATTGAGGTTCGCCAACGCCCGTTTTCCCAGTCGGGGCTAAAATACTGTGCATCCTCCATGTGCGTCCCCCATGTGCGTCCGAGCAACTGGTGCTTTCAAAGGTCTTTGTGGGGATCACGCTTCCTCTCGATTCAATGGGGTGCCAAAAGTCGATGGAATATTTTCTGGCCCCTCGTGCTGACGCTGATCGAATGGGCCTACATCAATTATGCGCGAGTGTCAATGACATGTACACGATTACAAAGTATGACTGATTGGTCAATGGAGTCTCTTGCCGTTGTCTCCCCCGGCTCTTATCCCATGTCATTTCCTGCCCCACTCCAACCCCCTCGTCGGTGCGGTGCGTGCGGGAAGCAACGAACCTCGACAACTGTGGCATACGAGCACGTGGGCTCTTTCTGGCCAGGACAGGACGACAACGGAATGCACGGCTTGTTGGTTCTCATCCGTCACCACGAAAAAAGAGCCAAACCCTGCACGATGCCAGCCAGCCGGACCCATTCTGCGCTTAAGCATGGGGTAATTTCATTGATTTCTTTCATTTTCGGTATGATTATTATGTCTCGCAAGGTTTGTCCTGCAACCGATGCACCAGCCGACGCACATTAGGGATAGGGTGGCGGCAACCGAGTTGGCTTCAAACAAAGTGTTCCCCTCCATTGACAAAGGATCGGTTCGTTCCAGACTGAAAAGAACCGAGACTCGAGAGGCCGAGAATAGGAACTGTGTGGAGATGGGGAGCCCGCGGCCTATCGACCGTTTCACCGGCGTGGGTACGAATCCTGCCGACGTGGGAGCGCATATCCTTTCGTCACCTTCGTGGCGAGTCGGGAAACCCTGGACATTTAATTCTGGCATGACTCGCAGAAAGGGATCCATTGAAGGTGAAAATGTAAGTATCAGCAGAAAAAGAGAGCACAGGGGATATTCTTCTTGAGAGACGGGCAATGAGAGACGAAGGGCGGGGCGGGAACAGACGATGGTGATGAGACTGCGGTGGCAGCGGGCTTACGGCACATCCCTAGTCCTCTTTAGATGAGGACAGTAGACCAAAAACATCTGTTGATGCTATTTTAGAATCCAGGGAGCTGATGGTAAAATCTTGCTCTCACTCTCCGTCGACTCAGTCAACCCCCACTCTTCTCTCCGGCGGAGAATCCCACAAGGCTGCAACGGAATGTACGCAAGGCGGAGACATGGAAAGTGGAAAGTGGAAAGTGGACACAAGATCACTTTCCTTTTTCTCTCTTCAGTCTGTTTTCTCCTCATCCTAGCCGCCCACTCTCATTCCGCTTCTCCATCGTTCGGATTTTCGGGTATGGGCCGCGGCCACGACCGATCATCACAATCCGCGGAATAAAGAGGATTCGGAGAGTCAAGAGTATGCAAGCTTTCGGGTCGATAATCTAGATCCATCTAATGCCCCATAGCCATTGTCAATATTGTTGACCGAAGGCCGAAAACAGTATCGGGCCGTGGCCACCAGTGGCAACACGGGGTCTTCATCGACCACCTTCCGACTCAACCACCAAATGGTGAACAGGCTGATTCGATATTTTCCTCCCCTCTGCTACCCTCTTTTTTCCTTCTTTTTTCCTCTTCATCGTTCGAGATCCCCACCTGAGATGCTCACTCCGACGGAGGCCGCGGCCTTTCGACGACGTCCCTGTGGCCCCTTTTTCTGCGGAGCTCACACATAGACCCTGAAGGCCCCATTCTGGTGGGGAAAGCGGACCTCGAAACAGCCCTGCCTTTCCCCTTCGTGCGGGGCCTGAGTGACGAAGATTCCGGGACTAGAGAGACTATGAGAGCAAAAGTGCTCGTTTACTCAACTAACAGCCTGACTAGTGACGCGTCTGGTTGTTCTCGAATAAAAGGGCATAGTAGTGAAGTAGGTAGAGGAGCAACGCTACTGCGCGGGACCGGGAGAAGAAAAGAAAATGCCCCTCAAATATTTATGAAAAGGACATTATGGAAGCACATCGAGATGGGGCTCTGTGGATACCTTTCGTCAGTTACGGCGAGTCGCAACGTGTCATGCCGGGCGCTGCCCCTGCCCCTGGCGAAGCGCGAAAGGTGCGTCAAGGCGCAATTAAACTCTCGAGAGCGGAGATTCTGGAGTCCCTGTCCGTGTCGGGAAAGAGATCATGAGACCTTTTTTCAAGCACATGCAGACTCTGCATAGTACTGAGCTGACTGGTCGAGATGTGATAAATTTGGGCGTGCGACAAAGGGCCGAGGACCCGGAGCAACGCATATCCTGGAGGTTACCATCACATTCGCCGCATACCGCGGATTGGGTTTTCGCAACCGCTTCTAGGTTGATGGAAAGCGTGGGGTCAATCTGTCGTGAGCAGTTGGTGGCTGGCCAGAACTCTGCTCCTTGACGGGATGCCGAGCATGGAAGTTGCCGCTCGGGTCAAGATGCCTACCCTCACAGGGTACGTACGCATGCATACGCTACAGTCAAGTTCTCTTTCATACTGAGGTAGTCCCCACGTCAATCCCGCCTCTCTTAAACTTTGGCAGGGGGACTGGAGAGGGCGTGCTGGGACCGTGGCGTTGCGAATTTCAGCCAGCACCCTGGACACTTGACGTGACACCGTGCAATAGGTGTGGGGGACCACCAAGCACCCCTAACCCGCCACACCAACACCGTTTCAAGCAAACCTTTTCCTGAACCAACTTTGCTCTTGCTTGGTTGGCCCCCGCACCAGCTTGTCTCGACTACACAGATGATCGTCGCAATATCCGATCTGGGTTTTCCTGACCCAACCTGGGGTAATGGAATGTCATCCAGTGCCTCCTCGGGGAGAATGTCGAGAGCTAGGTGTGGGTTGGGTTTGGCGGTCCCTGCCACAGAAGAAAGCCAGTTGGTATTGTAAACTATTTCAGCTTAGCTTGGGTCAATTCCCAAACGTTCAGGTTTCTTAGCTATGTTGCGAGCCGCGAACTGTGGGGGACGCAAGTCAACGTTTTTGCCCAAATGCGCTGCGAACATGCACGAGTCGCAGGGCCGGAAAGAGAATCCGTTTCGGTTGGAAAGCTCGGCTCATCGTCACTTTCCGCTCCTCTTGCCTCATCGCGATGCGGCCGCGGCAGCCCGAGGATACAGGGAGGCGAGACGAGGGGCCTTCCGAAATTAATGAAGGGAGGAGAAGAAAAAGATTACTCAACACGCAAAGAAAGAGGCCCGGCCGCTTGTTGAGGAAGGTCCTGCCTCGTCTTGAACCCACGGGGTGGCGAACGAGTGTGGGGGTTTTCTTGCTCTCTTTGTTCTTGTTCTTTTTCTCCCTTCCTTTCGTCTTTTTATATCATGCAGCTTATATCAGAGCCGCCCTGGGTTGTGTTTGGGGATTTAAGAGTTGCACCGGAACCGCATTCCGTGCATATTGCCGTTGCACGGGATGTGATACGAGGGAAAAACGCTGCATGCGAGGGAGGGGTGGAATGCGGGTAAGGGTCTCTCTCATTTCTGTAACGAAGGGGCTGGGTTATTTTTTTCTCTCTTCTTCTCTCTTCTTTTCTTTATTAAATTATTGGATTCTTGTCACTTCTCATTTTCTTCTTGTCGCCCTTCTCGTGGGGTTCCTTAATGGTTGGAATAATTGCCTCGTTAAGAAAACGAGGGATGGAGTTATTACAGAGTTCATCCCGTCTGGCTTCTCCTCCTACATTTGTCTTTTGTCTTTCCTTCCTCTTCTTCTCTCGACACCGCCTCCTCGACCAATAGCCATTCGCATATTGGCTCGAGGACTATGCCGTTCATTCTGAGGCATACATGGCAGGCCTGCGCGGGTATGCGTTGACGTGCGGAGAGCATCACGCGAAGGATCACATCACACCTCGACGCCGCATATGTAGCCATCTGTCCGCGTCCCGCCCTTGTTGGCGTTTGGAATGCCCTTGCCTGCAGTATTTGGGGGCCAGGAAAGAAGCAATTTAGCAGCACGGACTCTTGCACCTGGCTCATCCCCCGAGCGGGTGATGTTACGAGGTCGCGCCTCTCATTGGCTCCGTGCATCGGAAGGCCCAGACCGTGGCCGAGGACCAAGAGGTCGGATGGGCCACGGCACGCCGAAACGAGGGAGGCCAATGGGCGGACCTACCATGGCTCGATATCAGCCTCCGATGAGGCCACTGAGGCGGAGGGGGAGGGACGGCCTCCCGGGCCTTCCCTTGTGGGCCGAGCTCGGAAGATCCCTTGACGGGAATGGGCTTTTATACAAGACGGGACCCCGCCCCAAACCAGGCCATTATGGTTTCGTTTCCCGAAGATTTTTCGCTTCGATGAAAAGACACCAAATGATTTTGTGAAATCTATTGGATTAGGCTGGTTTTGCCACCCTATGGACTGCTTTGGCCATGCGCAGAATGTCGGATGACTTCTTGCCAGATCTGACTCATTACAAGGGACCAAAATTCAACATGTGGTCTAAGCTTGAGACAAGCCAAGATCAATACACTGATGCCCGTGGGACACGGGAGATCCTCTTGCCTCCCCACACGCAGCCGTCTCCATAGTGACCTCTTGAAGGTGGAACTGCTGAAAAGAAAGAAAGAAGACGCATGAATGGGGCTGGAAGAAGACAGTAATGGAAGCAATGTTTGCCAATCAAAAAGGCAACGAAATTCCTTTGGAGAAAAATGCCCCCGAGAGAAACGAACTGTGGGGTAGCCGCAATATAAACAATCATGCTGGTGCCCCAGTGATGATATAGATGGTCGAGGTCCAGTATAGGTTTGGGAGGATGGCAGTGTCCTGGGATTGGTCCGAGGCCCGTTTCCAGCCTGGATTACGTGGGCACTTGGGCCAGTCACTGACCTTGGCTTGAATTTCGGCAACGGACGACGTTGAACCTAGCAACGCGGCGGCTCCGGTGCAAGTGCGAAACGAAACGAAGAAGGGCAATAATCGAGGGTGTATAACTCGCAGGATCCCTTACGGGGATTTCCTCGAGAGAGTTAATCATTTATTCTTTTTCAAAAACAGATACCATTTATTTCTTCATGATTTTCATGAGCAAATCCTCCATTGTGATCATCCACGAATCTCACTTCTGTCAGCGAAATAGCGAGACAGCCGGCTGCCATTTGAAACCAGCTGTTTCTAATCAATTTAAGCCGAGAGTCAACCCCGCTATATCACGGCAAATTCCGTGCCTTGGTCACCCCTCCTCCTCTCCAGCTCATCCCCAAACTCACCAACGACCATAACCTATTAAGCAAACGCAAAGAGAACCTTTTGCTTTCGTTCGATTGCTTATACCTCTTCTTTTTTACGACCCTTCCCCCTTCTTTTCTCCCCTCCCCTCGATTGGGGTAACGAAGTGCGACATCTCCACCAGCCGTACCTTGTACGAAAGCGCGCTATCTCCACAAGACACGCAACAAACACGCCGAGAACACCGAGAACAAACGTTTTGACGTTTTTACTCCCGATACGTGCCCGAAGAACGGCTATAGAAACCGACTTTCTATACTTAATCACCGCCCTGCTGTCTTTCAGACCTCACAGCTCTCCCCAAAATTGGCTGCGCGTCAGAACCGATTCCATCTAGGAGTTACCCGGGCGCTTTGAAGAATAATCGGCACGGACTGACGCACTCAAATTCTGCATCCTCCCCGCCTTTTGGACCGAACCCCTTACAGCACGAACCCTCGAAACGGCCTCCCTTTACTCAATTCTCTCCTTTTGTTCGCGCCTTTGTAGAATAACGCCCAAGACACCACAATAATGAATCCTCATCAGAAGAACAAGGTCGACGTCAAGGTTAGTAGGCTATCAATCTGTCTCTGCACTCGTTCCTGTTTGCTCCTCAAGGTTGCGTGGATAACCCCGCTCGGGAAGCCACATTCCAGCAGCACCACCTGATCTGATCTTAAACCCCTTGTCACGTATCATGAGATCCACGTATCCCCCAAAAACCTGCCTCCTAAGCGGCTCAACAATTTCATTCTGGACACAGGCCGTCTTGAATCCCTGTAAAAGACGGATGAGCTAACTCGTCGCTTGTGTCATCTTATTAGTCTCTGTCCCCCGAAGAGCAGCGTCTTTTCCGCCTCTACGGCAAGCTCCCCTCTCGCTCCGACCACTTCGCCAAGCACCTCAAGGACCGCAAGTACTTCGACTCGGGTGATTACGCCCTCTCCAAGGCGGGCAAGGCTGACTCGGTTGACACCGGCTCGGTCGGCTCCGAGCACCCGGTTCCCGAGAACATCCCCCACCTCACCAGCCCTATCCACGGCGGCGCTTCGGGCACTACTGGCCACCACCTTAAGCATGCCGGTACCCCCATGGTGTCCAGGCCGGTTCTCCTGTCAAGGAGAGCAGCTTCCTGAACCGGGAGACGACGGCCGAAGACGTGCAGGCTGGCGAGGAGGAGAAGGAGAACAAGGCGGTACCTGGTGGTGCTGTCAAGTCTCTCCCCGTTAGGCGGTGATTGAGAGGACGAGGAGATGGTGGAACTGTTGGTAATATAGCAAGAGTGAGGGCGTGAACGCCGCAGCCTCTCTCGATCGATGAGATCGAGAAAGAAGATAAGAGGATTTGTATGTGGCGGGTGAAAGGCCCAAGTTGATACCTTGAAGGCTTCGAACTACAACGGACCTTTTTTATTTTTTTCTTGTCGGATTAAACGGTTTGGGAGTGGTGGTAGACGCCTAGTCTTTAGGAGTCACCGCCACGGCCTTGTTTCCTACATTGTTCTTATTTCGTGCTTGGCTTTTCTTAGGAGCCGCGCGGTCGCCGGCTTCCATTTATGAGATTGCTGCCGCTTTCTCGTCTTTCCTCCGCGCTCGGGAGGCGTATTGACGAGAACCTTGATGAGAATTTGCGGTATTCCTGGCCTTTTTCTGCTTTCTATGTTGTCGGCGTTATATGGTAATGAGAGGGATATTCACGCGGGAATGAAGAGAAAAAAAAGGAACATGAAATGAACCCCCACCTCTCTGCTCGACGCTCTCCTTGCATCTTTCCGCCCCTCGAGGTGACATTGTAAACCCTGCTTACTCGGTCTATAGAACATGTGTGCTTTCTGAATTTACTCACGGCTGCCGGAAAGACGTATATTTAGTCCTCGTGGGGACCGTCGTCTGCATCAACTCGCCATGCGTCCGTACGCAGTTCCTCTTGGTCCCCTGCGACTAAGGTCCTCCCTATTACGTGGGTCATCTCCTCATCCAGGGCCTCTCCATTCTCGGCGTTAGAGTTGGCTTAAATGTGTATATGCATGGTATTTTTGTTTCTGTTTTTCCTCCCTTCCCATATGGTACCTAATGACGCCGTGAACTCCCAACTCATGAATAATTTTTGTTCCCCGACCCTCCCCATTTCAACTTCCCCTGGTTTCCAGGTCATGACATCCGTATGGGAATCTGTTCTACGATCTCACTCGACATACCCGTCAAGAAAAGAGAAAAAGAAACCAAGATAATGCACGGGCCTTTGAAGGAATAGCAACAAGCAAGATACAACGGGAGAAAAGAAAAAGGCTCAAAGGCTCAAGGCTCAAAGCTCGAGAGCCTTGGCAGCCATGGCCTTGGCACCCTCGAGGGTCTTGTGGCCGCCAATAAAGCCAGCGGCGTGGACGAAGACGCCTCCGGGGATGTTGGTGATACCATCGAGCTCCTCGTCCCGGAAGCCCCTCCAGGCGGCGGGTAGGGCCTTCCTGCTCTCGAAGGAGTCCTTGGAGGAGGGCACGGCCTGGACACGCCACTTGGCGCCGGGGACGGGCTTCTCCGGGTAGATGACGTAGACAACCTCGCTGGCGCCGCCCGACTCCTTCTCGAGGGAGTAAAGGTGATCCTTCCAGGGCGCGGACGGCCCTTCGAAGACGAGGACGCGGCCCTGAGGGTCGTGGGCGGCGCGACCTTCAAAAGCGCGCTGGACGACCTCGCGGGCGGGGAGCCAAGCGCGGACGTAGTAGTCGAGGTCGCGCTCAAACTCCTCGCCGATGCGACGGCTGGCGACGGAGAACTTTTCGTCCTCCTGGCGCTGAGCCTCGGCGGGGTCCTCGGGGATGGGATCGTTCCAGTTGGGGTTGAGGCGGCCGACCATGGCGCCGAGGGAGAAGCCGCCGTCGGAGAAGCGCTTGGACAGGCCCGCGGCGGAGATGGCGGCGGGGTCGTAGGCGGAGATGCCGTTATCGTGGGCGTCGAGGGCCTCGACAAAGGATTCGTAGAGCTTGCGCCAGAGGAGCTCGACTTCGGGGCCGTCTTCCTCCTCGGCCCCTCCGTCGTCGTCGTCGTCGTCGTCTTGCTGGCGGTTAGGCGGCGGCGCACGACTTCTTTGCCAAAGTGGAGGAAGACGAGGCCGGCGGAGGAGAGCTTGGTAGGACGACCGGGAAATGTGGTGGTAAAGCCGCGCTGGTGGTGGTCGAAGCGGTTGCGGGCGGCGTCGTACTCGCCGCCGACGTCGACGACGGTGTGGCACTCGGCGAGGAGGGCGGGGTCGCGGGTGCGGACGAGGGAGGACTCGGCGTAGGCGGGGAGGAGGCGGAGGATGTGGACGGCGAGGGCCTCGTCGGCGTGGAAGTGGCCGTTGTGGGTGCCGATGATGGGGGTGGGCTTGAGGCGTTTGGAAGCGGATTCGGCCATTTTGAAGATGCGGAACATGCAAAGGCGGTAATGGAGAAAAGAAAAGGGGAAAGGAGGGGTGAGGGGGTTTAAGGATGGAGGAGGGTTCCGAGGAGGGGTTGTAGAGGGAGGGGGCGTAAAGAGTAGCTCGGAGGTTGAATTCTCTTCTTTTTTTCTTTTTAGGTGGAGGGGCAGAGCTACTTCGTTTGTGGTGGGAGAGGTTGGGGTTGCAAAGTTACCTGTAAAGCTTACATGCAGCATATATCCAGGCTCTTGGTTGGCCGGGGAGCTTTGTTGAGAATAGCGGGCAACCTGATTGCCCAGAGCCCGTCACGTGGAGGGAAGCTTGAATTGATGCAGAGTCCATCAACTGGGAGGACTGGGTCGTCAATGTGATGATGTACAGCGACTAAACTCTGCCGTTGGCGACGTTCCTGCCAAAAATGACATCCATACCTTCCTGCATCCCTCTTGAAGCCAATTGAGACATCACCAATGACAAAACTCCTCGCCAAGGATTCCTCTTCCTGGCATGCCCTGCTTTTAGAGTTCATAAACGATCATCAAGTCACATCAGCGGATAATACCGCGCAGTGAGATAAACGGACGTGGAAATGACCCACGAGTCCATATTTTAGGCCCTTGCCTTGGCGTTATTATGGTTTGAAGTGAAGGAGGGGCGGAAGTCGCCAGTGTGTTGGTCCATTGTACCTTCTAGATCAGAGAATGGGGCTTCACTTGTTTCTCACGATAATCGGGCATCATGTCCTGCACCATTATCATATTTTACTCACTCGATCAAGTGCCTAGCAAGGATTGACCTAGTTTGTGAGGCAAGATTTCGTGATAGAGAGGCAGAAGCTATTTGAATACCTCCGTCCTTTACGCCTTGTTGTTTTGGTCAATTCTTGATCAACGATCAGTGCTCCTCATTCAAACCTTACTGAATGCCCTTAGTGTGGTTGTGAGACAAGCAAGCCAATGATTACACAAGCCGGGCGGATCCGATCAATCGATGGATTCGCTGGTGCTGGTGTTCCTGGTCGGATACACTCGTGTGCTTATCTAATCACAAGACGCCCGGAATCGCAGGCACGTCCCATCTGGAAAAGCGCGGGAGCTTCAGAGGAAGCCGCGACGTTGACACTCTCCCATCGGATTTTTGCGTCGAACCATTTCCAACGCCCAATTCCTCGACTCGACGGAACCCTTCATCCCATCCTCTCGTCACTCCCCGGGCCCTTTTTCTGCCGGTTTCTAATCCATCAAGCGATTCCTGGATAAGAAATCCATCAATTCCACAACCCATTTCTTTTTCCGAACCTAAGCGGTGCTGCTTCGAGCCACGCATCCACGCAAGCATCCATCAACCTCCTCCCCTGGGAGCCGGGCCGCGCCCCTTCTCCCCTCCCCTTTTCGTCACAATGGACGAGGATACCCCAATAAAATCACGCTCGAAGCGCAACGATGACGCCCATTCCTCCCCATCGACCCCGACCCGGGCGACGACCCCGGCTGACGACACCATCCACGTCGACGAGGACCACGTCGCCGTCGACGAGAAGCCCAGCCGCACAAATGGCACGAAGACCAAGGTGAAGAAGGAAGTCAATGACCGCGAGGAAGAGGAAATTGCCAACGACGAGGCGGCAGCCGGAGCGGCGGATAGCGATGAGTCGCGACCCAAGTATCGCTCGTGGAAGAAGAAGTGGCGGAAGCTGAGGGTGACGTTTGATCACAAGATGCAAGAGGCCGAGGTTTTGTGGTTGAGGGAGCAGAAGGCGAAGGCGACCATCAAGAGGATTGCTATCGAGAATGAGTATGACCTTCCCAGTCTTCACCCCCTGCGATTCTAGACGCCCTCTTCGCGAGGGAATGGAAACAGTGACGGACAAACGTGAAACCTTCGCTCAGTGTACCGGATCTTTTCTAACGTGCTCTTCTTTTTTTCTCTCGCTATAGTCGTCTCCTCGATCTCCTCACAGACATAAACGAGTGTCCTCAGGTACCCTTTGAGAAGCGCTTCGCCGGCGCCTCCCTATCCTACGACGCCCCCGAACCCTCCAGCCTCCTTAAAACTCTCGAGTCCCTCGAATCTGAAGTCCCTCACCTTTCCTTTGAGCAAGCGAAGGAGGCCTTCCCTGATGCTCTGCAGGACATCACCCCCGCTCCCGGCGAGGACGAGCCCGCCCCTTTCCTAACGGTCGACGAGATCGAAAACTACGTCCACGAGATCGACCTCCGCCTAGACCTCCCCAAGCTCAAGACCCTCGCCCCTGCAGCCAAGGAGGGCGCGGCTCCTGCCTTCTCCACCCTCTCCTCTTCCTCCACCCGCGACTTCTTGATCAAGTACCCTCACAGCGCATACAACTGGCTCAAGGCCAACGCCCCCACGTCTTCCTCCAAGGTAGCGAGTCTGCCGCCCCCGCCCACGACGACGACGACCACCCGGCTGCCGGCTCGGCTAGCGCTCGAAAGAAGGGCGCCAAGGGCGACCGATCCTCCAAGACAGCCAAGGCTAAGCGCCAAAGCAAGGTCGCTGACCGCGACCGCGACCGGTCCTCCCACCGCGGCGACCAGGCTGCCGACGTGTCCATGGGCGAGGACGACGAGTATGCCACCCCTGCTGCCGCCAAAAAGCGGAAGCGAGGCGGTGATGATGACGGCGGGTACCGGCCCAAGGGCGGCTCGAGCAGCCGCCCGGCCAAGAAGAAGCGCAAGAGCGACGTCGAGGGCACGCCGTTGGCCAATAAGAAGAGAAAGTCTGTGCCTGTCGAAGAGTAATGAAGAAGAAGAGAAAAGAAAAGAAGAAGAGAGACGTTTTTTTGCATCTAGGGCGGGTTTGGGCGGATGCGGTGCGGCAAAGGAGCCGCGAGCTGCATCCTCCTCTTTTTGTCATGAATGGGTCGTATGTGCTATAGGGATGGGTCTGCTCACGGGTCTATGGGTCTTGTTTTTTTGCTTGTTCTTTGTTTTTCCTTTCTTCTTTTCCAAAATCCTTTTTCCTTGTATTACAGAAGAATTCCAGGGAACCGGCGTTCCGCGCGTCTCCTTTCGTCTCTACCTATTTATACTGTAAAGCCACCTCCTTATTTTTTTCCCCCAAACTCATCTCCCAGGCCAGCACGTCTGGAAGCTCGTCCACGCCTTCCCCTCTGACCTGTCGTCGTGACATTGCCTCTCCCGGGGGACAAGCGGTACTGAAACCAGTCACAGGGGAACGGGATATACATATCTATACCTCTGGCTAGGCACTTGAGCTCGTGCAACGCGATGTCGACACGCCAAGTTCAGGCGTTTCTTACCCATATAACATTAATCATCCACACAGCCCCTCTGTACAATGGATTCATGAGCATAATGTATTTTGGTGGAAATGTATACCTCACACAGTTGAGCGGCTTTGAACCCGAACACAGCGCGATACTTCAGACAGAGGCATTTTCTTTCTTCGTTGATTCGTTTCTTTTATTTCTCCAATGTCCACTCCTAGGTTGAATACAAAAAGGTTGCCATCTACAAGGGCCTAGAACCCCTGGCGAAGAGTCTTCTCAAGGAGGATGCCACAAGACGTCTTCCGAGCTGTCCAGCTCTCAGTTTGATGGCTTCAGCCACTCTAAAACTCTCTATCCCAGAAACTGGCTTTGAAAGATGTGTACGTGCCCCATATCCCAAAAGATGATGAGTGATTCAAGTTTGAAAAGGTCAGAAGAAAGAGATCCAACATAAAAAAAAAGCTATGAACAATTATCCAACTCCCCCATGTGGAAGAAAACGATTTTGAAAAAAAAAAAATGCTTGCGATGCTATGTGCACGCCAACCCTCCACTCCCCGCTTTCGGACCGGCGCACCCTTCGGTTAAGCGCGGTACGTTGCGTCTCCCAGGCCAAGCAATAAAGATTGTTTGTCCACCACGGACAAAAGAGATAGCAGACATCCAAGAGAGACTATTAGCAGAACATTGTCTCAAGTTCTCTTGCCTTTCTTAAATGTGAGCGTTCCCCATTAGTGGGAGCGCGGCCGTGCTGGAGCAAAGAGCGGGGCACGGGTCCTTTCAAACCCGCCGCTTATCCGCGTTTCCTCCAAGCCCACTACCTCATTAGGCCATGGACTGCCGAGCACGGGAAAGAAGAAAAATGGCCCCGCCATTTAGAGCTTGGAAATGGTGGACTTGAGCCTCTTCTCGACGGCATCGAGGTACTCGTTGGTGGTGACGTAGTCGCTCCTGGCTTTCTTGCCGCAAGCGAGGGCAAGATCCTTGGTCATGATACCGTCAATGTCGACGGTGTCAATGCAGGCAGCCTCGAGCTTCTCGGCGAACTGGACGAGCTCAGGGTGCCGTCGAGCTGGCCACGCTGGATGAGACCACGGGTCCAGGCGAAGATGGAGGCAATGGGGTTGGTCGAGGTCTCGTTGCCCTTCTGGTGCTCGCGGTAGTGACGAGTGACGGTGCCGTGGGCGGCCTCGGACTCAAAGGACTTGCCGTCAGGGGTGATGAGGACCGAGGTCATGAGACCGAGGGAGCCGAAGCCCTGGGCGACGATGTCGGACTGAACATCACCGTCGTAGTCTAGAGGAGAGAGAAAAAGTATCCATGTTAGCGAGTTGGGCAACTAGATGACAGATACCATCCAAAGAGAACTAGTGGGGCCTGTAGGTTGGAAAGGTTCTGAGGGACGTGGACTCACTCTTGAGGGCCATAATGTAGCCACCGGAGCTCTTGATCATCTGGGCGACCATGTCGTCAATGAGACGGTGCTCGTACCAGATACCCTTGGCCTCGAAGTCCTTCTTGTAGGTGGTGTCGTAGATCTCCTGGAAGATGTCCTTGAAGCGACCATCGTACTTCTTAAGAATGGTGTTCTTGGTGCTCATGTAGAGAGGGAGGCTCTTCTGGATGGCGAGCTTGAAGGAAGCGTGGGCAAAGCCGGTGATAGACTCATCCGTGTTGTACTGAGTCTGGGCAACGCCACCACCGTTCTTGAACTCGAAGACCTCAATCTCCTGGGGCTCACCACCGGTGGGGTGTAGACCATCTTGAGGGTGCCGGGGCCGGGAGCGACAATGTCCTTGGCGCGGTACTGGTCACCAAAGGCATGACGACCGATGATGATGGGCTTCTCCCAGCCGGGTACGAGGCGGGGACACGGGGATGACAATGGGCTCACGGAAGACGGTTCCGCCGAGAGCGTTTCGGATGGTGCCGTTGGGCGAGAGCCACACTAAATTGCGAAGGAACACATGTAAGTTACCTGAAGAAACAATGCAAAAAAGCGAAAAGGGGAGAGGAAAGGGAGGACAAGGAGAGACGTACTCTGCTTAAGGTTGAACTCCTTGACACGGGCCTCATCGGGGTGATGGTGGCGCACTTGACACCGACCGAGTACTTCTTGATGGCCTCGGCGGCATCAATGGTGACCTGGTCGTTGGTCTCGTCGCGGTACTCGAGGCCGAGATCGTAGTACTTGAGGTCGATGTCGAGGTAGGGGAGGATGAACTTGTCCTTGATGTTTTGCCAGATGATGCGGGTCATCTCGTCGCCATCGAGCTCGACGACGGGGTTCTTGACCTTGATCTTCTGAATGGTCGCCATGGTTCGTCGTCCGTAAAGGTAGTTCTTGGTAAATCGGTTGTTGGATGTGTAAAAGTGAGCGGCGGCGAGAGGAGAGGTGGTGGTTCGGAAAGCAACAGGAGTGACACAAACACCGGCAGGCCGGGCAATAATACGGAGAGGGTTCATGGCGGGCGGGCTATGTTATAAGAGGTCGTTGACCCTCCGAGCGGCTCTTAGTTGCTTTGTAAAATAGGGAATACCGGCGTATCGGGTAACGCCTATTGCTTTTTTCTCTTGAGACCCGAGGTTAGTGAGGATGATTCCACCCAATGAATGGCCAGGGCATGTAACACCGAGCTCGGGAATATGTGGACGAAGGGGTGGTGGGTGGTGGCGGCGGATAAGGGAGGGGCAAAAGACTGGCAGACAGGGGGAAGAATGAGGGAGTGGAGGGAAGGAGGGGTCCAGGTCAATGAGGAAGGAGAAGGATGGAGTGGGGAAGGGGAGAAAAAGAGAGGGAAAAAAAAAAAAAAAAAGGCCAGTCTCTCCGTGGCGACTAGACTTCGGAGGACGCGGCGGCAAGTGTTCTTGTGTAGGTGGCTTGCGGCAGATCAGGAAGGCGCGCTCGATCTTCGACCCGAACGCAAATGCACCAGCCTCGAGCTAGTGCAACGCGGGCAAAGAAAAAGCCAGGCGACGCTGCCCGGTCCAGCCACAATCCACGCTCCAGCAAACACTCTTTTGTCTCGGCCCCCTCGCTACGACTTCGCACGCTATCGGTGCTATGGTGTGCCGATGCGGGGACGGGGGTCGCGCAGGCAAATGAGGAGGGACATTTTGCGATTACACACTAGATAGAGACGTCTGCCTTGCTTGGACGGCCATCTTGGTGGAGCCGACAACGACTTTGCGTTGAGGCCTTTGACAGCGAGTGGAGTCTCTAGTCCGCAAGCTGCTGCACCAGTTTGCTTCGCGCATTCGCACAAAGAGGGGAAATGAGCCAAGATGGCAAGATGGCCGTCGAAAGAGGGGAGGGTGGGGGAGTTTGATGATCAAAATGGGACAAGATGAGGAGAATTCAAGCAGTTGTGAGAGAATAAACACTGCAGAGACGCGATGGGCAAGGCCATCAAAAAGTGGGAAAACGTGGGCATCAGTGAGCCAGCCTATCCACGACCAATACATACCTTGTTTGAGGGTCAAAATCTTTTAGATGCACTTCTCCAACGGGGACGTTGCGGGTGCGGACAAGGCGAATCTGGAGGTGTTGGGAAATGAGTGGGAGAAAAATTCGGTTTCTCCAAAGGACGTCAGAGTGGTCCAGTTTCTCCGAGAAAGATTGCCGGGGATCGTAGTGCTAGGAAAAATACGTAATGAGCCCAGCCAAAAGTCGGAAAGAGGTTTTAGGATTGAGGGTCAGGGAGCCCAATCGCGGCGGCCTGGTAAGGGATATATACCGAGAGGCCTTACCACGTAGCTTGTTGACTCGGTCTCCGAGCACCAGGGGAAAATCTTATAAATTGCGTCCGTCCCGCATTCCGCATCCCGCTCTCGGTGGGTTGGCTGGTGGGTTGCTAATATTTTGGTCCCCCTTACCTATTGGTGCCCTTTTGCCCTTCTGCGGATGACTTTGTTCTTTTTGGGGCCTGACCGATCCCAGACCGTTGCAATAGGCCCGTCTGCTCCGGGGCCTGTACAGCCAGTATGAGTCGTGCGCCGATGTCCGGACGCATTCCACTGTTGACAAGGGACAACAATGGTTGAATTTTTCTTTCTCTGTTGTGGTCCATGCTTCCTCGCACGGCAATCGGACGTAGGTTGTTCGGATTTACTTGAAGCATCCGTGATAATAAAAAGAGGAAGAAAACCCCCATGGAGATCTTGATCTGAAGCCAACACCAAGCTAGCCGTGAACCGTGAAGAAGGAGGGTCCATGGATTTGTGCTTGACTGAAACCAGTCCCCAAGGCTGGCCCTGTTCCCCAGATGGGTAACTCCTTCTCGCAATTCGAAAGGCCGATCAGACCGAAAGCTACCATCAGTGCACCACCCAAACGCGACACACCTACTTCGTACATCCACCTCCACCACCTCCACCACCTCCACACCCACGCATTACACAGACGCACACCACCCACCTCATAATACCGCAGTGACAGATCCTGCCGTGTTCCAGATGCAGCCTCTCGGCATCTCAATCTCCCCTTCCCCCTCTTTCCTCCTCACGCCTCCGTGCTTCTTTCCCTCAATGAAATTGCACCGTAGCTCTCGACTCGCGCCAATATGGTCACGCGAGTCAATCCTCACTTGAGGGACTCGAATATTCGGAAGGTAAACCCGAGGGACACAACAGATGGTGGCGTGCAGCATGCCGCTAGAACGGGTCCGAAGTGAGACAAGACTTCCCAAAGTACAAAATGACTGTTCGGCCGTACCTCTTTAGTCCAACCTTCTTTTTGTCTTCGATATTCCTTCCCATCAATTGAATCCATCGGTGTCTAAGGCTACACCGATATGGCCTAGCCTTAAGCAGGAAAGAGGGCCTAGCAATCCTCGATGACCTCACAGCTCTCTTTCGGTGCGCCAACAGACGCGGGATTTGGCTGTGAGGATAAGAGCACTGCACTGGCCATTGCCGCCATTGAGCCATGTTGTGGCCCTGGCTGGCCACAAGACACTATGCACAGTACGCATTGAGTTTCGACTCCGGCACTCGCTCTCGTCCATGTCGATGCCAAGAACCCCCAGAGACAAAGGAAATCGGCAGCTCCAAGATTAGGCCGACTCAGATTATTATTCATCCCCCTCTTCTCTCCTTGCTGTATGACATTGAAGTGAAGCCCCGTGCGGCTCCAAGCGGGCCAACGCGCAAGCACCAAGGAGGGTACGGGATTGAGGGGGAACACACCACCACCCGCCGGCATCAGCGCGGCCACCCTCCAACACGGGGAATGAGCGGGGAAGAGCTGACCCTCAACCAATTCATAGGGGCATGGACATGGCGATCCGATCCCTCCGTGAACTCGCAGCTGTGTTCCAATTGGCGAGGTCTCGAACTTTGGATCCCCCTTCCCCCTCCTCATTCTGGCTATCGCGGGCTTGCAACGGCAAAATTGAGGTTCACACCTCCACGCACACACCACCACACCAGCGTGGAGGGGATCGCTCGAGTTACACTACAGCACCCAACCCCTTCCAGAAACCCCAGAGCGGCGGATTCCAGCAGAGACATGGATGAGAAGCAAGCCACCACGCACACCCACTTCGTTCCTCTCGGAGTTTGTAGCTGCCGGCTGTCGGTCTACGAGCAACGCGGGGCAAGCTGTCTCGAATATTCAACCGATGATGAAGAGAAGGAAAAGAAAACAGAGTTAAAAACAAAGGGTTTGAAAGACTTCCTGCAGCAGACCTACCTGATAGCCCCCAGGAAAGGGTTTTGTAACGACATACTTTTTTTCTTCAATCAATCCTAAAGTCCAAATTAAATTAATAGTGTAGATCGATTCCGATACCACCTTTTTTTTCTTTCTGAGTTGTCTTTGGCAACACTGAAATGGTCGTATGTAGGGCTCCACTCTCATGCCGGCCGCAATCGGACGGGATGCTCAGATAAAAGCTTCTCTAATGGGGATTTTCCCTGGCGCTTCCCTGGTCTCGCGAACGAGAGATCCAGAACCACGGTTGTCATGGATATTACCAATTGCTCCGTGCTAGATGGGCTTTGGCCCGCGATATCAACGGAAACTACTTCATACAAGTTGCCCTCATGGCGCTGTCGCTAAAGGGAGGCTCCACTTTCAAGTTCAGACTCCGTTGACGGTGCGACCTTCAAGCCACCATACCCATAATTTACTCGTCCCTAACGGCACTGGTGCGCGAGTTTCCTTTTCTTTTCTTTTCTCTTTCCTCTCCTTCTTTTCGGGTTTCTCCTTTCCCCCTTGTTCTAGCCGGGTAGCATGGTGAACACCGTTTGTCAACCTCGAAGCACATAGTCTTTGATGATGTAGTGTGGAGCATAACGAAGGGTGGTATCGCTCGCTCGGCTTGGTGCAGTGACGGTCGTTTCTTACCCGCAACTCTCGCCGGACTCCATCCACCCATAGATCCTATCTTTTTCAAGCGCGCCCCTCAGCCCCAAGACACGGCACTAAGGCTCGGCTTCTCCACCGAAGTCGGCAAAGCGGCTTCCGTTTTTTTTTTTTCCTCGCCCCTGAAGTGTGAACGAGTAGTTCATCACGACGAGTAACTGAAAATGCAAGCACCGCATCAGTGTCGTCAATACATGTATAACCATTTCCTCTCTCTGTCTCTTACTCCTTCTGTTTGCATTGCAATGCATGATCATATTCATCGCTGGCTCGGGGCGGATGCGCTTCTTTCGCCCGGCAGCCCGCTCCAGCCCGAAGCGGCCGGTTGGCCAAGAGCCTCCGTCCCTCGGAGAAAAGCAGGCAAGTATCCCGGAGCCCCGCGGACAGCCCATTTTGCCCAACAGGAGAAGGGGCGAGGTCAGCTCAAAAGCCCTTGAATCCCGTGAGCCAACGGGAAGGTCGAAAAGAGATGGGCTGAGAGTCAAAAGATAGCATGATGGCGTCGCACTAGCCAACACCAATCCCATCCCCAAACGGAGCCAACTGCCCAATACTGCCTTACTTTCCTCAACCAGAGGGCCACCCCATGTTCCCTTTTGCATCCTCTTCGGCTGAACTGCAATTTCTCCGAAAGCGTAGACCTCCGGAGTTTCCATCACCCTTCACTTGTCCCCTCGTTCCCCCTCCCTTTCCGACAAAGGACCCCTCTCCTCTCTCCTCTCTCCTCTCTCCCCGCAGGCACCGGGTCCGCCATCTCCCCGCTGGCAATACGGATGAGAGCTGCGTGTAGAGGTACGAAGTAGTATGCTGGCCAAGGATCTGCGTTGGGTATACTTTGGGCATCTCCGGCCGGCAAGAGAATCGCGTAAACTTTAGCTGCAAGGCAAACTCCACCCATCTTCGGAAGTCGGATTCGGAATGATAAAAAAGAAAAATGAGGGTGAGAACCGCCCCCTTTTCCCCCAGCCTCCCATTTCCTTTTGTTGGCAGATGCGGCTTCGGGGCCTGCGGGCGATGTATTTCCGAGATGGGGGAGAGAAATGGGAGAACAACGTTAGCGGGAGATTGTATTGCCGGGGTGAGAGGCGAAATCAGCGGAATGTCGTCACTTTGACTCTTCTTTCTTTCTTCTGTTTCGCGCCGCTCTTCGTTTTCTTGTGCGGCTGTTTGCCCTGACGGCTATTCTCTTATAACCTGCAGATTTTGGACGAATTCCTCCCCAAGATCTCTTTTCCTGACAACAGGAGAGAACACCCCGGGAGCTCAAGAGGGTCCTAGAAGAATCAACCATTGGGCTCCGGCCCCTCTGTCCCATTTCGCACATTGGGGGTGGATCACGACATGGCCGGAGGCATAGGAGCGATGCCTTTTTTTCTCTTTTTTTCCTTTTTCTTTTCCTTTTTTTCTTCCTCTTCGTACTATCTCCCCGGCATGGGGACCCTCCTTCTTCCGCGCGGGAAAAGTGGCATCTACGGCCTTAGACCCCCCCATGACGGTTTGAAGCCAGAACCACGGAGCTAGCCTACGCATGAAATGCTCCGTCGAATTGGGAAAAGTGCCATCCATTCCATTCCTCCCCTTCTTCCTCCTTGCTTCGACTCCCCAAAAGGGGACACATTGAACCCAGAAAGAGAAAAGTAGCACTGCACCTGGTCGCATCCCAAAACACTCCCAACCAGCCCCTTGAATACCCCTTCTGTGCCCCTCGAGGATTTTCCGGCTCCTGCTATCAATTGATGCTTCGTCCTTCGTCCTCTCCCCCTCACGATTATTCGGCACATCACTACGAGATAAAAATAGCATCAGGTCTAGAGACATCCTTTTCCTTTCCCTTCAACCCCCTTCCCCCTGGTTCTCCCAGTTTGATCTTTTGAATCCCCCACCATCTCCACCCTTTAAAACACGTCAAATAGACAGAAGAGTGGACAGTGCGTCGAATGATCGACGGCACGCGAGCTCCCTCATGCGCATCAGATAGCTAGGAAGCGGATGATTGAAATCGGAGAGGGGATTTTCGCATGTCAAGAAGCTTGTAATGTGACACATCGTAGCCTCGCCAGTCACAAGTTTAAAAGATATACTATACATGAACGAAAAGAAAAAAGGCTTGATGCGGGAAAGGCGGCTCAAAAGTAGGCTTTCAGTTCTCCAAAGGACAAGGGGAACCAACAGACCAATAAGTGAAACACCATTCAAGGGGGCATTAACAGTCGGCATAAGCCCACCTTTTTCCTTCCCTTGCTTGGTTCGAACACTTGCTTGCGGCCGTGCCCCTTCCAGACCTTCTCGAAGCAGAATCGAAAAAGTCTCCGATTGGCTCGACTATGCTCAACCAAGCGGAAGGGGAGGGGAGGGGAGGGGGAAGGCGACGCAACGAAATTCAGCCAGCCAGCCTGCACTCTGCTTCACACTCCCCCAGCTTCCTTTGGCGGTTCTCCCCGTTCCCTGCCCTCCCATTCACTCAAAACTGGCCCAAGACCCCAGGCCCCGTCTGCCAGGGCTCCGCTTCCCAGTGTCAAACTCTTCCCTACCCTTTTTTTTTTCCTCTTTCGTCATCGCCGGGGACTGAGACCTCTGCGAGTGTAGGATCCGATAGGTTCCGCCGAGGTTACAATCGCACGAGACATGCGCATGCATACTTTGTACATACTTGAGGAACCCCTCCTCCCCTTTTCAGCTATAAGAACATGAAGGGAAAGGGTGGGATGGGGGCGGGGAGGGAACATGGTAGGATAGTGGGACACGTCGTACTCCACCTCCAAAATCGGCTGAGCCCTTTCTGACTCTCTTTTTGTACGTTTGAAGGTCCCTTGCCCAGGGGATCGCGGCGGTTCTGAGCCGATACGGGGAGGTGTGGGGGAGGCAGAGGTGACCCTTTGACCGAACTAGACGGCCCGTGTCGCGCGTGCGGATGTCGGCCTCGACTCCAAATCGGTCGCTGGTTTCAGAATGAGCTGCCGGCATGCTGACCGAGCTACGTAAGCTTGTGGTGGGCTGATACTGCGCAAGCATGGGTGCGCGACACTTTTGTTTGCCAAAAGGTATCATGGAAGATGAAGAGATACCCCAGGAATGCGGAGCTACTCAATCTCCTATCACGGGGTAAAGTCTACTGGTAGACCATGGACGGGGGCGAAACAACTAAGCGAAAGAGAAAAATATCTATTCAATGTGGCGCGGGTATGCCCAAGTAGCGACCGAATGGTCAATGGAAGTGAAGAGAAGATGGGTAAAGTGAAAGGAAGAAGAAGAAGATGAAGATGAAGATGAAGAAGACCGAAACAACAACGAGATGTAAAGGCAGGAATATCCATCTAAATAATACATGTGAGCTGACACGCTAGACCGAAGCCGCGAGGAGAAAGCACACTCCCCCTAGGGCTGTCGAGTCAAGCTTGAAGTCAAAGAAGTGAAAGCCATCCCCCAAACTTTTGTGTCCGTAAACATCCGCCCGAGTTGTCGCTCAAGGAAGAAAAAGTGCCGGCTTGAGATTGTTATTCCCTAGACTAGGGGAGAAGAAGAAAAGAGGCGGTGAAGAAAGAAAAATGAAAAAAAAATATAGATGAAGAAGTAGAAGTGGGGGCATGAAGAGAAAGAAGTTCAAGTGTAAATGAAGGTGAGAGAGATACAAGAATGAAGAAGTGAAAGTGATAAGAGGGAAGAAAGAAGAAAAGAGAAGAAGTGGATCGAGGTCGTTCAGTTCATATGCTTCATCACATGCTCAAAAGGCCGTTACTTGGAGGACTTGGCGTCGGGTTGTGCGCGCGCCGTCTTGCATCCCGGACACTCAAAACCGTTAGACGCCACCATGACTCGCTTCAGACATCTCGTACATCTCCACCACTCCTTGCGTACGTTGTTGCTTTCTGACCAGTTCGTTTGAATAGGCTTGCCGCGCTTCGCAATGCTCTCTTTGTGGTAGTCGCGCAAGTGATCGCGGAAATGGTCTCTGCGGTGGAACGGCGAGTTGCGACGGCTGCATTTCGAATAATCACAATAGTACGTTTCTTTCGACTCGGCGGGTCGGTGAATGTTCTTGTAGTGCCGGTCAAGGTCGGCATTGCGCTTGAACGGAACCGCTTTGCATCCGGGGACAAGACAACAATATCCGTCTGACGGTTTCAACCTGGGCCGCGGTCATTAGCATCTCGCGCTCTTCCGATATCTCCCTTTTCCTTCCACCCCATTCAGCAACCAACAACCCTGGCCCGTCTGGTGGGCGCTACGATTCTTCATGATAGGGGTCTTACTTTGACATCTCAACCGACGACCCTTCGCCATGTTGCGTGTGGTAGCTTTGCCCGCTCTCGCTGGCATAGTCCGCACTCCCTCGCCTTCGGCAGGAGAGCCGCTTGCGCTACTTAGCGCGTAATACGAAGCCTCGTCTTCGTACATGTTACCGTGGCCCCGTGTAGCCAATGTGTGATGCGTCGACCGTGGGACTGCAGACGGGCTGGAAGTTGCGGCGCCACTCGCCAGAAGTGGTCGAGGGTCTGGACGATAAGGCAGTGGTGCAGTCCAGCCAGGTTCAGGACTAGGAGCCTCAGGTAACACTGCCTGGCGATGTGTACTATTCGCAGGCGCAACTTCGTCTCGGGGCGTTCTGGATCGTTGTTTAGGCATAGGCTTGGTGGCGAGGGGCAGGAGCTTCAAGCTAGTGTAATGGCAGGCAGCGCCTCGGGAAGCGTGCTATATGAGATGGTAGCGCGAAGGGTAGAGGGTGAGAGTATCCGTTTCTACGACGCCAAAGAAGAAGGCTTTTTTCCCCTTCTTTTCCAAGTTAGCTGCCGAGATAGAAGAGCAGCTATTGTGATGGCCATCGGCAGTGGCGAGTAGATCAGGCAGAAAATTTTGCCCAATAGAAGAGAAAAAGAATGACTCTGTGCTACTTACAACTGGTGTGGCGGCGGGGCAGAATTGCTTGCTGGGGGTGATGCCAACAGCTACGATGGAACCCAAAAGCGGTTGAAAAGCCTTGTAGCAAGGAGGCAAAGAACCCTCGACGGTAGGCAAAGGTATTAGGCGAGTCGAAGGCCTTCGAATGGCTTGGGGAGTAAGAAAAATGAGATGGGCAGAAGCCAGGGACTATTCGTAGCAAGAACTGTGATCTTCACCTGTGTTCTGAGATGATGAAGAAGAGGGAAGAGGGGAGGGGCAACTTGATGTCGACTGACACAATCGCTTACGCACTTCTCCTATTGGCAAGGGCAGAGCTGCCGTTCGCGCAAAGAGTGAGGCGGTTGCTATGTCAGGACTAACAAGATAAGTCGAGGGAAATCCGAGAGGGACCCCGTGCTGGGATCGGGATCAGATGGATTGAAGGGACAGACGAGACGAGGATGAGGGGACGGTTATGTACTATCACCAACGCCGAGGGCATCCAGAATTCCAAGTATAGGATCATGGGAGACACGAGGATCGAACTTAAAAAAGCATCACCGGCAAGTCCAAACGAATGGGCTCGAGGGCTGTGCGCAAGAACAGGGCTCGTAAGGAGAAACAAGCGCCGAGGATGGCGGGCGACGCGGCCTCTTGACTTGATAATGACGAGGGGGGACTACCCGTGCCGACAAGGGAAAGAAAACTGATATTCAAGGTCAACCTTGGCTGTTGGGAAGAAGTGATGTTTGGATGCCGGAGAAGATGCATGCGCGAGGAACAAGATAGAACAGGAGCATGAGGTATAAAACACGGGAGCTGCGAGGAGGAGGTAAGTTGTTAACCGCTTCTGGACCCCTGCCATTGCTATTGCGGATCATTCTTGTCAAGACAAGGGACATAGGCTCGAAGAACTTGCCTAGGGAGGAGGGGCGGGAACAGGCCGTGTATAGATTTAGCGCACAAACAAAGGCGAATGCATGGCGAATTAGTCCGTGGCTGATTATGGAACCCATGGGGACAGTGAATCAAGGGGATATGGAAGTGGGTGTCGATGCGCCAGGGTACATCAAGTCCCTACCTCTGGAAAAAGGAGAGAGAGACAGGGCCGGGGGGGCGTGTATATTCCGGGTCGAGGTGTGACGACGTGCAAATTGTGAATGTGCGGGGGATCAACCGACACCGTTCTCTTGTCAATAGCAACAATAGCAACAGTAAGTGGTAAGGTTGGTTCAAGGGTCTTTGAGTAAAAAGGACACCCATCCTCGTCTATGCATTAGCTGGAGCACGATGTAAGAACCCAATACCCCAATACCCCAACAAGCAGAATGATAACTTAGACATCCATTGATGAATCGCAGATACTGTCAAATTCAGAATCTTCAAGAGGAGAATTTCAGCTAGATAGAAAAGCGGAGAAGAACTAAAGTTGGAGCCATTACAGACACAGGGAGAAAAAAAGGGGGAGGCTTCTGGACTTCGCAGGTTCTTGTCGTTGCATTGAATATGGAGTGAGGCGATGAAAGCACTTCTCTCCTGCAGAAGCTCATTGGGGGTGGAGGAAACGAGCAGTGTCATGGAAATCAGTTTTGTAGGGTCATAGTCTCTAAGGAAAGCCCAACCCAATCGAGAGATGCCCTCAGGTTCAAGGGTAAGAGCGAGTGACGCAACTCGGGTGAGTCGAGTACATTTGACGGTCGACATCGGCAAAGCAGGGACCAGTGGCTAGCCGGCAGCCTCAGCCAGAGTGCTGTGGCCGACAACGCGGTTGCAACTTCCACGCCGTCCGGGAAGTGGGAGCCCATCGATTACCCTGGCCTTGGAGAATGGAAAGAGCCATCTGAGGTGGAGGAAGGAGAGTCGAGGGTGTGTGCGAATGGGAAGGGAGGTGTGGGGTCGAGTTTGCAGCGTTTGAAACTCCACGTCTCACAAGATAACACCACCCCATTGCTCTTCCCTCCCCCTTCGCGCATCCCCGTCTTGCCTTGCCTTGCCTTGTGTGATACCCGAAGCCAAAACAAGGTGTATTCGAGGCTGAATAAATAGAACACTTATTTGATTTGTTCTCATCTTCACTATCTCTTTGTTTGATACAGGGGACTCGTGGGCCACTTCATGCCTTCAGGGTTGCAGCGTCGGGTGATGTAACTCTTCTTCACGAACGCTCTGGATGTGACTTCCCTTTGCTTCATCGTTCGCCTTGCTTCCAACGCTACAACGTGGCAAACAGGCCCGATTCGATTACCACCCGTCCAGCTTGGAAACTGGTTTTGCCAGTCTGGTCCAAGGAGAATTTCCCCAATGCGATTCTTGGTAATACCTTGCTCATGACCTAGACCCCCTCCCCGCCCTTTGCGCCTTCCACTTTCAAATTGAGGATGTGGGTTTAGGAGTAATGATTTTAGACTAATAAGGTCTGGCACATTGGACAATCACAGTCGCGGAGCGTGGCAGTGTAAGCCACCTTTTGAGCTTCATCAGCGCTCCAGTTTTTTCCCCTTCTTCATTTCCTTGTCGTCGGCAAGCTAATCAGCGCAGGTTTCCTCTCCGACACCACTTTGCGGTCGAACTGAGCTTGGTGCAGAAGCGGTATTGGTGGACCCCACCCACCCACCGGCTGATCTTTCCAGATTTCACATCTCAAACGGGTCTAACCAACCTCGAAGGACAGGCCGCCCGGTTCATCTTTCCTCAAAGTGCCCCTGGCGTCAAGGGCGGGGCCAGGACTTGATTCCTGGAGGTATCCACAATCATTATTAAACTACAGGCCCAAAGCCAAAGCGCAGTGGTTCGTCTGGATTAAGGGTATTAAAAGGCGACTGCGGAAAAATAGCACTGAATCGTGAAGAGCCCAAGGCATGGCTGGCACCTTCACCCCCAAAATCGAGTCGCAGCAGGTACATAGCGCAACCAGGAAGAAGAAAGGTTGCGCAGGTCTGGCCTAATGAGGACTGTTTATTGTTCTCGACGAAAGAAGACAACAGGACCTCCCTCTCCTCGAGCGCACGATAGCCTGTCGCGTGACGGTAGCTCAGTAGTTCTCGAGCCTGGGGAACCCTTGGATGCATCTCGGTTTGGAAATCAAAGCGTCAGATCGCTTTTGGAAGCAAGCTAGCGGGTTGGTAAACGGATACTTCCCCACCAGTAATGAGCTCCTTGATTCCAATCCCAACACCGGCGTAGTCTGCGGACCTTGCAACCTCGCTGGATTCCGTTTGTCCTCTCAGAAATTTCATCCACTTTCATCGCTCGGGGGAAAAGGCGAAGGGGATCAGGAAAGGGGGGAATTAAGGCCTATCTCATCAATCGTGATAAAGAGGGCAGGAAACCTCTCGACGCCGTCCACGCTGAGCTGAGGGAACGGATGATGAGCTATCAAGGGGGTTGCCATGGCCCTCCCTGTTAGGCCTCCTTTTCTCCTTCACTTTCCTCACTCTCCTCACTTTTTCTTTTGAAAATAGAATCAGACCCATCTTATAGATCGACTGGAGTGGATCCATGGATGCGAGAATCAGTCGGGGAATGCCGCTGTAGGCGCGGTGAGCGAAGCTTTAAACTGGGTCGTTGCAAAAATGACATCGACAATTCTTGCATTCTTCAGCACTTGACCCTCGTCCCAACTATGCATATACAATATATTCGACACCTCAACCGGGGCTTACAACGTCGCCGTGATGTTTGGAGTGGCTCGTCTTGGGCCGTCCCTCCCCAAGATCACTTGACCTTCACAAGTGCCGCAGCATCCAGGAGCCTCTCCTATCTTGGCCATTTCGAAGGCGATGACCGACTTGATTTGGCCGATATTTTAATCTCAACGTGGCCGAGCCCTTCAGGGTGAGCACTGGCTCTCGAAGAGGAGAGTGACGACGTCGATCAGGAGAATATCACGGCGGTGACAGGACACCCAAGAATAGAACAAGATTTTCCACATTTCGCTACGAACTGCTTCAGTTCCAAAACCTTAATAACGCCGATGTCCCAGAACAAAGGCCAATGACAAACCCGTCTTTGACCGTAGAGCCAACCCCTGAAGTTGCTCTCAATCCCAAAACGGCCCTCGGCCGCGGACGGAAATAAAAATTGGGGGGCCTTGTGTAGAAGGGCTTTACAGGCATGCGCCCACAGACGCACCAGACGCCAATACACACGCCACCCACCCACTCACGTTCTCACACTCACAGGTTCCATTGAGACTTGATGGACACTACCCCGGGTACCCCGCTCCAGCGGCCCCCACCGTTCCATTGTGGTCCATGACCGCTGTCTGTTCTTTGTTTCCAGAGCCGCGAGTTGCTAAAAATAATCAGGATATCGCACATAATCGCGATGCGACTGTTTGATCTACGACAGGGAGGCCTAGCACCACAACGACCCAGCACACTTTTTCTCCCATCACCTTTTGAATCTCAGACGACGATTCGGTTACACATTCCCCCTGGACTAGCGTGCCTCGACCGACGGAAAAGAGGAGAAAGATGGAAAAAGAATATGAAAAACCCTCAATTGTCCCCCCTCCCCAAAGACCCCCAAGAACACACAGAGGGCGGCGTTTTAGAAACTGCCAGGACCTCTGGCCTCCCGATCCTTCCTGTGAGTGCCCTATGATATTATGGGGTCTTTCCAAAAGAACTTCCCAATCAAGTCAGTCCCCTCCCTTTCGGATCTGCCACACGCAAAGGCCTGTTTGAGCCGAGCCTCTGGGTCTTTAGGTGGCACCTGGCCAGACCAGGGTTCAGGGATCCCGTCCCGGAAACAGCCCTATATGCAGCCTGCCGCTTCATCCTGCTGCCGCATCGGGACATGAACTGGATGGTGCTCGAAACCCAAGTTGGGAGAGATGACCAGAATTCGACTTGGAATGGAACTGAGCATTCCAGAAGCCGCTGTCCCCCATCCTCCCCGAGGTATGATCACGGCCGTCTCGCTCGGCCGGCATCCTTCAATTCAACCAAGCACACACCTTGAGCGTGATCCCCTATCTTAAAATAGAGCTTCTTGAAGCACGCTAGAGCTATTCGGCCACCTGCCATTCTCAAGCGCGTGCCGAGTTGCGATGAGAGGCCGTGGGAAGTGGTAGGAAGCTGAATCTTTGGCGAGGAGGAAAGAGGAAGCGATGAACCCTGCAGATTTTTTGGATTCCTTTTTTCTCCCCTCCTTTCCTTGGCGGTCGAGACCGTGGTCGTCCCTCCTTTTTCGGCCTCAGTAACCAACATTGCTTGCAGGTATGGTGCATAGCCAACTTCAAGGTCGAAGAATTGCAACGTGCGTGCGGGAAATCAAGCGGCAAAGCGACGCAAATACTACTACCAGCATTAACCCAAGGTTTGACACCTTTACTCTCTTGTCGGCAGTTGGGAGCTTTCGCACATCAAGCAGGCCCTCTGATCTGCACCCCTCCGGTGGGCGACTTGCATGGGCTTCTCCTTTATGCCACTCCCCGCCCTCTCCATCCCCTCCACGCACCGAGTCCCCTCATAGGACGGCAGCTTCCAGACACCGCATGCCGCTTAAGGTGATCCTTTGGTTCCTTTGCTTGATCGTCCTCTTGTCGTCTTCTCGAGAATCGGCACATGGATGAAGGACGGTCGAGGCCGACGCAGGTCAAGTTCGGACATATTATTTGGAAGACGGCAAATTCTGCAAATTCTGGGTCGTACTGTTTCCAACGAGGCTCTGCGCCACCCCCGGGGCCTGGAGATGCCGTCTTTTTGAGCATCATGAACAACTACCAAAGTATAAAGGATAGAAAAGGGCGGACCCTTCGAGCCCGTCCTGCCCTCCTCCTGCCAAGACGTGATGCGATGAAGCGGATAAGATATCGTTGGAGACCAGCTTAAACTGAAAGGCGCCCGCATTGACCTCTTGAAGCGTTTCCTCCTCGGCTACAAGTACCACGTAGGTTTAGTGAGCTATATTTACTTCGTCTAATGTGATTAAACTTGCCTCAACGCTTCGAGCCGAGTTGTGCGATGCCAGAGAAGCGCGCGCGGGCTGCCTCCCTCTCCTTCTTCTCCCCTCCCCTATCCCCTGCTCATGCGCTTGGCAACCGCTTGCTCTGGAGCGCGGAGACGCCCGACTGGTTGCCAAAAAAAAAAAAAAAAAAAAACGTCTTCTTCTATTCTTCTCTTCTCTTGGTGGGGCCTTGACATGTGCCAGCAAGGACCGGGGCACTGGCGGGCCAGGAGGAATAGCTTCCTCGCCTTGTGGTGCTCACAGTCCAGAGATGGCACCGGTGTGATGAGCGGGGGACTTATAGATGTGTGAGAGAAGGACGGGAAAAGTCCCGGCCGCATGAAGTTCGTGGCTGCAACCTCATCTACCTGTTGTCCCTGTGTCTTCTTCTTCTTCTGGGAGCTATGATCCTTTTGTTAAACGCCCCCGTCCCATCCCGTGGTGGTGGTCCTCATGACAACACGACGCGGGATGAGAGTGAGATGTATCGTCATGGGCTCTCGCACACACCTGCTCTCTCTTTCCCTCCTTATTGGACTCATACAAAGCGTGGGGAAGAAGAGGGTGGAGGCTAGTGTGGGGTATACATCGGCATCATCTAGTTTACGGGTGGGTTGGTGAACCCGCTTACACGCACAGCCATGAGCTACGAAAGGAGGCACGTCATAAAGCCTAAAAGGAATAAGGGGGATAAAACAAACAGAGAACGAAGAATCAGAATCAGAAGCATAAGAAATCATTACACATCATCACGCGCGTTCCGTCATGACGCGCAAAGGCCAAAAAGATGGAGCATGTGCATGTAAGCGTACGTATTGCAGTTCGTTGCCGCAGCACGGCGGAGAGAGGGAGAGAGGGAGAGGGAGAGAGGGAGAGGGAGAGAGGGAGAGAGGGAGAGAGGGAGAGAGGGAGAGAGGGAGAGAGGGAGAGAGGGAGAGAGGGAGAGAGGGAGAGAGGGAGAGAGGGAGAGAGGGAGAGAGGGAGAGAGGGAGAGAGGGAGAGAGGGAGAGAGGGAGAGAGGGAGAGGGAGAGAGGGAGAGGGAGAGTACACGAGATAGACAAGAGTATAGAGAAAGGGGAGAGGAGGAAAGGTAACTGCACAAGGAGAAAAAGAACCAAAAACCCCAGCCTTTCCCAACCCTAAGAAACGAAGAACGAAGCCTCCCGTATGCCACCGCCCCAAAATATCCCCCTTTGAAACCCCCGGTCCAGGCTAGCACAACCAAGAAAGCAACGAAGAGTGAGAGAGACGGGGGAAAAAGAATAATAGACGCCCCTGGTGAGCGGAAATAGATGGGAGATGGAAAAAAGGGCACCAACAAAAGTTCATGGAGAGCGAACCGAGACGAGACCGAATTTGAGTACTAGCGTTAAGACCGGGGTGGAGAAAAAGAGAAAGCGTAGAGTTTAGGAGAACAAGATAAAAGTAACAAAGAAAAACCCGGGAGAGAAGAGGGTTCGAGATTTGCAAGAAGAGGACGAGAGAAAAAGGAGAAGAAGTGAGTGGGGAGGAGAATCGCTAAGAAGGAGGGCGAGGGGCGGGTTTGCGCCTCTCCCGCCTCTCCCTCCTCAGCTAGATTCACCTTTCTCATCTTCTCTTTTCTTGCCGCACTTCATCGCACCCGAATGCCCCTCCAGCCCCTGCCCGTCTTTCTTGAGACTGCTGACTACTGCGCACAGTACCTAGCGTGACCGTTCCCCCAATTGCTCGATAAGATGAGGAAGAGGGAAGCAGGAAAAAAAAAGGCAAAGATTAAGTTCCTAGTCCTGGACTATTACATCCCGACCTAAGCGCTCGCCCTGCCACCTCCCGCCCATCTTCCTATTCGGACCTTTCCCTTCCTGTAGTTCTACGTGTGCCCTCGTACAGATAAAAAAACAAGAGATGCGAGCTTTCCCTTCCTTCCGTTACTGTTTCCCACCTTTACCTGTCCGGGGGCTCCCGAGTCCCGAGAGTGGTTGCAAGTGTTTGGAAAGAGAAAAAGGAGATAGCGTTAAAATATGTAAGTGGAGTTGATAAGGAGAATGTGGGTGATGTCGGAGAAGGGAGAAGAGGAGAGAGGATGAAATTGGTAACTTTGAGGCTCAGACGAGTGCTGATAACCTGAAGGACTGTATTAAAGGACGAAGAAAAACCGAAGGACGGGGACGGGCGAGCAAGAGAGAGCATTGGTCACAGGGGTAGCACGTGTCGGTAGGCGGCCACGAGAGGGGCGAGGGGAGATGGGCTGTCTCCCTCTTAACATGGATGTGGATTATATGTCGTCCTCGAGGAACTTGTACGCAAACTTGAAGTCTGCTTTCCGTCGGTTCATCCTAAAAACAAGAACAGGGAATGTCAGCGTTTGTCCGATTGCTTGTACTTTATAATTCTCGAGAGACTTTGCTTTCGCCACTTTTCACCAAGGGGGTAAGGGGGAAAATAGCCGGGGACTTACCATGTGCTCTCATAGTCAAAGAAACGATACGTTCCCTGCTCAAACTCCTCCGTGATGCTCTTGGGCTCCTCGTGCCTCTGGAACCACGTCTGGTACTGCTTGTGGAAACGCCAGCTTTGGTCCTTGAGCGCCTTGGCGGCTAGGTACTGCTGGTGAGTTCCCTGCTTATAGTAGAAGACGTAGAAGAGGGTATCGGGGTCGATCTTGCTGTACAATCGAGGGTCGTCGAATATGGGCAGCGGTTGCTGCGGGAAATTGGAATACGTGAGCGGCAAGCGCGAATCCGCGCGGTATGTGCGCGGGAGGTCCGCGTCTGAGGCCTCGGGCGCGTTGGCCTGGCTGACGGCGAGCATGCGCATGGCCGCTGGCGACGACGCTGGGGGCGGGCGCTTCCTCGCGAGCTCGTAGGATTCGAGGAGGTCGTTGAGGCACGCAGGGAGGTGGAAGCGGGGCTCCTCCTCGGTCTCCTCCTTGATCGGCTTGATACCGTTGACACCGTTTACGTGGGGCGCTGAGAAAAAGAAAAAGGTACTTGTTAGCTCGGACCATCCTGTAGAGTCTGGTACTGAAGAAAGGAGAAAAAAGAGAGGGGGTGGGCGGGGTATGTACATACCCTTGACAGGCTCGGCCGTCGCCGCCGCCGCTGCCGCCGCCGCCGCAGCGGCCTTGGCTGCAGAACGGGACGCCTTGGAAGACTCCTTTGCGGAGCTGGCAACCGGTACTGGCGTCGCTTTGGTCGACGCCGGGGTATGCTCGGCGCTGGGCGCGGCTTGACTCGTTGTCGTAGGGGCCACTTTCGGGGAATGCTTGGGCTCGGAGGCTTGGTACGCCGCGCTCAACGCGGGCTGCGCCATCGTCATGGCGGGCGAGCTGGCGGCGCTCGACCTCGCTTGCTGGGCCATCGGTAAGGGGTTGATACCAATATTTATCGGTATCGCGTTGGGTGGCGGCGGTAAGGGGGCGATGCCAACGTTGTTCTTGTCGCTCGCGGCGGCGGCGGCGGCAGCAGAGGCATACTTGAGTCCCTCTCCTGGCGGTCTCGTTGGTAACGTCGCCGGTTTCATTGGTAAAGAGGCAGAAGTACTCGCGCCGCCTCCTGGTGTCGGTGTATGTAATGTCGCCAATGTCGGTAACGGGGACTTGAGTTGCGCAGAGGGCCGTCGGCCTGTCGCGTTCGCAATCGCACTCTCGGCGGCCGTCCGAGGCTTTCCGGGGAGGATTTTGGGTTCGAGCTCGGGGGTGGGGTCGTCTTGTATAGATCGTGTATCTTCGGTGGATCCCTTGTCGTTGTCGAGGGTCATGCCATATACGTCTTCCTCGTGATCGAGATTAAGATCAACGTACATCTCCTCGTCCTCCATAAAGTCCTCGTTCACTCCGTCGGAAACGTAATATCGGATGGACTCTTCAATATCCTTGACTTGATCCGTGTCGAGGCCTCCATTCTCAAGCAAACGCCGTACGAGCTCGAGCCTGCCTTGATGCCACTTGTGCCTCTCTATCACCCTCTCGATCTCGGCTACGCGATCGGCCTTATCTCGGTTGGCCTTGCCCTTCTTCATTGTCGCTTGTATCGACTCGCCCTCGGCCTCCAGGGCTTCTACTTGGTGTTCAAGCTCGTCGACCATGTTTCCTAGGAATTCGCACGTTTCAACCTTGGCCTGCTCTTTCGGGTCGAGCTTGGCCGCTGCTGATAGGCCTTCTTTTGAATACGCTTTCGTCTTCATGGCCTTTTCGACAGCTTTGAACTTTTCCATTTGCTACAAGGGAGGGCGAGGAGATTAAGACGATCAGCAAAAAACAAAGGAGAAGACGGAACAAAGGACGAGGGAAACGGGATAGATGACGGGTAGTAGGGGCTCGCTAGATCTTGGATATCTGGATCCGAGAGATGGCACCTTTGGCAGTCCAACAGGGCCGAGGAAGGGGAGAGGGTAGGAGAGGACATGGTTTTGGCGAGGCTGCATACCGTCTCTATCAGCTTGCGATTCTCCATCAAGCGGTCCTTATCCTTGACGTCGTTACTCGCCGCCCATGTCTTGATTTGATCTCGCAAACGCTGCAGCTTCTTGATTTCACGTTTTAGCTGGTCTTCAAGCTTCTCCTTCTGGGCCGGGTTATTGGAAAGTTCAATCTTTTCGTAGATTGCATTGAACTCGTCGACTCCTTCCGCTACCTTCTTGTAGCACTTTTCCACCTCTTGCATGAGCTTCCGTGACGCCATTGTGCCGGCCGAGGATCGCGAAGATATCGGGGAAACCACGTGTTGACCGACAGAGACAAAAGAGTCGAGTTATCGCAAGTTTAGTAGCAACAAAACGGCGTGCCAATTAGGATCCTATGTGGAAAAAGAACAGGTCGCAGGGCGCGAGCGTTAGATTAAATGCATAGTAGAGAAAAGGACCTTCGTTTCCGGAAAGCGCAGGAGGAAAAAAAAAGGGGAGGAAAAGGGGCGAAGCTTATCCCTCCAAGATGGCCTTGGAGAGCAGGCTTCGGGGAGGGCGATGACACATTGAGAGAACGAGGCTGCTTACCTCGTAGGACCGAATCAGTCGAGGAGCTGCGTGCGCACTTGTGAGGTGCGACTAGCATCTATCAATAGCCCCAATCCCACTAAAGTGAACGGGGGCCGAGATGCCGAGGGGAAGACGACGAGAAATAGACGTCTGCCCAAGTTGTATGCCACCTGTTTTTCGTCGATGGCCAACCAGGAGCGAAAAGCTCGATAGGAGCAAGGCGCTTTATGAGAGTTCGAGGGATGCGGTTCGAGTTGAAGAAGGTCGGAGGACGGGAGAGATTCTTTTTCTCTAGATGTCGAGGACGGGTAGAAGAGGGGGTTGTACCAACGGATCGGGAATGATCGAGCTGGTGGATGAGGGATTGTCGTTGCTGATGCTGTCACGTTCTGACGAAGCCAGTCTCGAGCTGATGCGGTTGGAGGTTGAAAAGCGCGAGCCGCAGGGCAAAGCAAGCCAGTCGTCTCTTGCAAGTATAGTGGTCACGTGACTGGTAGTAAATGATAAGCGGCTGAGGTGCGGGTACCCATTGACTGTGTGGGCCACACGGCTGGAATGTATCACTCCTTATCTGAAGCACGAAGGAGATACATTCCAGAAACCTCTTGGCACCTTCTTGGCCCACTGGAGTATCTTTCCGCTTTCCGCTTTCCTGCACTGCACAGCACTGACTGCACTCCATCGGCAAACCCACTTCCATTTGTGCTTAGGTCAGATGGTATTGTGCATTGTTGTCTCTGGATTGCATAACTACCGAGGTATAGCAGCACGGGAATAGTAAACCTCTGCAGCGCACATGTATAAGTAATAGTGCAATACCTCACCGAACCGAAAAATCCGGGGACCAAGTGGCCGTAATTATTATTCTCGGAGATTTTTCTTGAGCAAATGTGATGTGGTCTTTACCGTGCAGTTGACGGCTATCCACTTTGTTCGTCCTCATGTGTCCTTTTCGCAATCCTGCGTCCCCGTCAATTTTTTGTCAAAATATGTAGCCCCTGCGGTATAATCATTTTTCTGCATCGAACTTGGTAGAAGAAACAACCTCATTCTGACTGCTGCTGCTGTACGTGGCTCTTCGGGGTCAGCAAAAATGCAAAAGTCACTGCATATCGGTCGACCCTCTCCACAAGGTCCTCGTAATTTCTCCGTTGTGACTGGCTCTTATTATTAGAGCGACATTGAGTCTTGTATTATTATCAAACCGCACCCCCTTCATTTCTCGCCCAACACATCCATATCGATACCATAGTGTCTTCACAGTCGTTTCACATCCCGCCCCTCTGCCGTAAAACGAGTAGAGAGGAGAAATAAATCAAGTGACAACATGAAGGGTGAGTCTTGCACCCTGTATTCCTCTTCCCTTACGAGATAAAGAATGGATAAGGGGGATGGAAGGGAAGGAAAAACGACACTTCGTAGTTTGATTCCCGTAGACTGACATATAAGCGGACAGCCGTGATACAGCGGGTGCTGTCAGCATCCGTAACAGTAGACAAAGAGGTAGTCTCGTCCATTGGAAAAGGCATCCTTGTCTTCGCCGCCGTTGGCGTAGGCGACACGGAGAAGGAGGCAGACTACCTCGCGAACAAGGTGCTGAGGTTGAAGTTTTGGGATGGAGATAACGGCGCCACGGTATGCACAGAATTAATCCCCTCCAAAACGGCAGTGAGATTTTTTGAATTCTTTTTGGGTGGAAAGCTGGGAAAGAAAGCAAACAAAAGCGAAGAAAAAGAATGAGATGGCAAGCGGATCACCGAGAGCTGACAATCACTCGCTCCCAAAGTGGAGGAAGAACGTCACCGATATTGAAGGGGAGATACTATGCGGTAAGTGCGCAGCACCGCCTTGCCTTGCATCCTCACTCCCCGCACCTTGTTCACCGTCTCACGCGTCCTTTCTCGCTGACTCTTTTCTTTTTTTTTTTGGTTCTGCTTTCGCATAATAGTCTCCCAGTTTACGTTGCTAGCCAAGACGTCCAAGGGTAACAAGCCCGACTTCCACCTTGCTGCTCCGGGAGAAGATGCCAGGCGGCTGTACCACTACTTCCTGGAGAAGGTCAAGGCCGGCTACGTCGCGGAGCGGGTCAAGGACGGCAAGTTCCAGGCCATGATGGAGGTAGCCTTGGTTAATGACGGTCCGGTGAGTCCACCTGCCCATGTGTTGACGTTTATGCCCTGTGCTTGGATTTCCTCGAGGTTGCCAAAGTAGCCATCCCGTGGTTTCGACGTGCTAACCAGAGGACATGCGTCCTTGTTTGATATAGGTCACGTTAGAGGTGGTGGCTCAGCCCAAGGGACTCGAGGAGCCGCAGTAAACAATCAATTGTTGCCCTTTGAAGGCGGATAGAGGATGGGTTTGTGTTCGCGGGAGACCGAGAGTCGGTCGAGGCCCTTTCCCCGTTGTGCTTATTGCTGCATTTTTCTTGCTCCAGGTTTGACTGCTTGATCAAAATACCCCTTCAAATCAAAGAAGAATAGACTATCCCCATATTTCTTATAATTTAGAAAAAAGAAAAGATTGAAGGGTTGTTCTGCTTTCAGCATACATTCCTCATAGCCAGCAGGCCAAGTGAGATTGCTTAATGCGTATATCAAGGATCAAGGATCAAGGACTCCTATTCTCCTCTTTTCTACAAATGACAGTGCTTTTATTTTAAGAAAGAGCTGATTTCAGTTTAGAGGAGGTGTTGCCTACAGGTAGTGCATAAGAGCTGGCATGAGGACATGCGCTTCTTAATTCCCCATTATGTCTGCAAATCCAGCTCCATTTCTGCCACCCATTTTTAGATATATGGTTTCTTTCTCCCTTTCAATCCATACCCTAACTTCTATTCTCTATGCTGTAAGAAAGGTCGGGAAAAAGGAAACTAAAGCAACAGCTTTGCTGGCTAACAGGAGGTCGAGGCCGGTCAAGATGAGCAGGCTGCACTTGGTGTTGCCTGCCCAAGCGTTGCCTGCTCTGGATTTCCCCGCCGTCAGCATAACAGGGCGGGCAGTTGGGCGAAACAGCCCCACCATTGGTTCTTGGCCGAGTCTCTTGCCCAAGCGCGCGCCTGCCGTGGCAAAACCCCAGGGCAGTGATGGTTACACCTTCCAGCCCGTGTCTTTCTGGAGCCCTGTCTTTTGCTTCGTTGCGTCTTAGAGGGGGATGATTGATATGTGCCTTCCTCATGTGTCCCCTGAGAGCTAGAAGCTTCCATGGGCAAGAAGTGGAAGGCCCAACCCACCCTGCCCCACCACAGGAGCCTTTTCGCCCTGCACCAGCAAATCGAGAGCTTTCCCGGTGCTTGGCTGGATTGGCGCGGTCCCATAGGTTGCAAGCGAAATCAATTTACATTCCACCACATTGTGCAAAGTCCGTCTCCTTGTGGCTCATCGTCTACCAACTTGCCTCAGGGAAGCTAAAGGAAGCCTGCCCACATATACTGCCGTCTGCCCAGCGTCGAATTCCCCTTTTCTCCCTTCCCAATTGGTTTCAAAGAACCTCCCACAAGCAAGCTCCCTCCTTGATCCTGGGTCCTCCCCACACTCCTTCCCCTCCCCCACCATCGTCTTTTTTCCAGCCACCACACTTACCAAGACACCAGCTTCCACTTCCACCCCAACAGGACAAAGACAAAAAAGGAACAATTCTCACTTCCCAGCTAATCCACAACGCGACTTGACCCAAATACAATCCGAATAGACCTGAACCCCCGAGCACCAAAATGGCCGGTCCTTATGTATTCTTCGACATCACCATTGGTGGTCGTCCCTCTGGGCGCATTGCTATGAGGCTCTACACCGATGTCACCCCCAAAACCGCAGAGAACTTCCGCGCCCTTTGCACTGGCGAGGAGGGCAACGGCAAGCTGGGAAAGCCCCTCCACTACAAGGGCTCCATTTTCCACCGCATCATCAAGAACTTTATGATCCAGGGCGGTGACTTCACTGAGGAACTGGCACAGGCGGCGAATCCATCTATGGCGAGAAGTTCGACGACGAGAACTTTGACAGGAAGCACGATCGCCCTTTTCTCCTGTCTATGGCCAATGCCGGACCTGGTGAGTATTCCCCTCCCTTCTGCCTCTCCTACATTTCTCTCCTCCTTTTGTGTTTCTCTGTATTCGCTTGCTTGTCTATTCTGGCTGCTTCTCCTAGCACAGCGCCGAGCAGCCTTGCCATGGTACACGTTAGCCCTGGAGGAACGACAATCAGCTGACCATAGTGGCAGGCACCAACGGCTCCCAGTTCTTCATCACGACAGTACCCACCCCTCACCTTGATGGAAAGCACGTCGTGTTCGGCGAAGTCCTCAAAGGAAAGTCTCTTGTCCGTAAGATCGAAAACATACCCACCACCCCAGGCGACAACCCCGAAAAGCCCGTCGTGATCGCCGACTGCGGCGAGCTCTCCGAAGCCGAATATGCTGCTCTAGACGAAGCTGGTCCCGCCGACGCTTATGGCGACCAATACCAGGACTACCCCGATGACCTTGCCGAGGCCCCTTCCGCCAGCGAGGTCGCCAAGATCGCTGCTGATTGCAAGAACTTTGGCACCGCCGCCCTCAAGGCGGGTGACCTCCAGGCCGCCATTGACAAGTATGAAAAGGGCCTCCGCTACCTCAACGAGGACCCCGATCTCTCCAAGGAGTCGGATTCTTTCAAGCAGGACCTTGACAAGCTCCGGTTCACCCTGAACAACAACACTGCTTTTGTCCACCTCAAGCTCGCCTCTTGGTCCGATGTCGTCTCCTCCGCCTCGAGTGCCCTCGCCATGAAGGACCCCTACGGCGTCGTTACCGCCGCTGACAGGACGAAGGCTCTGTACCGCAGGGGCGTCGCCCACCTAAACCTCAGGGACGACGACAGCGCCCTCGAAGACCTTAGCGAAGCCTACAAGCTCTCTCCCAAGGATGCTGGTGTCATTAAGGAGTACACGGCCCTCAAGAAGAAGCACGATGAGAAGAATAAGAAGCTGAGCGCCGCGTACAAAAAGTTCTTCACCGATTAAACGGGCGAATCTTGGGAGAATGCCACAGAGGCGGGAAGGGAGTGAGAAGAAGGAGGTGATGAGGTGGACAGGCGCACGGCAACAGTTACGGGCGGCCAAGGATAGGCAAGCTGGTGCTAGCTTGCGGGAATGAGGGTTTGTTTTTTTTTCATTTTGAACGGGGCACGGGTATGTGGTTCCAAGAGGGATCCATCACGCGTAGGAAATGAAAGGTCGGAGGTTACGGATGAAAAGCCAACTACGTCTCTTGTTCTACTTGTTTTTCTTCTTTTTTTCATTGTTCGATAGAAGTATATCCTAGTCTCCTCGTCCTGTAATGTAGGAGAAACAAAAAAAACAAAAAACAGACAATTTCAACTTTACCGTCCCACCCTCCAACATGACCAAGGTGAAGGAAGCAAAGCATTACAGGGACATTTACCGATGTCGGATGGATCTATCACCAAAGTAAAAGAAAGGAAGAAAAGAAAACCAGGTAGTGAGATGGGAGCGAGAGAGTAGTATAGTCATGAAGTTGATCGTGGCGGCTACAGCTACAGCTACGCGCCTTGGTCCGCAAGGAACACACGTTCGTCCTACTCCCCAGATCGATCCCGACAACGAAATCCCGCTCTCAAGTTTTCCCGACAAGATAAGAAGAAAGAGAAAAAGAAAAGAAACTAATGTACATGAACCCTCTCCCCCGCCTTCCACCTCTTTAGTCCTATTTTCAACCAACGACCCCCGCCCCCATCTTTTTCGAGAGACTCCCTCCCCAGGGGATATAGTAAGCACGGAAAAAGAGGCAGGCCGAGAGAAGAAGACGCCCCAAATAAACGATTAGCCAGAAACCCAAAATCTAAAAACGAGCAAAAGTCGACGGGGCGAGAAAACGAGGGGGACGGAGGGAACCAGCTGAAGCAGAATGAAAATGCAGCGTGCCAGAACCAACTTGCCCTCCTCCTTCCTCCCACGAGCGTGGCTCTAGATATCACAAAGAAAAAGAAAAAGCGAGGTAGGGGATCTGGCGGGACATATATATCAAGAAACAAGAGCTAGTCGGTCTTTTCTTTTCGCCAGATATCTCGAGAATGCGCATATGGCCTTGATAAACAAGTGACCAAAAAAGAAACAATCAAGCCAGCCAAAGTAATTTAAACCAAAAACAAGTAGAGTAAAACCCGCAATCTATGTCATCAAAGAATGCCTCCATAAGATAATAAAAATAAAAAGAATAAAGAAAAGAGAGATAGGACAGAAGAAAATGGCGTGAATAGAAATTGTTCATATGACGAGGGTAGTGCTCTATTACCTCTCTTTGCCCGGCGTCCGAGTTCCGCTCGATCCTCCCGGAGCTGCATCCGGAGAATCACTGCGTCCCATTCGCATGATTCCCGACAAAATACCCCTAGTAACTCGTCCATTCCGACTAGATCGCAGGGTGCCGGACCCGGATTCGGATGCGGCGGACGCCTGCCTAGTTGAGCGACCCCTCCGCTCCCGGGGATCGATAACGTCACTACCAGAAGAGCCGGGCGGGCGCAAGTTGTGTCCAGATAGCCCGCTGCCGCTGTTATGATAGCTTGCGGCTTCCGCGAGGTCCCATTGAGACGAGGATACCGAAGACGAGAAGACGGCAGACGCGGCCTCGAGATTGCCGCCAGAAGACGAGGAGCCCTGTGTGGCAAAGGAGGACTTCACCACGCTATCCAAGAGAGATACATGATCAAGAGAGTCCGCAAGCTCGTCTGTGGTGATGACAGCCGACGAGGTTGTTGCGGTGGCTAGCGCATCGACGGCCGAGATGGCAAGTGCTTGTGGTGCCGCGTCCTTGGCTCTGATTGATTCCACCTGCGCAAAACACTCGTCGGCGCGCTGCTGCAGCTCTTGGCAGACATCGTTGAATATAAGCAAGTCTCCGTCAGAGCTGTCCTGGCCATCGGCCGAGGGCGGGGAGAGGCCATGTTGTGACCTGGACACCTTGGGCGAGCGGTGGGCGAGTGGATTCACGTCGACCCAGAGCCGGACCAGGCCGGCGTAGTTGCGGGACTGGTCAATCAGGTAGGGCAGTGATGGAAAGCCCTCGCGCGAGATGGCCGAGAGGCGGCCCTGGATCGTTATGGGGGTGGAGTACGAGGCGGGCACGGGGTTAGTACCGCGCTCTGCGGGGATGGAGCATACGTTGTCGATGAACTCTTTGACGGACTGACGGTGGGAGCCCAGGAACTTGTTCATTGGTTCCATCCAAGACTCCTTTTGACCAAACGTAGTTAGATTGGCCAGGGCTTGAAGAGCCTTTGCGATGAGTGTTAAGGTACGCTGCGCTCTTGGGCGGGGGTGGTCTCGAAGCAGCCCAAACAGCTTGGGGCTGAGGATGGCGGGGCAGATGAATCGAAGGAAGAGAAACCCAGAAACACTGGTGTAAGAAACGGTACGTAAGAAGTCGCCGTACCGGTCTTCTGCAACCGCACGAATGTACTTGAGGATGTGCCTTAGTTCCGGCGGCAGCCTACTGGCCGACGCGGCGATGCAGTTCCACACCTCGGTGGTGAGCTGAATGAGCTGGGACCAGTGGTGCTGCAGGATATCGCCTTCCTGGAGTCGACTGGGGTCCACCTCACAGTCGGGGTTGATCTCGTTGATCTCGAAGATCTTGTCTAGCAGCACGTCCTCGAGATACTCCTTGCCGAGGCGGCGCATATGGAACTCGAGTGACTGCGTGAGAAGCGAGTTCCCCGGAAGAGCAGATTTGCCTCACCCGTCAATGACTTGCTCATATCACGCACGATTTGCTCCCGGTCGCTAGCTGAATCCAGCGATTCGCTCGACCGTAGCCGCTTGCTGAACCTGTACGACTTGATGGATGCCTGGTTGCCGATACCGTCAATCTCGTCCTCCACGAGGGCCATCAGCCAGTCTCCCGCCATCCCGGACACCTGAAAGATGTTGAGAAATAGTTCAGATAGTCGTCGGAGATGGTGGGGCATTACGCTCGCGATTTGGGATGTGAGGGCCGACGGAAAGCGGTGCAGTAGCTCAGAGAGAGGCTGGTATTCTTTGGAAAGGAGCACAACGAGCTCTTCATGATGGATCTTGACAAACATGGTGCCAATCGTCTGCTGCCTGTCATCGAGGATGGGAAGCCACTCTTCGTGGTCCTTGCCGCGATCCAGGTCGTCCACCGGTATATACACCGCGCCGCACACGACTTCGGTCAAATTGCCAGTCTTGGGCAACCCGAGTGAAGCCTGCAGCTGGTGCGTAACGCTCTCCATGTTACCCTCGACTTTCTTCAAGACGACGGAAACGTAGGGGAAGCTTGGGGGCAAATCGTAGAATTCACAATCCTCTCGCCAAAAAGGGTTTTTGGTCTGCGTCTTGGTGGTTGTCCGGGCCCGCACCTCGCCATCCATAATCACCTCGGCTAGGTAGTTGCCCATGAGGTTTTCTTGAGGTTCCACCCTCTGCAAGGGGCCAAAATCGACATTTCCCGGCTTGGGTCGCATCTTGGCCTCGGTTAAGCGCAGGCTCAGGGACTTCTCGATGCGAAAGATGCCTTGCGCGTCATGGGAGCTCAGGTCCAGTACTTCCGAAACACCCTCCTTGCTCGCAGGGTCTAGCCGGTAGATGTCGGCTACGGTAAAGGCGCGGAGAAGCACGAACCAAACTTCGAAGTGGACCCTCGTATCGAGCGCCACATACACTGGTCGGAAGATGGAGAGTTGGGTAGAGGTGGAGGAATAGATGGGGAAGATGGCGATGCAGTATTCCTCATCCAGGACGGTGCGATCTAACTTTTGGACGGCACAGCGAGAGAGCTGAGACAGTTCTATCACGGATAGAATGGAGCTATCCGTCTCGGTCAGGAGCTTGAGCTCGCCATTGTCCTGCAAGATGCAGGAAACTCTCCTCCACGAGGTTGCAGGAGACCTCAGATCTCTGGTAGAAGGGCGCTTGACAATGGCCCGTGGTGAAGTGGCGAGACCCTTGTCCCAGAGCATGACTTTGCCCACCTTGATGATACTAGCGCTTTTGGACGGTCCGTTCGAGGAGGTACGCCGCCTGAGATCCGGTCGTGATGGGTTGGCAGGGCTCGTGGGCTTGCTGCTGGCTGGGAGGCCGCCCACAGGCCGCAACTGCTGCCAACAAAGTAAAGCGGCAAGCCAGAGATCCATCTCTTCCTGAACCGATGGCTTGATGACAAGATCCACAGGGGGCATTGAAGTCATGATTTCTAAACAGTCAAATCGGCCGTTTTGCTGTGGGTCGAGGGGCCGGATACGGCAGCCGCGGAGATCATTTATGAGCGGCATGTGGAACGGGCCGTCAAGACCCGAGTCCAACATGAGGGTTCCCTTCTCTTCCTCGATGTAGGCCATGCCTGATTTCCATGGCGCCGAAGGCTCGAGCCTATATTCGACATCGCCCCTCATACGTCCACACAAGTTCTTCATAAGTTGTAGAATCTTGTTGGCATCTTCGGTAGGTATGGGAAGAGGGAGCGAGTCGACGGACGGGGGCGGCGAGATAAGCGGGGAGGTAGGGCGCGATGATTGGCGCTTGATGAGTCTGCGGGCGGATAGTTTTTTCCTTGACCTGAACCTTGAAAGACGAATCCAGGTCGAGTTGCTGCGACGCTTGGCGGTTCGCAACTATGGAGGGGAAGCCGAGGGATTCCAAGGCCGCAGGGTTTCGTAGGTCGTCGAGATGCTGCGAGCCGGCAGACGAGAATGATCCGATTCTCCTGCGGTGGTCAGTGGCACCCATGGAGCTGGCGGACGGCCCTCTGACGGTAGCGGCTTCCATGGTGTAAGTCCTCTGTCGAGGGGGAGTCGTGGTGCCGGCGGGCTCGAGGAGAGGGTGGTGCTACCGCCGGCGGCGCCAGCTGCGCTAGAATCCTCGGCTCCGTCAAAGGTGTCGTTGAAGACCATCCCCTGGCGTCTGGCTGGCCCTCCGGGTATAGACCTCGGAGACGCTTGAGGGGAGTTTGTGGCAAGGCCTGGGCGCGGCCTGTGTATCGTAACAGCCGGCTCCGCGAGAGTGGGGCTGGACACGGGACCAGGAAACTGGGAACCGTGATGCTGGGTAATTTCGGCGTGGCTCGAAAAGTCTAGAGGTTCGGGCGTCACAGCCCTAATAGTGGCTTGGGTATTAGTTGTAGTCCTGCTTGAGGCCGATCGCGAACTCGAGGCGGACACCTTGGACATGTCCATGGGTCGCGACCGAGGTGATTTGGGGGTAGAGCGTCGGGGGACGTAGCGGCGGGTTGCGACCAATCGAGAACTACTACGGAATCTTCCGATGCGTGCGTCGGGTTACGGGAAATTCGTCCATCGATTCCCATAGGCAACATGTTCATCCCATTGTCTCCGGCCGCATCCGGACCGACCCGCATCTAGATGCTTTCAGCGAGGGCCGCGGTAGGACAATCTCAAAAGCACCAATTGCCTAGACGAGTTACGGGAAGCCTCTGCGTTCCGTCGTGGAGCCAAGCAACTACCACGAGTTAATGTAACGACGGATTGGTAGCAACAGGCCCGCGGTAGGTGGGACTCAGGGGCGTCGGCGAGACACCGAGATGGTGAGCGGAGCGGGGGCCAGAGTGAAGAAGGCCGGGGCGAGAAGTCAGGGGCGCTCGGCGCTCGTACGAACACGGGATTAAAAACGTATGTAGGACTCGAGTATGCGCCGGGTCCTTGATTAGTGGTGGTAGTGTCTGATTCACACTATCGGAAGCCCATCACAGGACACAACGTGATTCAACGCAGCAGTTGAAATCCGGCCCAGAGAAACAACGGCCCGGCAAGTGTCGCGCGGCAAGAGCAGCAAGGTTGGTGATTAGAGGCCAAATTGGTGGGACTGGTCGAGAAGGGTTCGGAGGGTTGCCCACGTCAAATCACTAGAGAAAAAACCTGTGGACTCGTGGTGAGGGCGAGAGGTGACGAGGGATCGAACCGAGCCACGAGGTCAAGGGACAAATGGGCGGGTGGCCAAGGGGAGAATTGCTTCTCACAAACGGCGGTTGTCAGCGTAATAAACTCAGAATATCCAGTCGAGCAATGTCGAAAATGTCCATTTCAAAACTGCCGAGACCGAACTTGAACAAGGTGCAGCAGCGATCGGTTGAGTGTTGGTTTCGGAGTCGGTTGAAGTCACGACATGGGACGTCGAGTGCGAGCGGTGGGCGACAAGAGACAAAAAGAAAAAGAAAAAGGGTTTCGTACAAGTGCCGGTACCGAAGAGATGTCTCCTGTCTCGTAAGGTAGGTTGAGGTCGGGCAGAAGCGGTGATTGAAGTTTCGGGGGTGGTGATCCAAGGAAACAAAAAGAGTTTGCGGAGAGAAGATTTGAGGGTAAGCCCAGATGGAGTGAATTGAAGGTGGTGAGTTTCTGAGAGGTGAATCGGAGCAGCATTTGAAGTGTGCGGGAAGGAGACGACCACGCCAAAAGGAACAGAACACCCTAGGAATGTTCAGCGCAGGTACTCTCTCTTCCCCGGCCCAGCAACAAGCCACGCCGGGCCTGGAGGACCACACCTGACGAACTGGACCAAGGTGACAACGCGTCCACTGTAACTATAGAGTGCGCCATAATAGTGTTACGACTTTGCGCACATGTACTCGGTCAAACGACGCCCATAACGATGACTCCACCATTCGTCTATTGAGACTGGAGCCCTGAGCGGCGGCGCGCGCTGGACTGGGGGTACATTGAAATTTCACTGATCCCAGGGTTGTTTCCCTTGCAAAACAGAGAGCACTAGGGAAGGGGTGGAAAGATCAATGGATGCGTAAGTGGAGGCGAGGTGAGAGGTGAGGGGAGGGAAGAGGAAGGAGGGAGGGAGAAGGGGGGCGTGGAGTGGGGGCGGGGGTGGAGGGAGGAAGCCGCTAGTGACTTTCCTATGTGGCCAGGGGACGATCAGGACAGAAGGAGCAAGTGCCCCTGCTCCTCGAGGATAACCAGTGAAAACGACGATCGAGTGCCCAAATGCTCTGAGCAGTGATGGGGAAGCAAGCCCCCAGTTCCATTCCTAGCCACTTTCAGCCCCCTTGGACGTTGACACTCTGGTGGTTTGGAGTCAAATGCTACCAGTCACTTGTGCCCGGACTTCCAAAACCACTGGCTGAGTATTCTGGTCTCTTGACAATGTCTAGAGAAGCGAGTCGCAGCTGTCTGCTCACAAGGCTTGTCGCCGTTTTGCCGGGGTCTTTTGGGGAAGGGGAAAAGCCTGGTCATATCGGCAGGCTGCGGTACCAGATTGGTTCCCTCGTCCCGCCCTTTGTTTTTTCAGATGCAAATGGAAAGAGGGCGGAGGGCAGCCCTGATCGGTAGAACATACGGCTGGGTGTTCCTTACATGTCGGCACCGGAGACCGAGAGATGGGCATACTATATTCGTCGGGACATTCTCAGCTCGACAAAAGGAAGGGGCGGGCGGGTTGCAGGAAGCCGAGATCGCAGATGCCGATTGCTTTTTCTTTTTCTTTTGTCTTGTTTCCCTTGCCTCTCGCCAAACAGAGGAAGGAATGATAATCGACGACAGGCACAAGCCAAGCCGGATCAGCTCCTCAACAATGTGCGATTAGATCGAGTCGGGACACATGGCTCCATCAAGAAATCATTTCTCAGCTACTCCTGGTAACAATTTCTTCTTTTTCCCTTTGTCTTTTCCTTATTATTTTTTTCTTTTTGTATCCGCACCCCCATAATGCAACCTTCCTTCTCCACTTGAGATATTCTTCATCAATCTCCACCACTCGTTGCATCATTGCAGCTGTCTTGTCTTTTCGGCTACGGAGAGGACATCTTCACAAGGGATCAAGGTCCATCTTGGAGAGATCAAGACCCGGCCCGGTTCAGGCTCTACCTTTTCCGCCCGACCTATTCTTTTTCCCCCTCTCTTTCTATCTTATGCTTCCAACATCTTCTTTGAAGTTGAGAATGGACTGGAGAGGGAGACTCTGCTCTGGGTCTGACCCACCCACATCCCTCAAAGCTCTACACCACATTCGACAATACTAACCTCCTTGAACGCCATGAATCGAGCACCCAAAGTGATCAATTGAGAATCAAATGCCCCGAGGACCTAAGCGGACAGATGAATTTTCTATCTTCTCGTCTTGACTCCCCATGTAATACTCAGTCTTCTCATCGATCAAGCCAGAAAGAGCACAAGCAAGCAACAAGAGAGGACCAATGGCCCCCACCGTTCGGTTGCATCTTGATTCCTAATCGGGCCATGTACAAAAAGCGGCTAAAATTTCACCAGTCCTTCCCACCCAGTCTACACTAAAATACTGAACGAGGTCAGACGAGACAACCATCCGTGCAGGCTCAAAAACCTCGTAGCTTCAGGAACCTCATCAAGATAGTACCGTCCGTCCGTCTTTGTCCAAGGTGGATTTCTTCCACTTCCCAACTTGTCAATGTATGTATTATTACGGCTTGCACACAGCCGGATACTTCTAATGTGCTGTATCGGAAGATGGGATTAGGCACATCCATAGATCTTATGTGCCCAATGGGGAAATTCCCTTGGTTGGCGGAAACCCCCAGCTCGACAAACAGAGCACGAGAGCAGCGCTGGCGGAAGAGGGTCTTGGCAAGCGAGTAATTACTCCATATTAACTTTAAGCCAGGGATGCAAAGATGACTGGCGGACTCTACCAGGGTCGAGAGCTGCTTGTTCTTGCGGGGAAAACCTGGACGACCCCATCAGCAAACCCCTGCTGGGCGTGGCCAGGGGGTCGGGGTCCACAGCACCAAGGAGCCTAGGCCACATCGAGCACCAGAGGAAGCTCAGTGGCACCAAGGAAGCCTCACGCTTTGCAGGCGATTCGGAGAAGCTAACATTGGCAATCTCCCTACTTTACCTCTCAGATCCCAGGTCATCAAAACATTCGAATTTCAAGATGAGCATTCGGGGATTACTTTGTAATACTTGTCGTACATGCATCGCTTCCAGAACCCTTGCCCTCCACCCCGAGGCAAAGAAGGAAAGTGATAAGGCAGACTTGGTCAAGGAACTCTATTCCGCCTCGATTCCTTCAATGGGGTCTTGAGTGGAGAAAGGGATCGGCGATTTCCTTTTTCGTCCCATGTCGGGTCTCGGGTCTCGGAGTCGACGAGAGATTATCATTCCTTCCAAACACCGCCGGTGCGAGTGACATCTCGTCGAGTTGGAGTTGATACCTGTTTTATAGTGTATACTGCTAGTATGCTATATTGTTGAGAGGGGGTGTCAAACCCCTTGCTGTTTAGCTCCTCCGCGTTCGCCATCGCCCGTTTGTCAATTGCTATCACCGAACCCTCCGGGGTATACATGTCAACAGTGACAATGGAGCGAGCGAGCCAGGCAGCGGGACTGCCTCCCGCCTCCCGCCTCTCAACTACCCCCTACCGCGAGCCAAGTTTAGCCTGGTGATGCGCCCCTTGATCCCCTGCCAGGCTCACAAGTTCTTCCATTACCCTGTTTTGGCGCAAACGCAAGGCAAAGACGAGGCTCCTACTTGTAGCTCTCACGCGCCAAACGCCACACAGGAGATTTTAGGTGCCTGTTCCTATCAGCAGGCCGAGGTATCGACAAGTGCCGCCTCGATTGATCGGATGCTGGGCCCGGAGAACGCCGTCGGAGGTGGGGGAGGGCGAGACAGCGAGGTTGAACCTAAAAGCTGACGGGTGTTCATCATAAAGTGGCCCACTCCCACTAATAGATCCACCACAACCGGTAGGAGGGCCAGAGGGATCGAGGGACAGCAAGGCTTGGAAGGGTATGGAAAGCTAGTGAGAGACAAAAAATCAAGGCAGGCAAGGAGAAGGGGAAGGAAAAGTGCCACCAAGGCGGCGTTTGCCTTTGGCGCTTATCCGTGGTGCTGGTGGAGGAAAGGGCAACCTTTTACCACAACGGGTTCCCTCCAGGAGCAGATGACGTTGATGGGCAACGTCTCCGCGGCCTCGCCTCGCCGTGGGAGGTTGTGCTTTTCTTCCTGTTCAAGACTTGCTCTATGCTAGATTTGTACAAGACCACCCGCCTCACCTCAAGGCCTAGTGAGAGCCAGGCCAGAGTCAGGTCCGTGGACAATCCTCCACTTTGGCCGTGCCGTGCGCGACGTTATCGGCTAGGCGCTGTCAGAGCTCTCCTCCTTGTGTGTACCTTGTGCTCTTGTTTCGCTTTCGTTTGCCATCTCTTTGCCCAGGGCATGGCCCGCACGATGGGCGAAACAAAAAACCACGAAGGCAACCATCAGCGCACGTCCTCTCACAAGTTTGGCGAACAGACTCGGGGATGAGGGCATCCAGGCCAAGCTTGGTGCAAATCAGGCAAAGGCGGAGGAGGCACTGTTATTGTTTTGTCCTTTCTCGTCTGTTCACGGATCATTTAACTTGGTGTCGTGTTTCGACGATCTCATATCCCACGCCTCACTTTGCCGGCCACGCAGTCCGGGCCGCCCAAACTCTTCGAACCGCTCACGGAGCCTAAGGCTAGCGGGGAAGAAGCTGTTCAAGGACCAGGGCGGAGGTTATCTCCCCCTTTCAATACAACGCTGCAAGCAATTGAAAATGCTGCCCATGTGACAGAGGGAGTCTGGAGCGACGTCCATGGAAGGAAACAACCCTGGTTTCCCTTCCCTGTTAATTTTTTTTTCTCATCTGAACAATGAGGTATGTGGAGATTGAATCCAGGCGATCATTCAGTGGGAGGCGACCTCGGTAAGGCGAGTCACACACCTAGGCAACACGACACAGGCGCAAATGACACCTATCAAAGTCGCAACTACACTACGCCAACGTCGAAGAACATGATGGATCAATGATGGCCCAAAAGGAACATTGAATGCCAGTGCTGAATAATGAGACCAGGGACTATGTGAGCGGGAGAGAGGATTCCAGACCAGGTCATAATACGGCTACTAATAATACTCCGATGCCACATTTCAGGCCGTATGCAAAAATCGGCCAGCAAACAAATTGATGAGATGCAGGCATCATGAGATTGCGCCGCGCGGACTCTAGGCTTCTTTGAGCCCCGGAACCACCAATGCTTGGCTTGGCTGCCTCGACTGCTTTCATGTCAAAACATTCCAGTGAAACGAGAAAAACACACACAAACGACGGGCCTGGACTCGATGTGGCTTCATTCCTTTTGCACGACGTCAAGCTGAAGCCCTCGAACCTGTCTTCTTTGTTCTTTGTTCTTGATAGTTATTTTTGAACTTTTATTCTTTTTTACTTTTCCTGTTTAACCTTTTTTGATAAAAATAAATTATAAAAAGGGCAAAAGGGGTCCCGTTGCCGTCCCTGCAGGAAGGAAAATGCACGTTCCCACCATCAGCGAGGCCAGTTTTTGTTTTTGGGTTCCTTTCTGGGCCCTTTTTTGTTCTTTCTCGAAGAATCGGTTCAAACGCGGCTATGCGAGATGATGTGTCCAAACCTCCCAACGACGGGTCCGCGACATTACGTTTAATTTCAGCGTAGCCCTGTTCGACCAGCACTAGACACCTCGTGTCATGTGTTGAAAATGATGTGTGTCTTTTTTTTCTTTTCTTCGACGCAGCATCGCCGTCGACAAGTCATCGGAGGGTTACCAAGATGGACGGTCGTCGTGTTGGCTTGGTTGGAGAAATAATCCATGGTTCTACTAGTCTTCCACGTTGCCCTTTCTGTTTAGAGCTCGTTTGGGTCCGCGTGGCTGAGGAGAGTAAAAGGGGGATGACCCGGTAAATAATAATACCAGAACCAAAAGAATGTGCGCGTTGGAACGAGGGCGAGGAAAAACTCTCCGAGCTCCGAGATGGGCATAGGGAGCGACATCGACGTCGGTGCATCTCCCGTGGTTTTTTCCCCTTCTTAGGTTCACCTCAACTCCCTTTGGCCATGTGGCCCGTGACGATCACAGGATGCTAAAGCCAGGACCGCCCACCGGAGACAAGGACAGAAGAAGCGGGAGACGATGTTGTGTAAGAAAAGGAAGAGAAAAATCAAATTACCGCTCAGCTCGAAAATTCTCGAAACGCCTCCAGCCCCAGATCCCCACCACCTTTCAGTCTCACGGCCTACGCCGGGCCCCCTTGTTCCATACCCTCCTTTTTCTTTTTTTTTCTTTTTCCCCCAATCCCGCTCTCGGCTCTCCCGTCTCCGTGTCTCCGTTCCCATTCACCCCGAATACTCCGACCACAACCCCTTACATGCTCCGCCTCCTCCCCCTCGGCACCAAAAACAGGAGAGATCTCCAAAAAGGCCACGGCTACGAAAGGATAGAAGAGCAAAGAAAAAAACTTCTCTTACTTTCTCCCCTTTTTCCTTTGTTTTCTCTCCTCCGAGCCACTCCCCACTTAGAAACAGAAGCAAGAAGAAAAAGTATTCCCTTCGTCTTATTCTAATTTCACCGAACCTAACCAAGTTCAGGTCTCGTCTCCGGCTTGCAATCTTCCCTCTCTAAACCGGAAAAGAATTCAAAATAAGAAAAAGAAATCTTCAGATGGTAGTTGACCCCCACCGAGAAGCAACCTCTTTAATCCCACTTCTCTATTATTCCTCTCCTTCCCCGGCCGGTTACGCAAGGGAGCGGAGGGGTTCTTGACGGCACACACGTTGCATCCTCCTCGGGACGACGTCCATGACGACATCCTTATTCGCAACTTCTCCCCAAACGGGCCCAAAGTCCTTGCTTTTTCATTCTTCCCTTGTCTAGTCTTAATCCACAAGTCAAGTAATAATGATAATAATATAACTAGATTATCTTAAAATGAAAGTGAAGAAAAAAATTGCGGGACGGAACAGATAACAACCCTTCTCGATCCATAATATTAGCCTTCATCCCATCTTGACTCCATCCCCGTTATCAAACGAGACGGTGGCCCACATATTTTTCTTCTTCCCCACATCCCTTGGCCATGCCAGTCCCACCACGATGCTCACCTCAACCCCCGGCCGAGGACCCATAGGCCGGGGGGCAGTTGCGCACATGCTTCAAGCATTGGGGAGGGGTTCGCGGGCTAGCAAGAGAGTGGGAAAATCTCGGCAAGTATTATGAAGGAAGAATACTTTGATGCTTCGTATCGTAAATGCTAGGATTAGAAATTTACGAGAGTTCGACGGCCTGCTTGGTTGCCGCTCTCAAGATGCTACGAGGAACACATCGTAGCTAGGGTGTACTAAACTTGATTAACCCTCTCACCTCCATTCTCGCATCGGTTTGGCGACCGCCTCTCTCCCTGCGTGAAATGGAGTCTGATCCAAAAGAGAGAGAGAGATGACCAAGCTAGACGCAAGATATACTAGAACAACATTACCTCTGATGCATGCCCATGACATCACACAGCTTCTCCTACGGATCTCGATGAGAACGTGCGACAGAGGGTGGACACAGAGGGTGGACACATATGTATAAAGTCAATCTCTTGGAGTTTGTCAAATTGGCTACGGTTCCCCTAGATATGTGGGATATCATTCTCGAAAAGAGCTTCAATCAAGAGAGGAAAGAGAGAGACATTGAGACCAAGGTTACCCACGACGTGAAGTGCAAAAGAGGAGAGAAAGAAGGCTAAGAGAGGTATCAAATCTTTTGAAGGAGATAAAAGGGGAAAGAAAGGCCTGAAAGAGGATTGGAGAAACCGTCCCTCTATCCTCCAACTATCGCTCTTAGGTTCACAAGAGGATAAATTGGATACTTTCGAGGATACAGGCAACAAGTTTAACCTTCTCAAACAGGCGCAAGGCACAAGGCCAAGAAGGAGATTTTTAAAAGAAGAAGAAAAACGAGGCTGCAGTCGGAATCGTCGGGGTCGTCGTCATCGAAAGTGAAAAAGGAGAAAGCCCAGGGATATATAATGGGAAGAGGGCGCAAAAGGCGGTAAAAGAAAAAGACGATCCGAGAAGGTTAGCGATAAAGTAAAGCAGGAAGATAAGAAACAGGCAAAGAAAAACAAGAAGAAAGCCAGCTCAAGATCCCAACGCAGCATTTGATATATTTCATTCCTATCCCGTCCGAAACTCCGAAATCCCATTGCTTGACTCCCCTACTGTTCAAGGGAAATGTTGATCCCCAAAGAAGGCAAGCAAACCGAAAAACGAGAAAAAAAAAAAAAAAAAAGAAGCAGAAAAAAAGGTAAAGGTATTGGCAGGTCGGAGGCGGCATCCCAAGAGTTCTGCCACTCAGACATTGATCCGCCTACCGTCGTCCTCTTATTTGTCACAGCAATTCCATTTATGGCCCCTCGTTTTCTTCATAAAACTCGCCAATTCTTTTTCTTCGTCAAAGGCCTGTCTGTTGGCCTTGCTCAGTCGCACTCGACGATTCGCGCAGTCTTAGCGTGAGCCGGGCCCCTCAATTGGGCTGGTCGGGTAACTTTTACTCCCGCTGAGATCGCCGCTGCCGGTCCGTCTCAACGCCTGTGACATCGTCTCCACATTGATCTCGCTGCCCGCGCTAGCACCATGTAGTGTACCGGCAGGGCTGCCGATGGGCTTGCGGGCGGGGGACATCTCTAGGCCCTTGATAGAACCCGACTTGCTCGTTGGTGGCGAGTACCGGGGCCCTGGGAGGAGACGGGGAGCGCATGGGGGATGGAGCGCGGATCGATGTGAGCCCGGCAAGGTGGATAGAGCTGCGCTTGTTCGGGGAAGCTCCATGATGCTGCTCGGCCTGGACGACGTCGGCGAAGGAAATAAAGCTAAGGCGACGAATATCAACCGAGCAGTCGAGGGGCGAAAAGCTCGAGACGTCGTCGCGATTTAGGTCGCGGTCGGCAAAGATACAAATTCCTCGGCCCACTGATCGAACGACTGGTGCTGCGGCTGCGGGGGCGGGATGGCCCCCGTAACAGCGAGGAAGCTGGGAGGTGGGAAGCATGCGTCAAAATCTCGACGCTGTCCGGATCGAGGTGCCGGTCGGTGATGGCCTCGGACGAGGCGTTCAGAACCGGCGGAATATGGTTCTCGGTTTGGATGTGGGAAGGTATCGCAGGGGATGTGGGCAAGATGACGCTATCCTGCACGTCACGCTCAAAAATCTGGGAGCCAGCGGGGGACGAGAGCCGAGGGGAGCTCGATAGCCCTCGAGTGGGTGAGGAGGGTAGGTCGAGAATGACATATCGTTGGGATTTTGGCGTGAGGGCGACGTCGCCGATCGCGTGGCCGTCGTGGAGATCTTTGATGAATCGCGGGAGAGGGTGGGGCTGCCTGCGGCGACGGACCCGGGAGGTGACTGGGTCGCCGGTGCCTCGCTCTGCTTCTTCTTGCTCAAGCTGAAAAAGACGATCGCTTCTTGGACGACTTGTCGGTGGTGGCGGGGGTGATTTGAGCAGGCTCACTCAACCTGGGTGTCGTCCCCGCGCTTGGCTCGAGCGGCAGCCGGGGTGTGCTGCCAGCAATATGCGCGGAGATGGGCGCGGACTCGGCGAGACTCATGGCTCCGGTGGTTCTGGGGGTTTCGACTTTGGGTCGGATTTATTCTATTCGGACAAGAAGGAAAAAAAAAAAAAAAGAATAGCAAGCAGAAGCCGGTCGAGGGGGCAAACCCAGAATGAAAGGGAATTCTCCCGCTTTATTTAGTAGCGATGGGGAAGGGTGGATAGAGGTGAATCGGGTGTTTCGTCCTTGATGGGATGGGTGGATCAACCAAGCTGGCAGGGATTCTAATAAGCCGGGAGTCAGTACATGCAGGGACGTCGTCACGGGTGCCGTGTGAGAGACGGAGATAATGACAAAAAAGAGGGAGAAACGGGCCGCAAAGTGGTTTGGGCGATGGCGGTGCAGCACCCTCGCCTCTCTTGCCGAGAATCCCTTTCAGGTCATCGCCAAGGGTTAGGGGAAAAAAAAAAAACAAGTGTGGTTCGATGGGTAGGCGCGGATTTTGGAGTTATGCAGGAAGTTTGGACTTTCGCCCCTCCGCTCTCTTTCCAAAGTGATAGGGAATTTTGCATAGGCAAGTAGGGAACAATAAGGAGAACCAGATGCCATCAGGGGACAAAGGACAAGGCCGGTGGGGGAATCATGATCGTAGGAGAGGAGGAAAGGTGGGTGGGTGTGAGAGGCAGGTGGTGAGCAGGCGATCAATCAAAAATGGCTGCAGGGTTGGCTGAGCGTGTGACCTCAAAAGTCTGTCTAGACTTTGACCACTTGCTGGATTTGCCCAGTCATCCGGCTCTACCAACACCTAAGAGCAACACGATACAGGGAACCAAGGAGGGGCAGGGAGCGGGAATCCTCGAGCTCGCCGACTTCTTCCTTCAAGCGGGAGAGATTGGCTGGTTTCGGCACATACCGTTCAGAGAAGGAATACAGGAGAGGATACCGTTTGCGCAACACCCACGAGGGCGAGAAGGGATGAGAAGGAAGTGTACTCTGGAGGCGATCACAAGAGGTGGGTAGCGGAGAGGAGGAAGGGAATTAGGACGAAAAGAAGAGAAGGGAGTCAAGAAAGAGGTGGGCAGAGGAAAAAAGGGAATGTGATGCTCTCGGGCAGATACGGGAATATAGGTGTCGGCTCGGTAGTCGAGGTGGTAGAGGAGAGGATGCAGGTATAAGGATGTGATGAAAAGCAGAAGCAAAAACTTGCACGGGAAGAAAGAAGAGTAGGAAGGGAATGATTTACCTCTTGAAGCAACAAGCCGGGTTTGAAGGGCTGGTGACGGTGGTCGGGTTGGCCAAAGGTTCCGGGCTCCCACGAGCTAACTGAGATGGGAGAAAGACAAGCCCCAAGTAGGTCGCAGCCAGACAAGATGAGAAAGAAGGAAGAAAACACGAAAGGGAAAGAAGAAAGGATGATCCCGAAACTTCAAAAACGACCCTTTTTCCTCTAACTGGTTTCTGTGCCGTGGACGTCAGTAGTGAGGCGTGGTGTACTTGGAGAATGTGTGCTGGCTTCCTTGCTCTTTCTTTTTTTTGTTTGGCTCGTGGTCTCGTTTCTTGGAATTTTCCCTCCTTCCTTTTCCTTATTTGTTTATTCACCTCTTCCTTTTTTCTCCTCTCCCTCTTCGACCTGCGTCAGCAAGGGAAACCTGAAAATAGTTTCAAATCGGCACAGGCGGACTTGACTTTTTTTTGCGGCGGGGCGGACGCGACGGGAGCTGACCAAGAGGAGCTGCGGAGTCAAGGGGGCGGCGACCAAGCAAGATCCAAATATGGCCTAGGGGACTTGAGAGTGGCCCAAAAGGAAGGAACGAGCCAGCAAGCAAGAGGGCCTTGTGGGGGATGTGGGTAAGTCAACTCTTTTTCCTATGTCCCACTTGCCCCTTCTCTTTTCGAGCTACGTGGTGCGTGCGACCAAGATTTCGAGGTGTGATGACGTGATGTACTCTGGGGGTTTTTCCTCGTCCGGGTTAGGTGCCCACTAGAGAGAACCGCGTGTCGCTTTACTTGAACTCCGTTTCCTTTTTTCTTCTTCTTCTAATACCCGGCTGTCTTGCGTTTTATTTGACGTTGGCTGAGGAGGTCGTCAAAAGTTTGAAACGTCTAAGCAACGCCACTGAAATGATGGGAGTCTTGGAAAAGGAGACTTAATGGCGATGGAGGGGAGGGCAAAGGCGGGGAAGTAGGGGCTCAGACGACAAGGGAGCTGAAGCGTCGACGCATAGATGGTAAGGGGTAGGATAAGAGGCAGTGTATAAGCGTAGGTTGAAGGCGAGGTGAGATCAAGAGAGACCACAGGTGAGGGAGCCGAAGTAAAAGGAGATGTATGAAGTCGAAAAAGTGAGAGCACGAAAGAGAGGGAAAGGGACAGAGAAGATGTTTTCGAGAGTGTATATCGAGATCAAGGAGGGCTAACAAGCGTGTGCTATCTGGTTGACATGGTGAACCGTGTATATTGCAGTGCTCCCTCGGCTTGCCTGGAAAGTAGGCCGGAGTTCAAGGGCGCATCGTATCGCCGTCCATCCTGGAACATTCGTCCGGGTACTTGCAATTTGTTCACGGTTCAGGCACTCGCCCGCGACAACCAGAGAGCACTTGAGAGGATAGGACGGATGAAAATTATGGCCAGGACACGTTATCTTTTTTCCCCCTCCAACTACATAGTACTTGTCCTTGTCGGGGAACTTCCTTCTCATTGTTAGCCCCCTTTGTGAACCGCTCCTTCTTCCCACCAAAAGTTTGATTTTCTGTGATTTACCAAACTACGGATCGGGAGGCGGGCTTGGGGAAAGTTGGTGATTGGCGCAGGGGGAAGGAGCATTTCAGCCTGCACCTGTTCTTGGAAAGGAGGGGCCTCTATATCAGACGTTTCAATAATAAGCTCAAGCCCGTTAGGCGGAGCGCTAGATATTGCAAGGCCAACAGCAGACCAACACGCCGTTCTTTTCCAAACACCCCTTGGAGGATGGAGGAAGGGGGTAAGGGCGACTGGCCACCATGCTAGGAGAGACAGGTCAACCGTAGCGTAGAAAAAGAACAGGTGGTATTATGTTGATGTGAAGGGCATTGACGTTATGGCCTTGGGGGCGGACGAACAAAAGTAATGCCACATCATGATATCCACCTAATACTTGGTACTCCCCTTCAATACTGGATTTGCGACCTGCAAGCCATGCCGGCCGGGGAAGAGGGGGAGACTGCCTCGGTACGGTGGCTCAGAATCTTCGACATCAGGATTGGGGTCGCGCGCAGCTTGATCCCTGCGGCATGGCTTCTCAACTGCTTGATTCGAGTCACGGATCGTCAAGAGCGAACACCTTGGCTTGCGGGTGGCGCTACAAACAATGAGGGATAGATAGTTTTTGCTAGCAGTTCCACCAAGTCCAACCATGCGAAGCATCCACTGATGCTCATTACTAAAATATCATCAAGCTTCAGGGTCGGCCAACGGCTACAAGAACTAACGGGTAGGCAGGTCCGAGAGTCAAAATAGCAAATGCAGGCGGCCTAACATGTAGATGGACTAAGGAAACTATCAGCCATTAATCCAACCGATAAGTTTCATATGCGTCCTATTGGTCCTCATTTTAGACAACTTTTGTTTTCGTAGGAGGGAGAGGGGATTTGGAGGAGAATTTCTTTTTGAAAAAGTAAACAAATATCCAGTCACACAAGGATGGTGTCAAATGCTAAGGCTTGCGTAGACACTCTTTGATTATATTGACGGTTTTCGTGGAGCTCCATCACTCTTCTGAAACATTGCCCACCCCCTTGGCCGACCGACTGATGTGAACTTCAAAGTTGCAGGCCATAGAGTACTTGCTCATCCATGATCTTTGTCTTTCTACGCTTCCCTCTCGGACAAAAATAGTAAGAGGCACTTGCTTCCTTTTTCTCTTCCCTGATCTCTTTTTTTCTTCTTCTTCTTAATGCCCGCCGTACCAGCTAACATTGGCCTACGCTGACCACGGAGCATTGGCCTGATGCCCTCGTATAATAAAAAATTACCCACCAACTTACTGCAGGTTTCCATTGGTGTTGGCCAGATGCTCAATCTAGTTCCTTGTAGATAACACGACATTATCAAGGAACGGCGGTGCAAGGCGACAGGGGCGCCTCCGTTTGAATCAGGTCAACATCGAATAGATTAACCCGCCCGCCACCATGGCCTTTGGTTTCCCCTTGCGAATTTGCCATCCGGCGGGGAGGAAAACTTCAATGGCGAGTACTTGTACATTAATGGGACGGGAGTAATAAGGGAGGATGGATCTACCGATCAACGGGTCAATGGATGGATCCTTCAGATGCTGCCTGCACTCTCACCTGTGGTCGGGTAACGCCCGTTTGCATCCTTCTTAGGCCGTGGTTGCTGAGAAAATTGCCTTATCCTCCTAGACTGACTTGTTGGCTTTACGCGTATTATCAGACTGGATCCATCTAGCTACTACGCCAGTCTCCCCAAGTCGATTCTGCCAACGCCACGTCCGGAAAGGAAAGTTGGAGGGGAGCTCGTTTAGCTCTCTTCCCCTTTCAGAACTCTTCCAGCTAATTTTTTTCCTTGTGCTGCTGCTGTTGTCGTGCCCTTTCTTTTGAAACACCGTCTCGGCCTAACAAAAGTAAGAAAGGGCTGGACAATCGCCATGTAGTAGGCCCGAAGTCACCAGGGACGATAGATCGCCAAACCCCTCATCTTTCCCCCTCAGGCTTAATCACCCATTCAATACTATTCGGCGAGTCTATTCGCCTCGAGAAACGTGCTCGAGTCAAGGCCTGATAAGATCATGATATTGTGTGGCGCTCGAAATTCAAAGGCCGGTCACACACTCCATCTCAAATTGGAAAGAATCATTTAGCTCCGTCGTCCTTTCGAAAGGAGGCAGGTAGGATGGTGAAATTACATTCAAGTCTTGTCTCTTATTGTCTTTCTTTTCTTCCTCTTGAGTTTAAGTGCCTTTTCTTTTTCCCCTCTCTTTTTTCTCTTAACGATTGTTTCCTTTCCTTTGGATTGATCGTCGCATCCCGTGTCTTCTCCCGTGTTGGCTGTTCTGCGGTGGGCGGAAAGATCATGTGTACCTGCAGAGCAACCGATATTCATGCGCTTACACGCACCACCCAAGGAAAACTCTCTTCCTGCATGGTCATGTCGGGACGCCGGGGGAGGAGGGGTTTGCCCCGCCGCACGTCCAGCTGGTGAACATCAGATGGCAACATATCCACAATCTCGCCTTTTTCTTCTTCTTTTCCCTCCTTTTTCTATGTCAGGGAAAATAAAAAAGAGGAAGACAAGAGGAAGGGGGCCTAGAACGTGGCCCAGGGCTGGCTCACTTGGTCAGCCAGCCCCCAAAACCGCGCTGATCGCTCAACGCCCTCAACGAGATGCTCTCAATGCTATGTACTTTTTAATGTAAGTGGGGGACCAGGACCATGATAGGGCTAGATGACAAGCCCGCACCACTTGGTGAACTTTTGGGATATGGAAGGGGTGAAGTGCATGCGGAAGGTGGAAGGCGCACCGCCCGCCGTTATTGATTTTCTTTGGATTGCTCGTACATCAAAGGAAGACCACTCAGGACCTCGACTTGGACTCCCGTGCAATCTGCTCAGGTTGACAATCCGCCCGTGGCTGGGCACGAGGCACACGCAGCACCGCCGAGACTACCCGACTAGCTTCCCCCTATGGGCTAGCCTTCCATAAAACCTTTTCTCATCTACTTGTATTATAGACTGCCACGTTTGGGTGCTAATATCCTGTCGCACACACGCAAACACGCACACACGTACACACGTACACACGAACCCCTCCTCGATCTAGCGGCTTGCCGAAAGGATCTATATGCCTTGCCGCCGAACTGTACGGTAATATTGGCTGCACTAGCCTTGGAGTAAAAAAGCAGCAACATACGCATTTAATGAAAAGAGGTGGATAAAAAAGAAGTAAAAAGCTGGGCATGAGAAAAGCAATTGGATCCAGGAACAACAACTAGTTTCCTCTAGTCTGTAATCCACCTCGAATTTCCACTCCGCCTCCTTCCGGGCGGCCTCGTCGTCGGCGTTCTTGCCGTTTTCCGGGGCACTAAATCCACCCGCCCAGTAAGTAAAAGCAGAGAGGCCTCGCGCGTAAAAGCATCAATGACATCCTCTAGAGACAAAGTGTTCTCGACCCTCTTTTTTTTTTTTTTTTTTTTTTTGGAAGCATATTATACGCAACGCCTTATGCTTGCCCCTTGCTCCCCTTTTCCAGATGACGTTGTGCCGCGTTGCGCAAGCCACGCTTCCTGGGCGCCCCTCGATGCCCCATGTCCCCCCGTTCTTCGCCACCCCGATCCCTGGCCAGAAACGTGCCATTCATGCCACGCTTCAGGTCAGCGGCACCTTTTTTTTCAAGGAAATTTTGATTGTTTTGTTCTATCTTTGGTCATTTTCCGTGGCTGGCTTGAGGCAGTTCCCCTTGAAATACCCAGCTATGCTCAACAAGAGGGACTTTGCTTCAGCTGTTTCTCAAATGGGGAGCTAGCGCTGTCAGTGATCCTGCCCCCTCCTCGCTGCGTGTGTGTCCCTGAGTGGATTGATCCACTCGGGTCAACTTGAACAAGAAAGCGGACCTTGCATAGAGGAGGATCACGCGTCCTTCTAATCTAGTCGATAGACCCAGCCGATTGATCAAGCCGGTTCCATTCTATGATGAGCATGACGACCATTATGGCTTTTCATCACACTCCTCATCCCATCCCCTCCTGTTGAACCATGGGGGAAGTACTAAACGAATATCTCGTGGTATTGCCATTATATTCTTGTCCCAAAGTAGAGGCTCGGCCGCCTTTCCCCTCCCCTCCCTCTTCTCCGGGGCCCCTTCTTCCGGACCCGGGGATCCAGCCGAAACGCTCAACACGCACATAATCGGTCACGCACAAGGTGGGACCGCCGAAAGGGATAAGGCTGATGAGGGGACCAAAGAAGGAGAAGAGAAAAGCCAGAATCGGGCGGACAGGCCCCGACAGGCCTGCTGACATCCTTTCTCTTTGGCCCTTTCTCTTTGGGGTCCTTTCTCTTTAATCAGCGCCGCTCCTCGTTCACCCATTTGCTCCAGTGTAGATTATGGTGCCGACTTGATTATCTCCTTTCACCTTCAGGCAGTTGTCCCTATATACCCCTGTCTTCTCTATCCTTCACAGCCAACATTAATTTAGGCGAGAATCAAAGTGTAGATTGCGTCCGCTATGGCATCCCGCCAGTGCTTCTAGAAGGATTGGAGAGTTTCGCCGGAGCTGGGGGTTTCCGCCCCTTGGACGGTAGCAGCTATCAGTTCTGTTATTGGGCCGCCTGGTGCAGCAAAAATGGGAGGTCATGCTCCATTGAGAGATATCTCAAGGCTGGGTCAAAACGAAGGTCTTAATTCTCCCTCATGTATTGGGGTGAGGGTAAATCGCACTTTGAAGCTAGTTAGGTCTTTGACTGCTTGCGTGAGAAATTCGATCCCATTGTCGCCTTTTGCGTCCTTTCCATTCTTCCGACTTCTCGAGAGCTCCCAAGTGACCTCTCGGAGCCAATCCATATTGTCGTCGGGGCCTTGCTGTTCTCATATTCTGTTGCATCCCCTATTCGATATCACATACGCCTTGTATCATGTCCTGTGACAGAAACATGAATTTTCATGCGTGCGTACCGCGAACCCCTCGCTCAGCCAGCAGCCCACAGCTTCCCCTTTGTTCCAGAGCACCCATGTCTTGATCTTGGTAAAATCGTGCCATTTCCAGTCAAAGACGTTTCTAAAAAGTCACCCGCCCCATCCCGTTGTTCTGGCGTCCCACGCTGTGATTAGGTAATCGAGAAACACCATGTCGCATTACCTAATCATCCCGAGGAAAGCGAAAATCTTCGCGATGGCCGTTCAGACCACCCAATCCCCTTTTCGGAAAGCTTCGTTTTTTTTTTTTCCCTTCAGCCCTTTTTGGTTGAAAGAGAAGCCCATCGATCCCTCACGCGACACACACCCCCGAACCCAAGGACGAGACCGCGAAGGGGCTCCTTCTTCTCCATTCCTTTCCATTTTTTGTGCCGGCAGGTTTACTCTTGAGACCTTTTTCGCGCGACAACTTGGCATTGACGACTAGCTTCGCGACGCTGGGCTGACCCCCTTCTGCCAAAAGAACATTTCTCGCTTTGTTTCTTTCGATCGCGACGGAAGCTCCATCTCCTCTTCCATCTTCCAAACGGCTCGCCCGATCCAAAAGATCCCTCCTGCTTTGATGTATCAACAGCAACGCGAGCTCTAAGCAGAACCGACAAAAAGAATATCCCCCAGAAACCGCAACCATGAGCTCCACCCTCGCCAACCAACCTCTCTCCAAACTCCTCTCCTCCCTCCGCCTCTCCACAACCACCTCCTCCACCTTTCTCGGCCCCCAAACCTCCCTCGCCCTCCGCCGCTCCCACCAAACCACCGCCCGCACGAAGCGCGCCCTCCGCATCCGCCCACATCCCTCCCACGTCCTCCGAACCGCCGACGCCCCCGCCACCGCCACCACCACCACCACCAGCTCTTCTTCTTCCTCCTCCGGCTCCTCCTCGGCCCTCGACGAAGTCGTCTTCAACCCCCTCCGCCCAACCCACCGTCTACCACACCCCCTTCAAATTCCTCCCCAAATCCGACCCCCGCCGCAGCACCAACCTCCAGCTCCTCTTCCACGGCACCGACGGCTCGTCTTCCTCCGCCTACGTCCCGCCCGCCCTCCGCCCCGTCGCCGAGAAAAAGTACCACCTCTCCAAGGACGACGTCACCGAGATTCGCCGCCGCCGCTGGGAGGATCCCGAAACCGCCACCATCCGCAACCTCGCCAAGGAGTTTGACTGCTCCATGAAGTTTGTCCAGATCGCCACCCAGGTCCCCGAGTCCTACAAGGAGAAGCTCGCCGACGGCACCCGCCGCATGAAGGCGACTTGGGGTCCCAGGAAGCTCAAGGCCAGGGAGGACAGGAAGGTCCGGAAGCAGATGCTCTTCCACGGCGAATTATAAGCTGGGACGATCAAAGAAAAGATATGGGGATAGGGAGAATATATGGGTCCGTTGTCTTGCGCAGCAGGGCCTGTTCTTTTTCTACCTTTCCAGTCCCCCTCCCCCAGCTTTGAAAACCCCATGAGATCGTCTCGTCTCGTATAATCAGCCTCGGACTATGGGTTGAAGGGAACCTAGGTCGTGCACTTGTCTAGACCTCCTCTTCACCCTTCGGAAGATCCACGTCACAGTTCAGCGCCAGGACCGCAGCACCAGGACCGTGTCACGACAAGCGAGAATAATTGGGTCAACGGGGCTAGGATTGGGAGTGGGAAAACCTCGACTATCTGTATCATCACAAACATAAAAAACCCGCCAGCAAAGGATATCTCACCAACGACCAACCGCAATGGTCTTGTCTTGTATGAATCGGATGTGTTTTTTATTCTAGAAGAAACAAAAGGGCGCTTTTCTTTTTACTATAGAAATACCTTGATAGGTTGTCATCGTTTTGGAAAAGTGGAAGATCTGCTTAGCCCTCCCTTGCATTGTGTTGCCCCTTCTGGGCTTACCCTCTTCCCCTCATGTATTATTTTCCCCCTTGCTTCCTTCTGTCACCTTCCTTCATATATTCTACATGTCATAAACCAATACAACTCGTTAAATTTTACCTTGTGCTCCCTAAAAACGCGAGCGGCCTGTCTGCCATGTTGAGCCGCCGGGCTTAGACTTCGACCGGGCGAGGCCTAGCCAGGGTCACCCAGCAGACATAGAAGGGATCCAGGATATATGCGCACAAAAGACGCTGTGCCCAGCCCAATAACGATACTAAAAACAAGGGGTAGCAAAAGGGAAAGGAAAAAGAGAAAAACAAGTCAAGGGAAAAAGAAAACACCGCTGTCCTGTCGCGAGCCTCTTTCGTCGTCCAAGCTCAACGAGTCCCATCTGGTACCAATCCCTATTTTCGTGCTCATAGATGGAGACTTCGCTCTGAGGGGAACTAGCTAGGGGAGATATTCCCCGGAGATAAGAAACGTCTTCACTAGCCTAATACTTCCCTCTTCGTAGGTCGGCCTCGCCAGGAAGCACCCTCCAGCACCACCCGCACCACCTGCGGGCCTTTCCTTCAGTCTCACGACGAAGGATTTGTGACGCGCTTCGCTCGTCATGCCATTCTGGCACGCTCTCGCCGACACGGACTTTTACCGTGGCCTTGTTGGTAACGCAGCCGCCCGCACCCTCAAATGGGTGTACGTTATAGCCGGAGCGGGGCTCGGCACCGAGGCTTTCACGGTCCGAAGGGGGCGGAGATGGCGTCGAGGTAGGTGGAGGCGGAATTTCACCGGCGCTGTCCATCTCTACCTCAGTATCGATAGCACCCAAACAGTCGGCCTCGCGGCCGCATGTGACGCCGCCATCACCATCGGTGACACCAACTTCTATGTACCTGCTACGCCATTGCCAGACACTATTTTGAAAGAGGAAGCCTGAGCGTTAGACTTGACGCGCTTTCCAAAGAAATGAAGCAAACAAAGAAAGCAAAGGAGCTAAAGGAAACACAAGGGTGGCCATGGGGGAGGCATCATACCGCCGGTAGATCTGGTCTTTGCCCCGGATGGAACGACCACACGGCTGGCATAGCCAAACTCCAGTAGTTTCGCAATGGCACAATCCCTCTTGTATCACATCGGCAGAGATTGGGGTGTCTGAATTCAGGGTCGGGTTGATGTGGTGCGAAAGTGGAGCCTCAGTACATGTTCTGCAAAGGCGACGGAACCGTTCCTTGAGAGCTTTGGGCTCAGGTTGTTTAATCGCACAGTTCTAAGGAGGGCAAACAAAGGAGTAAATGTTAGAGCTACAGGTTTGTCAAAGAAACAGGGGTTTCCTATTACGCAATAGCGTTTTTCTTTTTCTTCATCAACCTTCTTCGCCAAGGGGAAGGGGTGGGTAACGGCGAATTCGGGGGAAGCGGGCCTTGCAAAAAATTGGTCCGGGAAGCTGGCCGCCCCCGGCTAGCGATATCGGGGCCAGGAGACTTACGCGACAAACCACTTTTGAGCAGCGCCGACACTCGGCCACCATGTCTCTGGCGCATTGGCCCGCTTTGCCATTGAAATTTCTTAGGTTGTTAGTCTCGCGCTGGATGTGCCAGACGCCAGCTCTGGCGCGGTACCGGAAGGTGTCGTCGGGATCGACGGGCAGCTCATCTTGGTGGCAGCGGAGCGTGGAAGCCATCAAGGCCTTGCGGTATTGTATGAGTCCATCGTGGGCGGCGCGGCAGGTGCGAGAAAGACTGTCGAGCGTAACGAGGTCGATGTGCGACGCGACTCCGACGGCAATACTACGAAAGATTGGAGAAGGGACAGTGTCAGCTGGTCATGGTCTATGTTCTGCCAAAGAAGGCTATCCGAGCTTTGGGGATGGCCGAGGTCATAACTTACGGGTAGATGGATAAGGCGGTCCCTAATAAATGTGTGGTGCTGCTGTTGTTGCTTAAGCCGCTGTCGTTAACCTGCGCTTTAGTCTCCGGCTCTATTGGAGGCTCTTGGGGAACGCGGGGTTCGCCATGTTGAACAGGCTTGCGCTGCATGTCAGCCGAATATCCGTTTGGAACGGCCTTGACACGGTAGGTTTCGTGAGAAGGTGGCGCCTGAAGGTCGATCAAGACGGCCATCGTGGGACACGCTGGAAGGCGAGGATAAGAAGAGAAGCAGAAGATAAAAGAAGATAAAGACAAGGGCCCTAAAGGCTAAAGGATGATTCTTAGGTTGCTGCGGCTGGTTCAGCGGGTGCCCAGACGTTTATGAAGTGTTGGGCGGGGAAGCTCACTTGTTAGCACGCGAAAATGCTCATGGCGGGGTGGATTTACACGGTAGAGGACGAGGTAACAATGCTGAAGCTGTGCAAACAATGCCCCTCCTTGTAGAAGCAGTTCGAGACGGAGGGATGCTAGAGGAGAGAGCAGGAGAACAAGAGTGAGAGAGTGAGAGGGAGAGACGAAGAGTAAATAAGAACACAGGAAAAGAAGGGCAATGTGCTGTATTCAACACAACAATATTAAAGAGAGGAACACGTAAAGGGAACTAGGGAAAAAAAAGTTGCCAGCTCTTGAGTCGAGAAGCTCCTGAGCTGGGGGAGGACCGATGACGGATATGCACGGATCTAGGGAGTGGATCGTGGATATTGCGGAGTGGAGATGGATCCGGTAACAAGCTAGCAGCTGTAGTGTTCCAGGGAAAGCTCGAACCGTGGGAATCAGGTGGTTCCTGCTTCTCACCGAATTGGGGGCCGGCCTGCTCGCTAGACGGGTTGAGAGGGGTTGGCGGATAGCTTGGATAGCTGGACGACGGGCGGTAAGGGGATAAGGGGACGGCGGCGGCAGTAGCTGTTTCTAAAAAGAGGCCGTTTCCCTTTGCGTTTGCGCTCTCAATTCTCGCCCTTTCCCGTCTTTGGACAAGCTGTTCGTGTAGCTACTTCTTGTTCTGCGCAACCAGTCGCCCCGCATTCTCTTCCTCCTTTTGCGCTCTGTTCCTTTTCCTTGGTTCCTTATTTCTTTTCACCGTTGTTCTTGCAGCTTGGTCTACGCCTCCTCTTTTTTTATAATGTTCTTCCCTTAAACGAGCGAGCCTCGTCGGTCCGGAGAGCAAAAAAGTGCAAGACGAGATAAGTGAAGGTGTAACGGGAGGCTTGGTGCTTGCTCGGATGATCTTTGGAGCGGGGTGGGGGGCTTCCTCCTGCAAAGGCTGCTGCCGCAATGGCACTGGACTAGTGGGGAACACGGTGAGGAGTGCGTGTTGTGCCCCGCAGGCCCTCCGTGCTTCCCACGGCGGAGGTTGGGGAGAGTGGCGTCCCTGTGCGCGCGCCGAAGGACGAGGAGGGGGAGAGAGAAAAGGAAAGGGAAGGGAGAAATGTGTGGCCTCAGAGATGCATGCATGCAGGACGAAAAGATGCAGAGGCGATGTGACAGGTGATGGGCTATGCTATCATTGAAAGGGGTGTGGGTGGGTTGTGCGGACGCAACTTTTGACGTGGAAGTAAGTCAAATGCCAATCGCCTCAATAGCGAGGTCCTGTCCCGCCTACGGGTGGGCAGAGGATAGCACTGCCTTGAAAGGCCGGTAAGGCGTTCTTGTGGTACGCGAGTGATGGAAGCAAAGGTTGGACTTGGGGCCGTGTATTCCGTATTCCCCAACAGCGAATCACGGCGGCCACAGGCGGAACGAGAGGCCAACAATTAAGAGTTGCTGCACTCTACTCGTCTGATATACCGGCGCTGCTCTGTTCCATGGGGAGGACGTGCTTGATCATGGATCTAACTCTCAATTGTGACTTCACTTCATTCGTTCCTTTGAAAGCGTTAGGAAGCTCACTCACTGTCTTCGTTAAGTGCTGACGTCACTTGTGGAGGTTTCTCCCCTCTAATAGCGAGCTGGCGAAACTAGAAGTGAGCAGGCTTCGATCAGGCCCAAGAGGCTCCGAGCCCACGTCAATTGTCTAGAAAAGGGTTTAAATCGCCCCAAACTCTACTTTTGGTTTTTCTTATTCTTATTTTTGTGACGTTTCTCCTGTCTCGGAAGTAGCCTTGAATCTAGCTCATCAACATGCAACATCGTGACACTTTCATCGACGCTGGTGGTACAACAGTCAAGCAATACTAGCAGCTGTCAACAGCCGATTAAATCTGTGCAGGAAATCGCGTCGTTTTTCTGATGACCCACTAATCTACCCGCTGGGAGCCTCCACCCTTTCAGTTGCCAATGTTTCAAATCCCCTTGCCTTTTCCGACACTGGACAGACATGCCCGCAACACAAGCCCCTATTCTTGTCAGCGAGTGAGTCTGGTGCTATTGTAACCTGCGCCTTTGTTGTGACACTCTAGCAAAAGCTGTGAACAAAGCTCCCAAGCTAGCCACCCAACTCTCAGCCTTCCTTGCCCAGATATACGGATCTTAACTTTTGTGTTTTTATGCATCTCGGTCATTTTCTTTTGTTTTTGAACAGGGATTCGGGCATGCGTGCGTCGACTCTCCAGGATTAATCTTTCTTTTTGACGGGGAACGGGTCTTCTGGACACATTGGAACCCCCAATCTCATCCCGCACGAGTCCTGCACGCCCTGCATCATCACAAAGGCCCGTCATCTGACCCCCGGGAGCCGAGGAAAGAAAGGCAGAGAGACCAACGGATTCCTTGAGCCCGCCAGGAAACCTTGATTTTGATGTCTGGGTTCTCCGCCGACGCCCACAAGCACACTCCGTGGACCCTTGCGGCGCCACGAGCTATCCATCGACGAGGCTTCGGTTAAGCCTCGTGCTTTGTCTGAGCTTCTTTTCAACTCTCTCAAATCGCCACGCGAAACAATTGTCCATCGTTTGGGGGTTCTGATTTCTGTCGATATCTTCATCGGTATCTTTATTTTATCTATCTTTTGGAAACACGCCCGTCTCTCAGGAACAACTAGGCCTTTTCTTGGATCCAACTTTTCTTTGCCCGAACCATGAGGTTACTCCAGTGGAATATCGGGCCTTCGCGCACGCCCTCGTCCTACGCTTTCGAACGGGTCGTCATTCCTTTGGAGGATGCTCACCTGCACAGCTACTCGGCGCGCATGGGGACCGGGAGCCCGGACCTGAGGGCGCCGAGGAACGGAGACGCGGACGCGGATCCGGATGTGGATGATGCGGATGACTCGGGCAAGGATGTCGAGCACGAGGAGACGGGCATGCTGGAGATGAGTGTGTCCGAGTACTCGGTGGAGGGCTTGCGAAGGGAGGTGAGGAAGGGGACGCGGGGAATCCCGTCAGAGTACGAACGTGAGTCTATCCTTTGTCAATCCTCTTCTAGAGGAGGCACATGTGGTTTCTTCTTCGGGGCCCGGTGGGGGCTTCCTTCGTTGAAGTACTTTCGCAGAGGCGAGCCGCATACTAACGAAAAAGTTAGTTCGTTCCAAGGTGGTGAACAAGGCAATCCAGGATATCGGTATGGGCCGGTATAACTGGCAGCTCTTTGTTTTGTGTGGGTTTGGCTGGTTTGCAGACAAGTAAGGCTTCCAAACAGTAGCAGTCTTCCCTCTGCTATAACGTGACGACCTGCCGTCCGTGGCTAACGTTTTTACTCTCGATCTAGCTTATGGTTACAAGTATGCTGTCACTCCTTTACCCTTTCCCCTATACCAACACTTTTTCTTTCCACCTGCACTTTTCTCTCGTTTTTAAGATGAGAGTAGCTAGCCTAAGGCCTTTCTCGGTTTGGAACCAGAGTAGCTAACAGTCTTACTAGGGCATCTCCTTGACGCTACCGTCGCTTTCCGCCGAGTTTGGTGTGGACGAGAAGACGGTGCGGTACACGACGAGTGCCGTTTTCCTGGGTCTCTGCTTTGGTAGTTTTGTGTGGGGGTAGGAAGCGACGTTCTCGGGCGGCGCATCGCCTTCAACATGACGCTCCTCATCACCAGCGTATTTGGCATGCTCGCATCGTATGCGCCGAGCTGGGGATGGGTCTGCTTCTTTATGGGGCCCTCGGCTTCGGCGTGGGTGGCAACCTGCCGGTGGACGGGGCGCTGTTCCTGGAGTTTTTACCAGACGCGTCCAGCTCTCTGCTGACGCTCTTGTCGGTGTGGTGGCCGATCGGTCAGCTGGTGGCCTCGCTGGTAGCGTGGTTCTACATCGCCAACTGGCCGGCGGACGAGGGGTGGCGTTACTTCATCTTCGCGACAGGGGTGCTCACGTTCATCATGTTCCTGGTCCGGTACTTTGTCTTTCACCTCTTCGAATCGCCCAAGTTTCTGTTGAGCCAGGGCCGGTACGCCGAGGCCGTGGCGGTGGTCCAGGGCATCGCGTTCAAAAATGGCGCGAGGACGTGGCTGACGCTAGAGGTCCTGGATGCCGTGGCGAGCGACGACGGCGGCCGTGCAGAGGCCGTTAGTGCGCCGCGGGTGTCGGCGGCCAACGTAGTTCTGGAGAAGCTGCGCTCCTTCTCCGGGGAGCGGCTGAGGCCCTTGTTTAGCAGCCGCAAGCTCGGCCTCGCGACGGGCCTGCTGTGGTTCTGCTGGGCGACCATCGGCATGGGTTACCCGCTCTTCAACGCGTTCTTGCCCCAATACCTCTCCCATGGCGGCAACGGCAGCGGCGGAGCTTCGGAGCCGGCGGGACCGACGGGCTCGGCGGCGTCCCTGTTTACGCGGGAGGCGCGGCGGCGCCAGCGGGGAGATTTCGGACGAGACGTACCGCAACTACGCCATCACGTCGATGGCGGGAGTGCCGGGCTCGCTGCTGGCAACGTACCTGGTGGACCACCCGTCGCCGTTTTTCGGGCGGCGGGGCACGCTGGCGCTGTCGACGCTCGCATCGGCGGTGTTCTTGGTGCTGTTCGCGACGCACGGGACGACGCCGTCGCGGCAGCTCTTTTTCTCGGCGCTGACGGCGTTTTCGCAAAACATCATGTACGGGGTGCTCTACGCGTTCACGCCCGAGGTGTTCCCGGCGCCGGTGCGGGGGCGGGCACGGGCGTGGCGAGCTTTTGAACCGGCTCATGGGGCTGGCGGCGCCGGTGCTGGCGGCCAACGTGCCCGGGGACGGGCGGAGCCTGCCCATCTTTTTGTCGGGGGCGCTGATTTTTGCGGCGTTTGTGGGGGTGTGCTTGATTCCGGTGGAGACGAGGGGGCGCAGATGTTGTAGGAGATGATGGATTTTTCTTTCAGGTTTCGGGGGATGTTCAAGCATAGCGGTGGTAAACTGGGGGTGGTAATTCATGGATCTTGTGGTGGTATAGAGTAGGAAAAGGAAGGAGAATTGTGCGTAGGTTGATTGTATATATCTATGGTGGGTCTACGTGGTCGTGTCTGAAGCCATCTTGATGGATGACTTGTGGTTGTTGGCTCATCCTCTATGCAGTTCATCTGTGTATCAATCTTGACTGGTGTTGCATTTATCTAAGAGTTCTTCCTTGGCTATCTGCCGCCAGAACGCGAAATGGAAAAAAGAGAGGCGTATTCCAAGCTATCTTAAAGGCACGATGATTCATAGTGCTCTCAGGAAGAAAGCGAATGTGCCCGGGTATAGAAAGAGAGAGAGAGAAGTAGGTGTGAATGGTGCCAACGTCAAGATACTCCAAGCTCTCGGTTCTCTTGGTCTGCATCCCTTTCGTTATTCAGTTATTGCCCAGGCTATTATTCTCCGCGAACTAGGATTCACCAAAACGCCAGACCCTATCCTCCTATTCTTCTTCTCGACCTACGGCGCAAAAGCATGACTCGAGATGAGCCTGGTCTGTCTTGCCTCTCAGCCGCAGCCGCGTGCACAGCGTGTCTATTAGCAGCCAAGTGAACAGGGTTTTGCTGTGCTGGCTGCCTATGCTGAGACCAGCACTCACATCAGCTCTCGATAGTTACGAAAAAAATTAGAAAAGGAAGAAAAAAAGAAACACAGGCAAGAGCCCTTTATTTTATCGTTTCTTCTTACTTTGAGCGTCTGTCGTCTCCAAGTTTCTCGCGCCAAGGTTGTCACTTCAGAAGCGCCCGCTTAAGTGCATGTGAAAAGGGCCCGCACACGGTTTCTTTTTTATTAACAAGTGTTCAATCTCGCGTGGGCGGTCCAACGTCAGCCATCAACCGGAGGATTTGGAGAACCTCGCAGCGAGCGCAACGCACCGTCTTTCTTTTTATTTCACAGCCCCCTCCTCCCCTTCCCCCGTTCCTCTCCTTGACAAGGCTGTTCCTGGCGCGAATACCAACAAATAAGAAACGGGCACCGAGAGCGAATAAATAAACATCACGCCCTTTCGACAGACTTTTCGACTTAGTATCGCCGCCTGCAGCTGGTGTCCCCTTGCTGTTCCGCCCCCACCAGAGCTTTCTTCACTCTTCGCGACGAGGCCAGGCAAGCTCCAGGCAGGGACTCGAGACAAATCGAAGAGAAAGCCTACCGCCGCGAGAAGAAACGAGGGGAACCAAAGCTTCGTTCGTCCAGCTCCCGCAGCCAAACCAAACCACGATGCGCCTTTGAATCGACGACTTGCCATAACATACAAAACGTCCCCGACCGAGTCTTCACGACACAGCTTCGGCCCCTCCAACTCCCTCCCTTCACGACACTCCTTCCCCCTCGAGCCAACATCACCCACGCCGCCCAAAAGACCCAGAAACCACCCTTCCTCCCCACCAAACACCCAAATACCACCACAATCATGTCCGGCGCACTCTCCCTCATGGGCTGGTGGTTCCTCCCACCGGTACGTTCCCCCTCCCCTTCTCTCCCACAACCCCCTTCCACACCCACTAACCCCCTTCCACACCCACTAACCCCCTTCCACACCCACTAACCCCCTTCCACACCCACTAACCCCCCTAGCTCGTCGCCAGCTGGACCCAATCCATCTGGTACGCCCTCACCATCCGCGCCGGCGACCCCAAACCCGCCCCCAACCACCCCGCTGGGTCCGCGACCGCCGCCGCATCCAAATCCTCGTCATCTCCCTCTACCTCGCCTACACCGTCTACGAAGCCTCCTGGGACACCCGCCGCCAAGGCAGCTTCTACACCGCCCTCGGCCTCTCCCCGACGCCACCGAGCGCGACATCAAGTCCCGTTTCCGCCGCCTCGCCGCCGTCCACCACCCGGATAAAGCGCCCCCGGCTCCCCGCCGCCGACGGCTCCGAATTCATCCGCCTCAAGACCGCCGCCGACACCTTGCTCGGCGACGCCTCCCGCTTCGCCTACGACCGCTTCGGCGACCCCGTCCTCGCCTGGAAGGACTGCGCCTCCCGCTACGAGTACGCCTTTCGCGGCACCGTCCAGGGCGTCCTCCCCATTACGTCGGCTACGCCCTCGTCCAGTACGTCCTCGGCTTCTTTGGCTACCTCGACTTCGCCCGCTACTGGCGCTGGTTCGCCCTCGTCGCCATGGCTATCTTCGAGCTCCACATCACCACCCGCCCTTCCTCTACCTTGCTCGGCCTCCTCAACCCCGTCCTCGCCTCCCCCTTTCTCCGCCACCCCCGCTCCTACCCTTTCAGCTCGTCTCCCTCGCCCGCCGCCTCTGCGTTACTTTCTACATCGCCCTCTCCCAGATCGGGCCCCTCCTCTTTCCCCCGACCCGCGCCGCCGCCCTCGCCGCCGACGCCGACAAGGCCATCCACGCCCAGGTCGAGCGCCTCACCGCCCTCGCTGCCGACGTCGACGACGTCTCGGGCCGCTTGCTCGACGTCGAGCTCGCCCCCTTTAAGGGCGACCCGGACCTGCTCCGCTCCGTGAGGGCAAAGGTCGCCGACTGGCTCGTTCAGAATACCATTCGCGCCGATCCCATGGTCAAGGACGCCATGGGCCACTCCTTTAGGAAGAGGCGCGCTGATGCCCCTGCCGGCGCCAAGGGCAATCGTTGATAAAAATTGCTGCTTTTTTGTTTTGTTTCGAGGCACATGGAGCGGTCTGTTATTTTTGTGCATCTTTCGTTTCCCTTTTTTCTTTCTTTTTCGTCCTTGTTGTTTTCAGTTTCATTTACTCGCCATTCGGTGATAGAGTCACTCCATCCATCTTCACTTGGTCTAGAACGGGCGTCCAAGGGTCTGGGGTCTTGTATTCAGTACCTGTAAATTATCTGGAAATAAACATATATCCATGACCGTGGCATCTAGACTGCATTATGCTCTAGTAGCAAGTGACTTCTTCTCCACTTTCTTTCGATTCGTTGTATGTTTGTTCCAACTCTGCCGATGCAAGGGCTTCACATAGCTATCCTTCGAAACAAGGTAACAAGTTCTCGGCGCGTCAACGAGTCGCGAACCACACAAAACACCAAAAGGCGGCATAGGATGGGGGAGGAACCAGTTTATGCTATTCAAGAGAAGAGAGATGCCCGTTATATACCGTTCCTGATTCTAAACCATCTCCCATCTCGGCATGCCCCATGCCTCAAGTGTCTTTCCCTCTTTTTTTTTCTTCTTCCTAGTTTTGTTCATCAGGTCCTTTCCCACGAGGCTCGGCTTTCCGCGAAAAATATTTCGACGATAAAGGTAAAAGTTCTCCCGGTCTCATGTCTAAGCTCAAAGGGGAGGGAAACAAGCAAAGCGTAAAACGGGGTTCGAGGGCATATATCCAAGGTCCCGGGGAAGAAAAGAAACCAACAAAAAAAGAAAGAGATTATAGATGGGTGCGCATGGCTTCCAAAAAAAAAGAAAAAACACTCTTGTCCGCCCCATACCTGTCTCTTCTATGCATCGAAAATCTTTTCCACGCCACCCCAGGCCCCCTTGCTCCTCTCTTCCCAGTACCCCTCTTTGCCCCCTTGATCTTCCAGATCTCGTCGCCCTCTGCGCCGTCCGCCACCTTGACGAACCAGCGGGGCTTGTGCTCCTCTCCGTTCTCCTCCAGGACTCGGCGGCGTGCTCTCTGCGCCTCCTCTAGCCTGACTTTCCAGTCCTCCGCCTCGTCGAGGTTGCCCTGCTCTGCGAGCCGCTGATCGGGCCGTAGTCGCGCGTCCGTGGGAGGCAGCCGGCCATCCTCAATCATCGTAATCTCATTGAGCCCGGCGGCAAACGCCGTCATTCCGTACGCCCGCGCTGCGTTTTCGACCATCGCCCCCGCCTTCCATATCTCCCGTCCCGCCGACTTGCCGGCCTCCACCACCCGCAAGGACCCTGTCCACGTCCCCGACAGGCTGCTGCCCGTATGCTTGCCGCTGCTGTCAAACGTCTCGACCTGGACATCCTCTCCGCGACCGCCAAACATACCCTTGCTGCGGAACTCAACTACAGCCTTGGCTCCCGTGCTCTCGTTGAGCACCGTCATCGTGCCCACAGGCTCCACGTACTTTTCTCCCACAACCACGTTGCGTAAGAACATGGTGGCGATGGTCCACGAGTAGAACTCGTCCGACCCGTCCGCGGCCAACCGAAGCGCTACCCGTACGCGGCCCTCGGTGTTGATCTCCGCGCTCTTACCCCAGAATTTCTGCGATGGTGCTGGCGCCTGCGTAAATGACCACTTTTCTGCGTCGGCATGCATGGCCAGCCGCACCGGCCGATGGCATACCTTTTCCACGAGCAGTCGGAATCCGCCAGGCGAGTCCGACTCGGTGCGCACGAGCTCAAACGTCTCGCCGAGCAGCGGGTTGAAGGGCTTGCGGATGGAGCGCTCTTTGGCGCGCGCATTGCTGAACTGCGACACGGCAAACGCCGCCATGAGAAGCATCCGCTCCTTCTCCATCTTGGCTTGCGCCGCCTGGTCGAGCAGTTGCGCATACTCGAGTTGCTCCGCCACCTTTTGCAGGAGCGATACGGGCTCGTTGGCCGATACGGGCATGCTAATCGTGCTGAGGTCTTTACCCACGTTTTTCCGGAAGAAGGCGATGAGACTGGGCGGCAACGTCGTGGCGGGGGGATGGCGGTTCGCCGCTTGACCACCTCGTTGATGGGTAGGGGCGCCAGGCTCTTGGGCTTGGCGGGGAAGCTCTGGACCGTCTCGCTCGGGTCCTCTTCTGTCATCGTCGACGACCCCGACGAGCTGTGTACCGATACGTAATCAGCGTCCGAGTAGACAGGTTCGTCCTTGTCACGCTGGATCCGAACAATGCGAGACTCCGACTCCCCGCCCTGCTCTGCGTCAAAAAATTCGTCCGTGGTCGTAGACTCGATGCTCTTCCTCGACAACGCCGGTGAGTGAGGGTGCTCCGGCTGCCTCCGCCGCTTGCTCCTCGAAATGAGCGTGGTAAACTCGGTCAACACCGAGTCAAGATCCGTCAGCAGCGCTTGGCAATGCTCCTCGGTCGTGAGCTCGGGGTGCGAATGGTGGTGGTGAAGGCTGCCGTGCTGCCCGCTTCTCGATCGACGTTTTTCGTTTCGGATCGTGCCCGCGGAACTAATCGTCGTCGTGATACCAAGTGGGCTCGGCACCGCGAGGTTGGTGGAGCTCGAACCAGGGACCGGCGAGGTGGAGCCCTGCGCGGCGGCCTGCGCCGACAAAGAGGGCGAGCTAGGCTTGCGCTTCCAAAAGGCCGCTTCTCGGGGACGGCGGGAGGCGTCAGCGTCTGCTGGCTGGCCGAGTCGGCAGCAGGCGGAGACGGTGCGGCGGTGCTAGTGGGGGCCGGATGGAGCCACGCCCTGGCTCTGGTTCGCAATGTCCTTGACCAGTCGACGCAGGGCGTCCCGGGTGCCCACAATACGGCTCACCAGGGTCTCTACCTGCTCCCACTCCTTCTCCTCCTCGGGATTGAGCTTTGTGGCAGCGGTCGCCCTCAAAGCTTGCGCGGCCTCGACTTGCAGGCGGGGGATGGCGGTCGCGGGCTGAGGGGCGGCTTCGAGACCGCGCGCGATGCGACTGGCCCTCTCGAGACCGCGAGCCCACTCGGTGAATTCCTTGGCATTGGAGGCTTTGAGATGCCACACCTCAGCGCCCGAGTCGATGCTAATTTCGCGCCGGCTCTCGTCGGCGGCAATGGCAGCAAGACTGAGGGGGATGGCGCCGCGCAGGGCCGAGGACCCCGGTTGTGGTAGTAGGACAAGGTGCACGATGAGTAGTCGAGGGAGAAAAAGCGGCGAGCATAGCCTTGGCCCTTCTTCCTCCTCCGCTTCAAAAGGTTGCCAACATGGTAGGTGCTGGGTGCGGGAGGCGCCTCGCCGCGACCAGACACGGAGCCGCCGCCGGGGACGGGACCATGGCTGTGCAAGCTATCAAAGGAGCCGGCGGCGACAGGGTTCAGGGCTGGACTGCCGTGACGCCCGAGGCTGGTGCTGCTGGCGCTCGCCTTGTTGGCGACGCCGAGGTTGGGGAGGTGGTGAGTGGTCTGGGGCGGCGAGTCGGTGGGGTATATTAGAAGCACAAAGGTGGCTGTTTTCCCCGTCTGCTTCGAGAAGGTGTTGTCGAAAACGAGGCCGTACATGCCGCCCTGCCCTGGACCGACGTCATATATGCCCATGGACACTTTGTCCGCCTCGCACTTGCCGTGCCATTTTATGGGTATGAAACCCTTGGCTGCGAGCTGGTCTTGGGCAGTGGAGGCATCCTTCTTGGCAAAGGGCTTCGATTTTGCCTCGGCCACAGTGGTCTGGGAGGTGGAGTCGACGTCGGGAATCGCGGCTGTCAGGTTTGTTCCGCCGGAGCCGGGGTGTTTAACGATGCCGAAATTTCTGTAACCGTGAGATTCGCGATGATTAGTGAAACTGGCGCCAGGTACACCCGAGAAGGCAAAGGGAGACAGGAGAAAAAATTGTCCTTGAAAAATCAAGGCAATGCCTGTCTGGGCAGCTCGGGGGCAACTTATAGGAGCCCGAGTGTGCTTGCGCTGTGAGGAGACGCCACGTACAATGATTTCTTATGAGGCTGAAGATTCCAGGAGATACTGAAGCCCTGGTCGACCTTGACCCATCGCACAATGTAAGACTGGATAGGGTAGGGAATTCGTTAGACTATGTTGTCCCTTTCACTATTTCTCTTTCTCTCTCGAGTTCTTGATCTCTGCTACCTCTCGCGCTGCTCCCGAAAGACCGGATAAGGCTTTGCGACAGAGAGGGGAAGGGAGGGGATCCACGTAAAGAGGTACATGGCCGCAGAAACCACGAAAGGATGGGGGAAATGTTATTCGAGGGCCATACCTTGCTGTGCACCTCGAGCTGCTCTATTCCCGCCATGTTGCCCAACTTCAAGCTGTGTCGCTTCGTTCAGTCGGGTGTGGTGCAGGCAGAAGAGAAGAAGAAGGGTGGTGGCGGCGGGAGCAAAGGCGGATGGCAGGTTAAAGGTGTCCCAAGTGCTGGTCCGCGCAGAATCCAAGCCGCGCGCGACGTACGTCGTTTGATTCCCGGGTTATGCTAGTAGCTCAGCCAAGCATTGCGCGTACCAACGGCAACTTTCGCTTGAAGGAGTGGCCCGGTATTACTCAAAAAGAAAAAAATCCCAAACAACTGGGAGAGGGCAAAGCGGGGAGGAGAATTTTCGAACAAAAAGAGAACAAGAATGAAAAAGCAGAAGACGCCGCTTATTCTCCAAGGAAACACATGGGAAGGGGCCAAGACAAGAATGACGAGGGCAATGCAACGGGAGTCCACAAGGCCACAAGGACACAAGGGACACAAGGACACGGCGACGACTAGGGGAATCTTCTGTCCCAAGGGGGCTGAAAGGGGCAATTGGAAAATTTGTCTTGGAAAGGGAGCAAAACCTGCAGACCTGGCCACACGACGTATTATTACGTGAGGGCGCCCACAACTTTATGCATGTTCGAGGCGAGGGATGTTGGACATTTCGCAATTGGTATTCGCTAGCTTCCCGAAGCCAAAGAAATATTTCAGACGGTTCTCATGGAATTGACGTTTTTAGACTTTTGTTGCTGAACACGATGAACACGGCTTGGCCGCTTGGTCGTATCCAGGGAAGGTACAGTGGACCAGGGTTATTACGGTCATTACGGCCATTACGGCCATTACGGGCGGGGGAGCAGTTTGGCGAAGGAAGGAGGGAGCTTGTAGTGGGGTTGGTTGCTTCCTTCCTGAGCTCAGAGTGTCAGAGTGGATGCCGAAGGTGCAGGCACACGCTTACCACGGATTTAGCGGGTTGGCGCCAGCACAAAAATAGTAGTCAGACAATGACTGGGAAAGGCAGGCAAGCCAGGCACCAACATAAAACCAAGTGTACATTCCGATGTACCCGGCTCGAGCCATCAAGCTGAGTCGATGCTTGGTTGCTTGGTTCCGCAGCAGCGCATCAATCCGCGCTTCCTTCGCCCGCTCTCACCTCACTCGCCCCTCACCCTGTGCGTCATTGATCCATTGAGCCCCAGACCTCACCCTCAACCAAGCCGGCCCTTTCCTCCTCCCCGCCATTTAATCCATCAATTGGTCTCACTGCGGGATACTTTCACGACCCATTCCATAACCATAGTCGAGGCCGTCGAGCCAAATCTCCTCGTCGGCTGGTCCGGTCGACACCTGGCTTCTTTGGGCCACGGACGAATTGATGGTTCGTACCAAGTAGACCTGATTAGAGGAGTCCAAACACAGATGCCTAGCATGTCAGTCGAATGCGTGAGATGTATGGAATGGTAAGACAGACAAGCAAGAAATGAAAAAAAAAAAAAATATTAAAGAAGAGAACGGAGAAAAAGATGGGCAAAGAAGAAGGCATCAGAGCCTAGAAATGCAGTGCTGCTCAAGTAAATATTTTCTTGGTCAACTTACACTCAGAACTACTAGGATACCCAAAAGTAGTGATACTATCACGATGTCAAGAACGTAGCGCCATCCCCTATAAGAAACAATAATAAATTAGTATCTCGCATATAATTCCGACTTTCGACGTGCATAAAACGGGCAGGAATAAGCTCGCGAAGGCGCGTCGACCACTTCTGCTCTTTCCCTACCTTGGGACCCGGCTTCGAAGGGAACCCTTCTTCGCTTTCGGCGCTTCTGGCTCCGAGTTTTGTTCTTCTTGCGCTGCTTGCTGTGCCTCTTGCGCTGATGCGTGTCCAGATTCCAAATCTACAGTGTTCTCGATGAGAGTGATGGTCGCACCAGGGTTCCGCTCTCCCTGGGCCGGCACAGAGTATGGGACGTTGCCCGTAACTGGCTGGTACGTTTGCGCAGGCCGTGCCGGGAGATTATGGAGTTCATAGTCGGGAGGCGATTCCGGAGCAAGTGTTCTATCCCCACGTCTATATTGCACGTTAGATCGTTCGGTCTGCCCCTCGTAAAGAACCGTGGGCAAGCAATGGTGGGCAGCGAGTCGAACTGATGCGCCATTGAGCATTCATTCTTCTGGCAACTTACTTCTGTTGAGCCATATCAGTCATGGTAAAGACTAGAATAGTTTCTTTCTTCAGCGCGAGCGAAATATGTTTCTCTTCAGGGTGAAAGATATTCCATATCTTCTCCTTCAAGGATGAACAAGATGTTGAGCTTGAGGAGACCCCTCTTCCTCCCAACCTTCAAGGGCAAGCAGGGCCTTGCGTCTTTTAAACTCGGAGAGGTCACCCATGTCTATTTCTTTTCATGCTCATTCTCTTTCGTACATTTTCGAAAAGAAACGGCCTAGGTGGTGAAATCTATGCTCTAAACACTATTTTTCCCCTCTCCCGCGAATCAGGTTCTCGATCCCGCAACAAAGTCTGCTATCGTTTGGTTTGAGGTCCCCCGACAACACTTAATCCGCCTATTGTACGGGACTTGAGTGCCATTATCAAGTGGGAAAAAGTAAAAGGGCCAAATATGAGCCCATATCCACGTGCATGGCTCGACGAAGAGCGCAAGATCAAGAATGTCTACCTCCCTCATCTCACCTAAGTTTGCGTTGGAAACGCTCCTGACAGTGAAACTCTCCATTGATCAAATTCCATATATCCAACAGATCCATTGGCATATATATAACCGAAGTAATATATAGTTGAGAAGCCAATAAAACCCCGTCAATAGATATAAAAATCTACGCTTGTCAAATTAGTGAAGGGAAAGGGTCGAACCTCTCACATGTGTAAGTGAAGTCTTCAAGTGGCCAAGCCCCCACCACCACAAGTACCAAGTACCCTTCACCGCCTGGCAGAATTTGTCCCTCCCCGCAACTTTCTTTTGCAACCTTTTTTTCCAAGTCCAACGGCGCTGCCCGCCATTTCAGAAAAAAAGATATCGAGGACCTCAATATCGTCCTCTCTCATTCCCCTTTCGTTCGCCGCAACAAGACAACGAGGCCGAAGACCCGAATCTCTGCTCCTTAAACTAAAGCGCATAGGCGACCACACACACTCTCACTCGTACACACAAACACCAACCAAAAACCCAGTCTCGATCCGCACACTCCCCGAAATAGCAGCGCACGACCTCCAGTCAAGAAAAAAAGAAGAAGAAGAAGAAAAATAAAAGCCCAACCGCAGCCATGGCCCAAGGAAGCATCAAGATGAAGGCCCGTCCAGCCAAGGCCCCCACCAAGAAAACCCACTCCAAGAAACAGCAGTCCCGCGGCGGCGGCGGCGCCATCTCCAAGCCGCAAAGGCCAAGTCCACCGCCCACACCAAGATGACCAAAAGTTCACCTCGGGCCTCGTCGGCCGCACGGAGCAGCTGCTCGGCGAGCGCGCCGGCCACCTCGAGCTCATTGGCAAGGGCAAGAAGACGGAGGCTTCGGATAAGATTGGCGGCAAGGGCGGTTCCAAGAAGTTTGGTTAAGCGCGGCCAAGAGCGGTGGAGAGAGAGAGGAAGGAGATCAAGAAGGAGATACGGAACGGAAGAACCGTTTCGTAAAGTTATATACCGGGGCTGGGTGTTCGGTTCGGGACATGCGTGGTCGGGGTCTAGACTTTGGAACCCCATAGGCCCGGCGAGCATCCGCAGTGAAGGTTAAGGGGAGGAAAGCGAGAGAAGAGTGGTTCTGCTTGGTTTCATTCTTGCTGGGGAACCACTTGTCCCCTGTTTCTTCCACGAGTTACGCATCTTGGCTGCGCGGAGTTCATTGGCGTTTGGGAGTACATGGAACCTCAATATTTATCTTTAGTCGCAACCACGAACCAAAATATAGGCTTTGAGATGGTTGCGCTGAATCAATATACAGAAGCAGAGACGTTCTACAATACATGGATCTATGGATCAAATTAACACATCACCGCCGGGCCCATATGTCCCTCTGGACTCAATGCTGCGGCACGGACCTTGCCTTCTAAGTATCAAGGGTTTATACAGATGATGTATGAACACATTGGACGAAAAGGCTCGTCGCTTTGAATGAGGTGCTTGGGACTACTAAGGTACACACGGTGTCTATCGATACACGCCTAGAATGAAGGATGGGAAAATAAGACTAGAAAAGGAAATAAACCTTCATATCGCTCATTCTTCCCTTGCATCGCCAGGACCCTACCCATTCTCTAACCGGAACTCCATTTGTAGCAGTAAAAGCGAGAAGGAAACAAAAAGGCACAAAAGAAGAGCGACTAAAGCAAATATCCGTCGTTGGTAACCCATAGCCCGAATGAGGAAGAGATCTGAACAAAAACCAGTTCCATACCCCGCCACGCAGTTAAGCAAGTCACGCGTTGAAACCCTGAGGGGCCAAGTGTTTTTCTTTTTCAGATTTTGTTTCTTTTCCTCTTGTTATCACTTTCTGCTTCGTGGGACGGCGCATTTACTTCTCCTGTCACTTTTGGTTTTCCATCATCGAGTATCATAAGGGCTTCATGTGTGCGAGCCTGAACCTTGGGCAGATAAGCCGATCAAAGATGCAAGGAATTCGCTGACCGAGAGGTTACTCGGTCGGGCTCTTGCAGCTTCTTCAGGGCTACTCTCCAGCTGCATCGGCTAAAGCAGCTCACCCTCGCCTTCGTCCTCGCCACCTTCTCCCTCTTCCTCATCCCAGTCGAGATCGGCGGCCGCGAGTTCAGCCTGACGCTGGATCTCTGCTAGGCCCGACAGTTCAGTGATGTACTCCTTGTCGAGGAGGGCCCGCTTTACGAACTCCCACCCATCCCGACGGTAGGCATCGAGAACGGGTTGGCTACAGGCGCTGCAATTAGGATAGGCATGACCCTGAATGTTGAGAGTCTGGAAGGTCGATACGTAGCCCCGGATTTGGTGAGGCACAAGGCCAAGCGGGTGCTCGGGAGGATCGCGTTCTGGGATGGAGCCAGGAGTCACGCGCGGGGCGGGAGCGCGATGGGCTAGAGGGTGCTGGAGAATGCTGGTGAGGAGCTCGACGGCGAGTGCGGATGCGATGGCGGCGACGCCGGGACGGGTAACGGTACACTGCTGGTCAAGGGTTTGATCCTTCATAGACTGCAAGGGAGACCATTATTAGTTCCATTGATGCCAATAATTGAATGCGGAAGGGATGCCGATTAAGAAGAAATTTCCTTTTGAGCGATGGGGGTTTGTGAGTCATGAACGTACATTGGAAGGGAAACGACGTCGTTACAGAAGTAACATCCAAGAGGAACCTCTCCCTCGACATTTTCCTCTGCGCCATGGCGCATCACGACGTATGAGTCAAAGCCCAAAGCCGCCGTCAAAACAGCTTTGTTGCCTGCCTTACCCATGACCGTGGGCAGCCATCGTGACTCGCGTGTATCCATCAAGAGGAAGATGGCATCGTGAGCATCGATGAGCGCCTGGAGTTTTTCGAAATCTGCCTTGGTCTGCTTCCCATCGTCCGCAAATGGATGGCCCAGCATGGGCACGGTGAGAACGTGGCCCTCGGTCTCGACACCGGGGTAAATTTGCTTGAGGGCCTCGGCGGCCCGAGTCGCCTTGGGAGCACCTCCGCCGAGACAATCTTTGAACTCGAACAGAGGCTGACGCACGGGGTTCGAGAACGAAACCTTGCCGTAATCGACAAAGGTGATCTGTCGAACGCCCCAACCCATTAGATTCCGCGAAACATAGCTACCGAGCGTTCCCGAACCGAGGAGAAGGCATTTCGTGTTCTTGATGATATCCAGGTTGAGGTCCGGAGCGATTCGCCACTTCATAAGCTTCAGGTTTAGGTCGACCGACTGGTCCGCGAGCCTCGCCGGGTCCATGTACTCAGCCAAGTTGGCCTGCTTGGCCCTCAGCGCCTTTCCGTTCCGCTCCCAGCCCGTGACCTTGGGCATTTCTCCCTCGGCGTATTCAACAACGGAACCCTCAGCCTGCTTGATGGGCAAAATAACACTGCGCGCCTCGTGGCGGCGAGCCTGGACATCTCGATAGCAGAGGATTTGGGCCTGGCTAAGCTTGAAGCGCTGTTGAATGAGCACTAGCAAGTTTCGCAGCTGCCAGCCTGGGTTGTGGGTGTAGGTTGAGGGGTCTACGAAGCAGATATAACGGTCCTTCTCAGGAACATTGTCGAAGAAGGACTTTTCCGAGTTTCCAGCCTCGTACTCTCGCAGCGAACCAATCTTCCAGGCAAAGCTGAGGCTATCAGTCCTGTCCTCCGGTGACTCATCCACTGGTCGGGCAACCTTCTTTGCGAGGAAGTAGCCATGTTCTCTATTGTCGACGCTGTACCGCCAGGTGCCGACCTTGTCAACCAGAGCCGTGCTCTCGTTCGCTGTCAGACGCGAAGGCTCTTCGGTATGAACCCACGAAGAATGCAGGGCGGGAAACGCGAACCAGTACGTGAACTGGTATTTCTTTAAGTCGGCGTACGAAATAATGTTAAATGACGAGAGGAGCGACGGAATCGAGTAGATGGATCCGTCCTTGATCGCGTCCCAAATCTATACGAGAGAGCTATATATTAGCTATTATTCCGTCGTTCGAGCAGGGGTCAGATTGGAGAAGAAAAGGCGGCCGTACTTGTCGACCCGCATTTCTTATCATGGTCGGCTTGTCAAGGTTTTTAAACTCCTCCATCGTGTTTGTGTTTTTGATGATTCCATCTGCGCGAATCGTTCCGAGGGCACCCCTACAAGACAATCGTCAGTCTTTGTGCGGACAGGGAAGAGACAGCGCGGAAAAAGCTCTCGAGTCGAAAACAAAGGAAAGCGCCCGGGCCGGAAGAAGCGGGGAAAGGCTGACTTACTGAGTGCTAGTCAAGGCATTTCCTAAAACCTGAAGCTTGCAGCTGTCCTCGGGCTCGATCGCGCGAGGTTCATACAGGCCCAGAACCTGGCGGGCCGAGTCGTCGAGCTTGTCGTGGTCTAACTTGGAGGCAAAGAGCGCCGAATAAAACGGGAGCTCGATCTCGGACGAGTTGGGGACAAACTGGATGGGCTTCCCGGTCAGGGAAGCGCTCCCAGAAGCTTCAGCCATGGCGCTTCGATATTTGCAGTTTAATCGGTCGATAAATGCGCCGAACTCGTTTTAGTAGTGTTTGGGGGTAAGCTGTATCTGTGTTGTAGAGCTTAGGAGTGGGTTGTTGCTATCGTTGTTGATGCTTCACGATGTGGGGAAAAGTCTCAAGGAGCTCCGGTCGCTGGTCTTTAGCGAGTAGAAGGGGGAAATAAGAGATGGGCAAGGGGAGAAATGAAGAGGAAGAAAGAAAAAAATGATCTCTGAAGAAAATATTTCAGTTCTTAGGAAATGATTCACTTCGGTGTGTTCAAGGTCAGGTGGTTACTGCCTCAAGTTCGGTGTTCCAGAAAGAAAGCTGGTGCTCGTGGTGAATAGAGGTCTGGGGGAGGTAACGTGGGGTAATTGGATGACCAGTTTGGCCGATCACGATGCAAAGTGCGGGAAAGTAAAGACCCGATGGTGGGGTCGCACTATGTACCTGCCTCTCTGCCTGGGCTGGCGAGCAGTTTGGCAGCGTTGGCAGCGTAGGCAGCACGCACCTTCCCCAAGCTGGTCCACCAGGCACGCTCACACACACACACACACAAACTTGGTGGCTGAATCCCGGCAATTCGCGACGCGCTCAGAGCCCAGGAACTCACTACTACAGCGCGTAAAGCACCATAATCACGTGGAGCGCCCACTCAAGCCCGGTGCTAATGGGGCAGGAGCGAGCTTGACACCCCCTGGCGGGCACTGGCTCACCACCCCTGAATTAGTGGAGTGCCCCCTCGCTTGGCGAGGGACCTCTATTATCATCCAAGCGGCCGAAGACAATCGTGTCAAACATATCGATTCCACACACAAGTGCAGCTTTTCAAGCAGAGGGACAAGACCCCCAACAACAAGAAAAGAGAATAGAAAAAACCAAGTCACCACCTTTGTTTCCCCCGCCGTGTCTTATTCACAGTAAACACACACACACACACCCCAGACATCATTCGCAGCAATGCTCATCGGTATCTGCGGAGGCATCTGCTCCGGCAAGAAAACCGTCGCGCAGTACCTCGTCGACCACCACGGCTTCCAGCGCCTCTACCTCGACGTCCCCCAACCACCCGCTCCCAATTCTCTCGCCCGCGGGAGCGCTCCGAAGACGACGAGGACGAGGACGACGATGACGACCGTAGCCATAATCGCAGCAGCAACAACAGCGCCAGCGCCAGCACCAGCGCCAACGGCACCCGACCCCCGGCCGTCAAGCCAACCCCCACCCCGCGCAACCCCCACCACACCTTCCCCACCGCCGACGCCCTCCTCGACTTCGTCACCAAGCGCTGGCGCGACCGCTACGTGACCACCGACGTCCACGACGAAGCCATCCTCGACCTCCTCTCCCGCCGCCCCTTCTTCATCCTCGTCTCCGTCGATGCCCCCTCGTCGTCCGCCACCGCCGCTTCCGCGCCCAGCCCCAAAACGCCGCCCGCGACGTGGCCCTCGACCGCTTCGTCGCCCTCTCCGACGCCCACCTCTACGACCCCGCCGCCGGCCTCCAGCCCCTCATCTCCCGCGCCACCGTTCGCCTCCTCAACACCTCCGAGTCCCTCGCCCACCTCTACGCTACCCTCGGCAAGCTCGATCTCGCTAACCCGGACCGCCTCCGCCCCTCCTGGGACAGCTACTTCATGTCCCTCGCCTCCCTCGCCGCCCAGCGCTCCAACTGCATGAAGCGCCGCGTCGGCTGCGTCCTCGTCGGCCGCGAGCGCCGCGTCATCAGCACCGGCTACAACGGCACCCCCGCGGCCTCCGCAACTGCGCCGAGGGCGGCTGCACCCGCTGCAACGACGCCAGTTCTTCCGGCGTCGGCCTTTCCACCTGCCTCTGCATCCACGCCGAGGAGAACGCCCTGCTCGAGGCTGGAAGGGAGAGGATCCGCGAAGGCGCCGTGCTCTACTGCGATACTTGCCCATGCCTGACCTGCAGCATCAAGATCTGCCAGGTCGGCATTAGCGAGGTCGTCTACAGCCAGGGGTATAGCATGGACACCGACACCGCCTCCGTCTTCCGCCAGGCTGGAGTCAAGCTCCGGCAATTTTCTCCCGTGAGTTTGCCTTTCGCCGCCTGTCATTGTCCCTGCTCGTCGTACCCTGCGTCACTAACATCAAACCCAGCCTCCAAACGGCCTTATTCACCTCGAACGGCTGGATCGGTAAAGAAAGAAGCCATTGTAAAATATTGTAGCCCGGATTTACCCTGTCTCTCCCCATCATTGCGAAAGCGTAACAAGAAATATGCATGTTCAGGAGCTGTAGTCTTATATTCAACCGTTATAACCTCATTAAATGTAATTCAAACCAATGCACACGCCATGCCGGAGGATGCCACCCCTTGTTCTCTCTTTAAACGCCGAATCCCGTGAAAACCACCGCCCATGCCATTAACGCCTCCTTCCCCACAAGGACAACGGCTTGTGCTCTTCAAATAGACAGATCGAACCCCACCACACTATTCTCTTCCCTCACCCCATTACTCAAACTTGCCACTGCCCAACAAGCTTCTCGCAGCCCTGAGCCGGTCTTCGGCCCCCTTGAGCTTCCTCTCCGTCCTCCTCTGCGCCAAATCCTCCGCCGCCGACGGCCTCGCCTGCTTTCCTCTCTCGAAGCTGATGCTTGAGCCCTTGGCCGCGCCCTTGCGAATCTTGTCTCCGCCAAACACGTTACTGCCGCTGCCGATGCTCGGAGTGCTCGCGCCCGAGGTGGATGTCGACGAGCCAGAACCGTTTGCATTGGAGATGAATGAGTTGGATGTCGCACGTCGCAAGAGGGTCGGCGGCTTGCGTCCACCGACTTGCGAGGCCGTGCGCGAGAACGCGCGGCGGCCGTGGGATGACGTCGAAGAAGACGAATCGCCGCGCTTGAATGCGAGGCGGTCACGAACGACGCCGCCGTTTCGGTTCAGGACGGAGGCGCGCGGCGGGCTAATGTTCTCCTTGTTGCTGCGCGATGTCGAGGGCCGCTCCTCATCACTCTCGCTATCCGAACCAAAGTTTGTTGAAGGTACGGTAGAGCCCATGGTTTCCTCGAGTAGGCTCGACAATGACTCGCGAATCTCGCCAATCTTGGACGGCCTCTTCCCATCCCTCGTTCGGCGCGGGTTTCCAGACGCCCGAGTGGCCGTGGTGGAGGCGCCCTTCTTTCTTGGGCTGCCTGGCTATCGGGAACGAGCACGTGGGCGCTTCCTTCGTCCGAATCCCGCGGCGGCTGGGACTGCGAGTCTTCGGTCTCCTCAGTCTCCTCCTCCTCCACAATGTTGATAAAGTTCATCTCGTCATCGCTCTCGCGATCCTCGAGCGTCTTCAAGAACGCCATGTTGCCTGGGTTCTCGGCGATCTTCTTGACGCGCTCGTCAGCAAAGAGGGCCTTTTGCATCTTGGCGAACTGCAGGCGCTTCATGCGCTTGCGGGCTTCGCCACCATCGTCCGAGTCAGATAGGTCGTAGTCAGTGGCCCGCTTGCGACGTAGCATGCCGGTGGTGATGTCCTTGAAAAGCTTTTCGACTTGCTTCTCAGCATCGGCACGTTCTCGGTCACTAAGTTGTGTTAGTAAGAATTTGTTTTTTTCCCCAATGGCCACCGTGCCCGCTAGGATGATAAACTTACGCATAAAAGGCAGCAAGCTGGCGCTCGTCGTCGGCATTCGTGGCACTCTTTTCATCGTCGATGAGGTCCTTGACGGAGCCGAGGTCCTCGTCACTGTCGTCGCCCTCATCCGCACCGCCGAGACCCGCATACTCGTCCTCCGATTCTTGAGCCTGCTCCTCAATCATCTCCACCGCCTTGCTCTTCTTTCGGTTGAACTCCTTCAGCTTCTCTTCCCGTCGCTTGCGGCGTTCCTCATCGCGGGCCGCTTTTTGCATGACGCCAAACGCGGTAGTGTTGAAGCCAAACTCGTCCTTTTCGGGGCTAGGGTTTGGGCTAGGGCTACCCTCCCGAGCTTCATCGACAGCCGCGAGCGAGACTTGCTCGTCTTCGTTGGCGGTAGACGACACGATGTCAAGCTTGCGCCGCAAACGGCCTCTTCGCACGAGCGGCGACTCATGAACAACATCGCGGCCCGGCGTGCCATCGAATGTCGATGCGGCCACGGTCGACTCAGGAGCGTCAATGAAGCGCTCCTTGAGAGGTGTTCGATCAGCCAAGCCGCCATCTTGGCTAAATGGCATCATGTCGGAAAGCTGGGAATCCTCGCGGATAAGGCTATCGAGGTTTCGCAGCTGCGTCTGCGAGTAGTGTAGATCCATACCTCCTTGCGTCGTCTGAAGCGGCTGGCTGTCCATCACTACATCGTCATCTTCGTTGTCGTTCATGTCCTGCGTGCTAGGAACAAGGCTTCGTTGGGCAAAGGGATCGAAGGTGGGTCGGGGAGTCTGAGACTGGCTGGGGGAGCAGCCTGGCTTTGGCTATCGTCCATAGTGGCGGCGAACATTTGAGTCAAACCAAGGCCGGCTGGCCCCGCGAGGGCAATAGGCAGGCCGGGAATGAAAGGCTTTGTTGCTGATCGGAGAACGGACAGAGGGGCTGCCGGCGACGTGGTAGAAGGAGGGACAGGTGACTTGAAAAAGTTCGCCTTGGGCTTAGGGGTGGCCTCAACGGTGGGAATGTCCTCCTCATCATCAGACAATACCTGCAACTTCTTCGACCGGCGGGTTCTGGCTAACGCCGGCTTGTCTTCTTCGTCCTCGGCCATCTCCTCATCACTCTCTTTGTCTTCGTCTTCGCTCGCCTCGTTCTCGAAGAGGGGTTGGGGGCGGTCTCATCCTCGTCATCAGCCTCATCATCGCCATCCTCATCGGAGCCCGAAAGGTCGAGCTCCAACACGTCAGGCTGCTCATTCTCATCACCCGGCTCGTCCGCACCCTCCTCGTAATCTCCATCGTCCTCGCTATCGTCCCAGTCGAGCACGTCGGCCTCTCCGTTCTCCTTCCTTTCTTGGCGCTCCTTCTTTGCTTCCTCTCTCTCCCTCTGCATGATCTCTTGGGCCTCCTCGCGAGCCCGCGCAACAAGATCCTCCACTTCTTCAATCTCCTTCAGGCGTTCTTCTGCCGTCTGGACCACGACACCCTTGGCCTTGAGCATCTCTATGCGGCGCTTCTTCTCTTCATTGGCTTGCTCACGTACACGGTCGCGGAGCATGACCTGGAGTTCAGCAGGGGTCATGCCCAGCTTCTCACCCCTGCGGCTGCGGTTGGCAGCCTTGCCAGGAGAGGTAACCTGGGCAAGGGCGCGGAATGCCTGCATAGGCTTGGATTCATCGGCCTGGTTCTTAGGGACACGGTCAAAGATGGCATCCAGCTTGTTCTTCCTAGTCACCGTTATGCTGAGATCGTCGTCTGAGTCGATGGCCAAGACGTTGATTGATGGGGGTGGAAGCTTCACACGCACACGGCGCTTCTGGCGAGCTTCGCTGGGCTCATTCGCTGTGGCGGCCTCGATGGCCTTGCCTGGGGAGGTGGTAGCGAGTGGCAGCTCGAGGGTCTGCACCTTCGCACCGCCAACCTCAGTCTCAACAGAGGCCTCGGTGGCTTTTCCAGCCGTTGGCGGCGAGCTAGGCGGCGTCTCAGCATCCCTCATCTCAGTATCGGAGACCGGCGTGGTCGGCCGACTGGAGCTGGTTGTCTTGGGTAGCTGCACTTCCTCGGCGAGGGCCGCGGCAGGAGTCTGGCCAGCTAGCTTGAAGCCAAACTTTTCGAACAGCGTCGCCTTGGTCACCTTCTTCTTGGTCTTGGCCTGGTGTGCTAGCTGCATGCTTCTCGCCATCCGCTGTGTCTCGCGGTTCATCTCCTCAACGGCTTTCTTGCTGGCTTTGCGGCTCGGCCGCGTCGTCTTCTGGCTAAGCTGACGCCCGCCCTCGTCGTCCGTGATGCTCGAGGTATTGCCACCTTCGGAGTCAGAGAAGAGCTCAAGTGTGTTGTCGGCAAGTTGTTCTTCTTGGCGCGCGAGACGGGCAGCCTTCTTCGCTTCCTCCTCAGCTTCACGAGCCTCGCGCTCCTTCCTCTTGCGGTCAACAAGCGCCTGGAACCGGGCGTTCTTGCGAAGCTTCCCCATCGTATCGCCGTTGGATTCGTTCCCAGAGGACACCCCCTCATCTTCGTCGCGGGCGGACTTTTGGCCTGGTGATACGAAGAGGCCAGGACTGGAAGCAGGGGTTGTTGCGGACTCGGTGGCTTCGGGGGTGGATGCCCTCTCGACGGCAGGTTGAAGTCTCCTTCGGGGAGCTGGTAGGTCATCGTCTGTCGCGCCATCCTGTGTATCCTTGTCCTCGGTAGAGCCGCCGAGGCGAAGCAGCCTCCGAACGCGCTCTCTCGCGCTATCCGCGTGAGTGGTGCTAGAAGCCGTGAGCTTTGTGTGAGAAGGGTCTTCTGTGCCAACGGATGCTAACATCTGTGCTGCGAACCGGCCACGCGGTCGCACAATTTCGTCCTCGCTCTCTGAGCTATCATTCACGGGTCCGGACGGCGAGAGTCGCGTAAATTTTGTGGAGATGAGAGGTGACTCGGTTTCCGAATCACTTCCGACGCTGGCTAAAAGTGCCTTCATCTTGGATTTGGGAGAAAGGAAAGGGGTCCCGGAAGGAGAACCCCTTCAACGGGGCTAGATGCCCTAGTGGAGGACATGTTCTACCGATTGTCGTTTGTCGTGTGTCGTTTGTCGTAGGTGGAGAGGCGAAAGTAGAAAACGCGCCTTCCTGTCCTGCTGTTGGATATTAATGTAACAATGCTGTCATTTGTGAATAGGATTGACGCTGAATATCAGAGGTTGAATAGAATTACGAAATCCCGAAAGGTCAAGACTATCGCGGGGAGTGTTGTGTGGAGGACCAAGAGAGCAAAGGTTAGCTCGGAGGAGCTATTATAATGGGCGGGACGAAGAGCGGTGGTCCAAGCTGCAGCGCGCCTGCACGCGTTAAAAGGTCGCGACACAGAAATCACAACCCGTGTTCGCGTTGTGGGGCTCAATTCAGGGAGGAATTTCTAAAGTTCCGTCGGCTGTTACCAGCTGACAGTTTTACCACGAACGCACGAACAGGTCTCCCTATTTCGCATCCCTGTAACGCACACCCCTGCGTCGAACAAGGGAAGACAGGCCAGCCTGAGTCAAATACGCCGTGGGAGTGAACGCCTCACACTCTGATTATGAGAAACAGGAACTGATCCGCCGATGCTGTTGCTGCCAGGGTTTAAAGTGCTTGCGCCAAAAGTGGATGCATGTCGAAATGCCAATTCGGTGATTAGCACAAACGGTGAGACAATTGTTCCGCGCTTTCTCACATGCTCAATAGGGGTCAGAGTTTGAAGGACTGGACAAGTGGGTGTGAGTCTTGAACGATTTCATCTTCATTACGAGTGTGTTTGGTTGCGTGTAACCATAGTAGTGTATCCCAAGTTCCCGTCATCAATAACTAAAAACGAACGCCATGAGGTGTAGCAAGACCGAGCGACCAGTCTGCCTATCTAAAGGAGAAAAAGAAAAAGAAAAATAGACAAAACACAGGGTTCATGCTTCAGGGACATGCGACAAATCGCACTCCCAAGGGGGTTGGGATGCCGCTGTCCCCCGCCCAAGACTCTCTAATCTAACATGTCGCGCAACAACAAACACACAACAACGCTGCTATTATTATAGTGCGTATAGAACTAAAAAATGAAGGGAAAGGAAGGCCAAAGAAGGTATTCGATATATGCAGCACTTGTCATGATAACGCCCCCAAGCTCTCTATTTCACGCCTTACTCAGCATCGCCGAAACACGAGAGCATAATGGCATGCGTAATCCTGTAAGGATCCGCGTTGGAGGCGGGCCTGCGGTCCTCGAAGTAACCGTAACCCTTAGCACCAACTGCAAAAAGAGATTGAATGTTAGGACAGGTTTTCTCGTCAGGTAGGAAACTTTCAGGACGTATAACTTACCTTCCCTAGGGATACGGATCGAGGCACCACGGGTGGCAATGCCCCAAGTGAACTGGTCAATGGCACCAGTCTCATGCCTACCAGTGAGGCGCTGCTCGTTCTCCTCGCCGTAAACAGCGATGTGGTCGGCATGGCGAGCCTCGAGCTTCTTGATGGCGGCTTCGATGTGAGCCATGCCACCCTCAACGCGCATCTCCTCGGTGGAGAAGTTGCTGTGGAGACCCGCGCCGTTCCAGTCACCCTTCACGGGCTTGGGGTGAACGGAAACCTTGGCACCGAAGTCTTCGGCGACGCGGTTAAGGATAAACCTGGAGACCCAGAGCTGGTCACCCATCTGGATACCCTCGCAGGGACCAACTTGGAACTCCCACTGAGCGGGCATCACCTCGGCGTTAGTACCGGAGATATTGATACCAGCGTACAAGCAAGCCTTGTAGTGGGCAAGAACGATATCGCGCTGAACCACGTTGCCGTAGCCAACACCGCTGTAGACACACCAAAGAGTCAGTGATTATTCCTTGGCTGACCAGGAGTATAATGGACCACACATACCAGTAGTATTGGAACTGAGGCGCGGGGAAACCGCCCTTGGGCCAGCCATAGGGCCTGTCATCTTCGCCGAGGAGGGTGTATTCTTGCTCGAGGCCGAACCAGGGTTTCCTCTCCTTGTGAGCCTCCATGATCTTCGCGCACTCATGACGGTAGTTGTACTTGTTGGGGGTGCCATCACTGTCCCAGCAATCGGCGAGAACGAGGATGTTAGGGGATCCGAGGAAAGGGTCGGCGTAGACTGCTACGGGCTTAAGGTAGACATCTGAGTTGTCACCGGGAGCTTGTCCAGTGGAAGAACCGTCAAAGTTCCAGGTAGGAAGATCCTGGACGGCGTACTCCTTGGCAGGAAGCGTCTATCATGGCAACAAATGTTAGCACGCTGGTCAAGCAAAGCAACAGATAAAAGATAACGACAAGAAAAAGAAAAAGAAAAAGAAAAAAATAAAGGTGGTCGATGACGCCATGGACTGCAAAGGCAACCGTCACCCTCATGTGGTGAGGGATCCACGATCCAGGTGATAAAGGCACAAGCGCCAACCGTCGGATTCGTGATGGTGGGGCAGATGAGTAATCTTGCCACCCTCCGGCCGACACCGAAAACCCACCACCACAGCCCACTATTAGTCACATTGTGCCCTGACCCCTCCACATGCAGGAGCGCACTGGTAGTAGCCTTTTCCCACCCCAAACGTAAAACCAAGGAATGCAAAAGCAGCGAACATCGCAAGAGGAAACTCCATGCAATCTGCACCAGGGGGCCCTGCCAAGACAGGATATAATGGGAAAACCGCATCTGAAATCAAGAAAAACTTACCCTGGACTTGGATCGAGAGTTGCCGGCAGAATCAATCCAGATATATTCCGCGATGATGCTACCCTTCTGGTCAAGGTTCATGTACTTCATGAGCTATTAGGGACAAGCTCGTTAGCAAATTTTGCTTTATCATGTCTGCGAAAAATGTTGTGCGGATATAAGGCCTGCAAGGGAGGCCGCCGGAGTCGGCGCCCGGGTTGTGTCGCGGCTGCGGAAAGAAAGCAGCTTACCGTTTCAGTTCTCGATGTGAGCGCCTGCAGAATCAAATTGTTAGTAACAACGCTTTCTCGAATTGCAGGGCCGCCAGCAAAGATATAAAAACAATCTCTAGAACTAGACAATAGTCCTAGAGAAGGCAAGGGGGATTGATTCTTCTTCTGTTCAGAGACATACCATGACTGCGGTTGTGTGTGTGTATGTTGCGGAAAAATGTAGGTGTTGTAGTATAGGTTTTTCGGAGGTTATCCTATTGATGGTAGAGCCGAAAGATTCTGGCAAGAGAGTGTGGTTGTTCGGTTATCGAGAAACAAACAACGAAGAAAGCAAAGTTGTATAGAGAGAGGTGAAGGGAAACTTGAATTCGGAGACGATAAGGAAGATGGGGAAGACGGGAGCTAAGGGGATATTTATGGGAATCTAAAATCGAGTCTTGAAGAGAGAGGCAGGCCGAGCGTGTGTGTGAGGTCTTTATGTTCCCTGTACCGGTCGTCGACGGGACAATAAACGGGACTGTGTAGGCTCGTGCCTCCCTGGAGATTCCGATAAGGACGTACTCCGGAAGAGCGGTTTGCCCAGGCTGTGAAGCAGGGGTGGGGATTCGGGACATTGAGGGCGTGTGGGCATGGTGGGGTTTGTTATGACGATAGGGCGTGGATTGGCCGAGGGCGTATGAAGGGTAGTCCTGATGTAGAATGTACGGCGAGTACCGCTGGCCACCGATATGGCGCGCATACTGGGAGTACGCTCCGAGTTCGACTGGATACCGCCAAGATACCCCCGCTCTCGAACGGGGCAAGATTCCTTCCGCTACGAAAGCCCAAGGCGCTCTAACGCTGAAGTAGCGTCCTGTACAGTGCTGGTAGGCGCAAACTCGCTCAAGGTACCAGTACGGGCGGGTTATCCTTTCCACTCGTACTGCCGTCCATGTACCCGTCAACCCTTTGTATTTTCCGTTTTGAAGTCTCTGCCACCAAGCGAGAGCACTAGAGTGATCAACTAAATCGATCAATTAGATCAATCCCTTCGAATTGACTGAGATTGAAGCGCGCTGCTGAAGATCACCAAGGAGGGCAAGCCGCGAGTGCTGTGGGTCAATTGTCTTTGCTCTCCACCACCATTCTCTTCACTAAAATCCCTCCAACGACCCTGAATTACTCGTGGAGAAAAGGAAAACAGGAATGAGGACAGTCCAAGTGTCAGGAACATACTCGGTAGACGGGCCTTTTCTGGGGGTGCTTCTTTCTCTGTCTTTCGTCCACCGTCTATTTTCGTGACAGGTTTCCATGGATGTTTCGCAACACGAGGAGCAGCGACCAAGGACACGCCGAGCGACACAGTGCACAAACTCCATCCTCGTCGCTGAAAGCCGAAAGGTATGTCAGAACAAACCCCCCCCCTGGTGAGGAAGGGGGCGTGGGCACAGCCCACCTTCCCATTGATATCTCGCACCAAGAAGCAGGAGAAGAATAATAATGGATTCATCCCACTCTGACCGTGCTCCCTCAACGCGCTCCTCCCCCATCATGTGCGTTCCTGGCGGTGATAAAAAATAACGATAAGCCCAGGAATTAGGCGCATACCAAGTCAAGCTGAAGGAAAGAGGCAGAAATGGTTCTACTGGCAGGGTACGGTTAAGTGACGCTGGCAGTACGGAAGCCACAGGTACCCGGGTTGTCACATGGCGGCGTGCCCAGTCTCAGCAGGTCGCGAAGTGGGCTGGTGGGCATGGTGGGGTGATAGGTTCAAAGCCGAGATCCAAGGGCACGGAGAAACAGCCGAGTTACTGTCTGGTTTTGTGGCTGTAATGTACTCTTGGGGGCCTCTCCGGTACACTTCGTCGCATCTCTAGCGTTGTTTCCACATGGGTCATTTCAATGCCTCTTCGAGGTCCGTCTCGGGTGAGAGCTTTGAGGCTGTACGGCACAGTACCTGGTAGGCTTATTCCCTCCACCATGCCCTACACCGACCAAGCTAGACCACCTAGAATTGACACTATCGCAGTCAACGTTGAAGGTCTAGCAAGCACAAACGGATCACACCGATATAACCCCCAACCACTGACATTACCCGAGAGCGCCCCCTCCCATCATCTATTGAGAGACACCACGATAAGAGATCGCAAGGAAGGGGGCCTTATCGGAGACGGCCTTTGACCGCGTCGGACATGATCCGATCTTTCTTGCCCCTCCCCCAATTTTCTTTACCCCGGAGCTTGATATCCTCCAAAAACGCGTCGGTGCGGGCAATGGCTTGCCGCAGGAAGAATGTGATTCCAAGCAAAACCAAGATATCAAGACAAAGGAACACCGAATGCGGGAAAGGGCAAAGGTACCATAGACATGAAAAGCCATCGACGAACGGATGGCGGGGACGGTAAGCCGAGATTAGGGCCTATTACAACGCTGAGCGGACCCCTTTGCAGGATACCGTGTCGCAAGTTGAAGCGCCCAGGGCAGACGTCGGAACGAAAAGGGGCATTGGAGAGAAGGCGGAAAGCATGAGAGAGACAGAGAGAGAGAAAAAGAAGAAATAAAAGAAAAGAAAACGAAAACGAAAAGAAAAAGAACCCCCAAGCAACAGCCGCGGGGTATTGTCCTTGAACAACATCAGGACTTGTTTTTACCGTGGACCACCCGCCAACAAAGGTGCTGCCAGAGATCGCCCTGCTCCATTGATGCCGCCCGTCTCTGGACTTGCATCCAAAGGTCCGGAACGCCACCTCGCCAACCCGAGTCCAACCAAATGATTTCAGGTCGCGGCCAAATTGGTGGTTAGTCCAGGGGAAAAGGAAGAGTGAAAAAGCAAATCTACGGACACGAACGCAAAAGAAGCACGGTACAGAGGCGATAGAGGCAAGGCTTTTTGCCCACGACAGTCGTCAGTGTTTCGGCAGATCCTACTATGAATAATTGCTGTTATCGAGCATTACTCGTTTGATTCTCTCAAGGAAACAATTGCTCATGGTCATCAATGACGACCGTACTTGTAGTCAGGGCGCTCAAGGTGATACCCGCGGGGAAGGTGTGGGGTGGTGGAGGGAGTTGGGCAAGGGACCTGCCACGCTTTCACCCACGCACCACCACCACTACCGCACCGTCACCGCCAGCTCCCAAGAGACACACCTTGAAATATTTGCAAGGAGGACAAATAATACTTTGCCAGAATTCACGCCCCGGATCTAATCAGGTGCAACCCATCATCAGGGCTGGAAAGAATCCCTCGAACGCTCGGCAGACTTTGCATCACACCCTTTGCGCGACCCAGCCTATTAGCTCGCAAGCCGAGCTCTCTTATTCTTCCCTTTTTGCTTTCCTTTATCCTTTTTTCGCCCCTCGAAAGCATGCATGCAGTCGAGAGGAGGAAAGAAAACCCCATCGTTCGCAATGCCCATATGTCGTATACCAAGAAGATGGCTTTCCTTGAAGTGGGACAACCTAGGGTGATGTGGCTTTTCGTGGGGCACGCTGGCTGAATCCGTGGAGAGACGATCAATCCCTAGCATGGTGAAGAGGCCCCCTAGGTTGGATCTAGTGGAAGGGGGATATCTCCATGGTGCGCGCAACTACGACAGCTCGGAAACGACTCCTCAACTCCACGCGCGTGGGACAGGAAATGAAGGGTACGGCATACCTCCCTTGTACGTCCAGCTGGGGGCTCGGCCCTTTGAGCGACCCAACCTCGGGATAGGTCAACGACTGGAACCGACACCCTTGAATGCGTGTCAAGGATACGATAAGCTTCTGTCCACTCCTCGCAAGAGGCAAGTCTAACGTTGACGGTCCTAATGGGGGCAAGTCCGTATCATATTCTCGGTATTCCTATCGTCTCCCGCTTGGACACAATGTCAGATTAGGACTCTGCACCAAACCATTGGGATTGCTCTCGCTGTCGGGTGGGCATTCAGATAGTAGGAGAGGCAGACTAATGCTAGTGTCGTACGTCGTCAGACTCGGCAGACACCGCCAGTTGGTATGAAGGCGGGCAAAGGCAAGCTCAATCTGCCCCCTTTCAAGATCTCCTCGCTTGACTTCTTCGCGACGGCGGGAGAAACGCGGGGCAAAATCGAGGAGAAGATTTTTTTGCCCCCGCCATTTGTGACACACCGATCGAAGCAGCTGGTGGTGCTACCGTTCCCGCATGATCGGTCATTGGGTATGTATGCCAATTATAGCTCACACTGTGTGGGCAGAAGTATCAAAACGAGGTTGTTGACACCAACATCGATCTCCTCCCAATCTCTCTTAGATGTGGCGCGCAGGGTATCCTCGTGCTCCTAGTCCATTTCGTTTATTCTGTTGAGGGTTTCCCAGTGTGTGACATCGCCAAAAGGCCTTCTCCAGGCCGTCTTGGAGGGGCCCTTTATTTGAAAAAAAAAAAAATCCTCCAGACAACTCCATGGCAAAGGGGAGGACGAGCATACCAAACGGCTCAAGGTTGCGGGTAAGCATGGCCCAACCCCTTGGCGCTTGAACCCTCAAGTCCTTCGGTGGAATATCAAGTAATCAGGGATGGGTTCCCTATATCTAACTCGGTAAAGGCTACATGAATTATTATTGTCTCTTCCGTTCTCCCCATACAATAACGAGTGGGGACAAATCAAAGCCTTTGGGCCCGCTGCTTCAAGGTGATTGCCCTCCAGTTCCGTCTGTCTGGAGCCCCCACTATCCAGCCTTGTTAGTCATTGATCCGTGATAAGTTTCACACACCCTCCCCTCTGGTCGCGTGGCTTCACAATCTGCCCTGGTGCATGACAAAACTGCAAAAAATCAACGAGGTTGGCCACTGCAACAGAGCCGATGACAAGTCCCCTTCGCGGGAGAGACATTTTATATTGACGAGAAGAAGCTTCGCAAGTAGGAGTTTCAGAGAATCAGAGTACGGCTTAAACCCCTGCCACGTCGCAGCTCGGCCATCCGTTGTTTGATAGAGGGGAGCTCTGCATCTAGAATATTGATTAGTTGGAGCTCCATTGCGAAACTTGTGACTGTCAGCTACTCCAATGCCCAAGAAGCCTCGCTGCGTATCTTATCGGTAGAAGGGTAAAGAAGCCTTGAGTGACGGTAGAAACTAAACTAGGTAACTCAAGACGATAATGTTGAGGCAACAAACGTGGGTGTCCGAGTAACTCGACGGAGGGAAGGAAGTTTACGGTAGTGGCCACCGTTCGCCCGATTCGCCAACTTCATCCGGCTTCTTCCACAATGGGCAAGTCGCGTTTACCATTCGCGGTTCAAGATGTGGCACTGTCACCATCAGGTTCACCTAGTCATTTGGCTAGACCCTCTATTGAGGCCGTGACGACCCGAGAACGCAGGAGACAGGAGCCCTGCTAGTCGGGGCCGGATGCGAGCGAACGGCGAAAGAGAGATTTGAAAAGTCACCCCCGATACTGGGCCATAGATTTCAACCTTTGCGAGCAGAGGGTTCCATTTTGAAATCTAGATGTCGATGGGGAGATAACTATTATCGGCCAACGTCAGCTGGGGTTGCTACCCCAGGATAGAATGGGACCAGGACTCCACTGTGCGACCTCGTCCGCTCAGAAGGGAAGTCTCTCGATACCCGGAAAGCACAATTGTGTGACAGGTCATTGGTGCTGCGAGATGGCACCTCCCCCATCCACTTTTGCCCCTGCGCTTGCACTTTCCTGACCCTTCAGAGCCCTCTTTCCAATAGCTCGGTGTACCAAGACCTAGGGATTTTAGTGTGCGAGGGTGGCCACCAAAAGGGGAAGTCGAGGGTTGGCTCTTATCGTCCAGCGTTGATTGGCCATTACTGGATGTTCTGCATAATTGATTGAAGATCAGGGTCTCCGTGCCTAGGTAATAATCACAGCACTGAGAGGTTTATCTCAAGTCACAGGCCAAGCCACCCTCCCACCTTGCCCCTTCCTCGACTAACACATCACCAAGGGGCCGGTGAGGGTGTCGTGAACGGTGGGAGATATCGGATTTGATAGCCTCGTGTCATCACCTTTACACCAATTCTCTCTGGCTAGATCTTCGGATTCTTTCCTATCCCTGATAACCAGGCGAAAGGGTGGCTGGTGACGGGTGACGGGGGCGGGGGGATAAAGAGGACCCCTCAGGATTGCTGCTTTAAATCCCTTGAATCGCACTAGTCCTGGCTCTGGTCGAGGACGGATAGATTGCTTGCATGCCCTAACGCTCGGAACTCAGAACGAGACTTGACTTGCCCTTCCGACCAACCTTCTTGCTGTTTCGAGACTCTGAGAACGAGATGCGAACAACCCTCTTTTCGAACTCCCAGCTATCCTTCCGAGTGAGCAGCCTAAAGGTCAGTCCCGACACCAACCTACAGTTGCACTGGTGCGCCTTTTTGGTTCGTTTCTCTTAGGTAAAATTGCAGCTCCCGTCAACGTTGAAAGCGTTGAATGTACGGCAAAAGGGAAAAAGAAAAAGAAAAATAAGAAAAAACAAGGAGAAAAAAACTTTCATACCCTTCCTGCCTATTATCTCTCGAAGACATGATCTCACTTCCGCAAATAGTTATTTCATCCTCGAAAGCGACAGCAGATGGGGCCCAGTCACGGCTGCCCCATCATTCGATGCGGGTATCATCGATGTCCATCGCGCAGCCGCTCCCGTGCTTGGAGATACCCTTCGAGAACATGAAGAGAAAACTACACCTTGCCTTTTCCATGCCGATTTGTAAAGCGGTGAAGCAATATTTTCCAAGTTGTGTGCATGCAGCAGCCGCACCGATCCACACCGCCAAGTCTTTTCTGTCTTTTTCTTTCCCTGGCGCATGAAGCCCGGCCCTCATCCTCACTTTCCCCCTTCTTGCTCCACTCCAACGAGCTTCCGGAGATGAATTTTCCCCGTCACCAATTTGGCGTTGCCTTTTGCTTCTTTTTCTTTCCTTTTTCCTTTTTTCCTCACAGGCATTTCCAGGGAAATCTCCGCCGCATCGCAAGCACGGGATGTCCCAGATTGAGACTGCGACTCTTACGGGGCCGTCTCTGGCAAATGACAAGGGGCCGGTCAATATCTGAGCCTACGGAGCTTGTCGGGTGGAATATTCCGTGGGTTTTCGGGCCCGTCGGCCCGGCACTGGTCTCGAAGATGAGAAAAGAACAAGCCATGCGGGAAAGCGCGTTCCAGCAGTGTTCAGTGCTCCCTGAAGCTTGACTGCCCAATCCCAATTTACCACACCTGGTAATACTCGGTAGAGCTTCCCCCTTTGCACACGCCAAGCTTAAGGCTGGAACCAGATCCTGGCTTCGGGCACAAAGACTCACTGCCCAAATTGTGAGCGTATTGATGGCGAGGAATTGAGGGAAAATTCCTTCATTTCTCATATTACCCCTTTTTGTTCTTTTCTCTTCCACCCGCGCTACTTAAACCTTCCATATAGAGGATCAAACAAACGAAATGGGCCTTGTTTGAACGAGTCATGGACGGAAGAGACTCGGCGAAGAAGCGCTGCAAGACCAGTGGGGATTAAAGCGCGGCAGGTGGTATGCCGAGCCAAGCAATTCCGGTCGCCCTGTCGATTTTCTAGAACGTTAGGTCCTCATGCACACTGTGGCGTCGTCAAGGACAGCAAGACACCGAATCAACCTTCTTCTTTCCATCCCAAGGATGGATGTACGAACTAACGCCAGCGGCAGTCAATTGAAGAGTAGTCAGCTCACGCGCAAGCGGGCGGGGCCAGGGTTCTGACTTGGAAGTTACGAGCCAGAATACGGAAGGGGGCGCAGGCAAGGCCGCTTGCCCTCTCAGCCCAGCCCCGAAACCTACACTACACGACCGAGCCCGTGTTGACGGTGGATCATTGCAGTGAAGAGAGGATGAGCCCATTGGTTTCTCCAATCTGATCCGCTCGACAGACACGGAGGGCGGCCAGCAATACATTTTGGAGCGAGGACTGCGAGAAACGCCCACCTGAGGAGAAAGGCAATGATTGATGTCGGCACTGGCGTGCGCTCCGCCGCAAGTGCTCCACAAATCCTTTCCCTCCATCAAACAACTAGCCAACTACATTTGTTGAACTGGGGCTGGTACCCGAATCCGTGGAGCACGGAAGCCAGGGTACATGTCCTCATGTACTGTACAAGCCGTTACTTCTCCCTTCCCCTTTGATTCTGTTTCTCGTCCCTTGAATCTGTGGCGAAAACTTTGCGAGGAGTGGGCGAACCGTCTATTATGGAGGAACCACAAGACTCAGGGAACAAGGGGGCGTGACCCCAGCCACGGTCTGTCCTCAACCCTTCAACCCCATTCCAAGAATAGCATCTTCACAGAGACGAAAAAAATGGGGAAAGCAGTTCCTGGCAATAATTCCAGAAGGGGCAGGAAGCCCAGTGCAGTTTCCCAGGGTGTTCAGGTTGCGGGGGCACGAAGGAGGACTTTCCCGTTTATTGAACACTGATCGGTCTTGACTTCCGCCTCACCATTCATTCCTCGAGGATTGAACCTTCCATCCTGAAATCACCAGGTTCTGAGTGACGATGGGCCGCACGAGAAGGCCCGGGGCAAGCCAGGTCGGAGGAAAAGAGAAAGGTAGTATTAGTAGCCCCGCTATGAATCAGGGTTTTTTCCCTTTTTCCCATTTTGCCTTGCCCAATTCTTTTCGGTGACGCCACCAGAACGACAGAGGTTTATTTGATGGCCTGCAAAACTCGTGAGGGGCCATAATAGAACAGTTTCCGAGGGGGAAAAGAGCTACGGCTACAATTTCGAATACAGAGGACCTCACGATGAAGTGAAATTTACGTTTGATCAAAAATGAACTGGACTGAAGGAAACCTTAGTCGCCACACTCGGGATCGCGGGCCCAGCCAAGATCGTTTCCGCCAACGGCAGGCCTTTGCTAGCGCTCATCGGGCCCAGGTACTTGGTAGAGGCGGGCATGAGAGAAGCGAAGGAGGAGGGGAAGGGGAGGGGGAGAAGAAGCGGGAAGAAAGAGACCCAGCAACACCGCTTTCACTTTGAGCATGTCCCGAGGGGGTCACATTCCCCGGTCGGCCAGACATCGTCGTTTTTCGCGTCAACGAGTCCTCACCGTGGGGCCACACCACACGTAAGCCAAGCGTTGGCGGCACAGTAAATCTCACGACACCTTCACAGTTTCGTTCCCCGTCTTTTTCTAATTCCTCCTCTTTGCCGTCATCGTCACCACTGTCAAAGTATGCAGGGGCTGGGCAAAGATTCTCGCGTGGGGAAAGCCAGAGGGGGAGCGGAGATGTGGGGGCAATGCGGGCCAAGCGGAAGGGGGCTTGGCACCGGAGCCGACCGGGAGAAGCGTCCGGCAGAAGGGAGGGGAGAGGGCGGCGGGGGAAAACAAGGGAGAAAGACAAGGGCGACGAAGACGAGGAACTGGAGGCCATGGCACGGCGGTTGTTGGCGATTCCGGATTGGGCGGGCCTCGGCTTGCAAGAGGAAATCGAAGGCGGTCAAACATTTTCGGCCTACTTTGATCGGCGGCGAGATTCCCCAGTCGAGGGGCCCAGGACCGCCGGAGAAGCGGCGGTGGCATCCCACTTTCGTCCGTTAGTGACGTCACCCTCTTCGCAACAGGCGACGAGTGCTCCCCATTCGAACCTTGGCGGGGTAAAGGGGCCATTGTCCCCGCTCCTCTTCATCTGCACCACCCACGACCCTTGCGTCGCGGGGGCACCAGGTTGTTGAGAATCTTGAAACGACGTCTACAGGGGCGAGCCAGGGCCAGGGCAGCGTTGCGATGGAGGAGGGTCTGACAACTTATTGCCCTTATACAAGGACCTGCCAGAGAACCCAGTGAACCTAGATTTCCTAGACGACTGCCTGAGCGTTGCCAGACCCCCGTCGTCGGCGTCGGAAGGCGACGGGACGGAGGGCGGAGTGTATGGCGGTAGCAGTAGCGATAATGAGACAAACGGGCAATTGTCGAGAAGCATTATACCGAGCAGCAGTCATCACGATAGTTTGGGAGAACGGGCGAACTTGGCCACCTCAACCAGACGCCCTCGTGGATCGAACCGCTGGAATCGATCGCCACGATCTCCCATACGGGATGACGGTGACGTCAGCTTGACCGCGCTTCTTTCCGACGACGACAGCAGTAGCAGTAGCAACAAACTCCCGCGTCTAAGTAAGTACGTAAAAGAAACGTGGTCGGCACCGGATGGTTCCCAAAATCGGCCTGCCGAACAACCACATAACCATCAAGATGACGGGGTGCAGCGTGGGAGGAAGCACACTGACGACCCGAGGGGACGTAAACCGGTCGAGAGTCGCGACTTAGCCAAGGAAATGAGAGAAAAAGTGCGCCGCGTCAAGCCGACGACGACTGGTTGAGTTTTCTCTTCAGCGGCGGGACGGGTGATCGTGATGGAAGCGGCAGCACCCATGGAGGCGGCCATGATGTCGTGGAGCGTCTTGCGTTCGACATTGCGAAGCGCGAGGCTGCTCGTGAGCTCGTACCGTCGGTGTCATCGTGCGCCGGCCGCGGCTATCGCCCGTTTGAAGCATTGGGGGTCGGATGCCGGAGCCACTTGCGGAACGGAGTTACCGGCCGATGCCGCCCCGGAACGATAAACCCAGCGGCGGTTCCGAGTACACAAAAGAGTGATACTGGTCATGTTGTACTAGGGTGGCGCCACAAAACACAGTGAACAATCGGGAATTTCGCCCCCTTTCTTATTTTCTTTTGCCTTGCCTATAAAGAACTTGATGCGTTAGCTGTGGCAGATGTCCGTTGATAGTTTAGTTACGCTTTGGGGGTTTGAGGAACAGGTGATGTTACCTCCCCGCAAAGCGAGGAGGACGGACCCATCCCGTTTTAGGCAATGGTCTTCATTCCGTGTAAGACAAGTCTAGTAGACCTACAGCTTTACGTCGGTTAGCGGGAAAGGAAAGGAACATCGGGTCCGCTCGGAGGGAGAAGAGGGTTTAAAAGTCAAAATGAGGAGATGAAGCTTTTTCTGAGGGTTCGTTGTATGTGTCTTGTGCCTATAACGTGGTTCGATGGCTCGGTAAGCAAAATAGCGGGAGGGACGCCACCATCAATATATCAAGTATACTGTACAGGAATAAAGGTTCTTCCGGGGACAACTGCCGGGAGGGATGGCCCGCTTGGAGTTTGAAGGGATATTTTTCAGCTAGACGACGGTTCCCTCCTTTGGCCGCGTAACGCGACCATACTTCGCTTTGGCCCTATATCTCTTCTCTATATCAGGAGTATTTGGTCTCTTGCGCGCGGGACTGGAAATGCATGCCGAAAAGATGGAGAAGAGAGAAATACCCATGTTGCACTCGGCCTCCTTCACCTCTTTGCTCCGTATCACGGCGATGGGATGCCTTGTTATCGAGCTTTTTCACCAACTCCAGAGAGGCGGTGTGAGATGGTCGGGGAGAAAGCGGACGCTGCATACGAGAAGAGGTGGTGATTGTCAGGGTTTTAGTAGGGTGATATACTCTTTTTATCTGACTTTAACTGACTTGCTACTGGATGAGGATATCGTCGGTTCCGGGGACCCATCGGCGGGCCGGGCCAGGAGTCCTTCATCCCCTAGGCGGAGGAGTCCGCGTAAACCGGAGAAGGAGCCTACATCCAAGTCGATAGAAGCTTTTGATTCTCTTTTAGTGCCTTTTATCCTTGCTAGTTTTCACCACCGTGGAACCTGTCCCTGCCGATTCAAAAACTAGATATCAGGCCCTCCAAGCGATAGATATTTCAGTCGAGATAGCCCCTCGTTTTCTTTCTTTTCCAGCTTTTCCGAAGGCGGGAGCCACCCGTTGGAGCACCTATCATACTCGCTCGGTGGTCTTTGTGCGTGTTCTAGTTTTCTGCTGTAAGTGGTCGAGACATCCGTGGTATATTGTGCCATAGATGCGTCAATGTCACGAATATATATTTGTTATATATATTAACTGTTTTTCCATCGTATCAACATTCATCCACTCCCTGGGCAAACGACAAGATATAAAAAGAAAGAAAAACTCTCTAACAACCATAATGGCATAGAAAATGACCCAAGCTAGTAGCGAACTCTTCCCTCACTTGCCTCTCTTCTGCCTTTGTCCGTAATGCGTATCACCTCTCATCCTCGCCTCCGCGAACCAATAGCTTTATCTCCCTTTTAGTTTTGTCCTTTTTGATAGAATCGCCTGTAGACTCGCAACAAAAATGCAACAGAAATGCCAAAGAAAAAGGCAGAATATTCGGGCAACGACGCGGAGAAAAGAACACAAGTGGTGTACGAGAAACAGAGAAATGAAAACGAAAAAAGCCTACGCGAGAGAAATCAACTCTCGGAGAATGGGAGGTAGAAAATGATTTAATCAAGCGCATCAGGCACCCGAGAATAATAAGATGATGGATTCTGCTCTTTCCCCTAACCTAGTAGGAAAAGGAAAAAAGAAAAGTAAAAAAGGGACCCATTCAGAAAGAGAGAAGAAAAAAGTCAAGTCTAAAGACCCCTCCGCCCACCCGTACTCATCAGAGTAATCTTCTGCTTCTTCTTCTTCCCCTTGACCTTGCCCACATTGGCGCTGCCTTCCCCTCCTAGCGCTCCTCCGCCTTCACCAGCGAGTACCAATCCTGGCGCTGCCTCGTTGTTGCCGTTCGCTGCCGAGGCGCCCGCGGCATCCTCGATACCCAGCGCCTCCAGCTGCGCCGCAATGGAAGCATCGCCCAAAAAGTCCGCATCATTGAGCCATCCGTCGTCCACGTTGGCCGCCCTAGTGACGCTGCTGGTCGGCGACCCAGGAACCGCAACGGTGCCCCACACCGTCCGGGACGCCGACGGACTCGTCGACAAGCCTACAAGCTGCGAGAAGCCCGGTCGCGGCTCCGGCGGCGTCGAGGCCGTCCCGCCGCTAGCAGGACCGCTGGCCCCCGCCCCGCCACCCAAGGGCAAAAGTCGGCTTCGGAAAAGTCCACCCTGGCCGTGTCGACATCGTCGAGCACCGGATCGTATCGCGGTAGGCCCGTGCTGCGAATGGCCGCAGCCTCAAGCCTCTCGGCCTGCAGACGCAGGCGCTCCTCCTGGGTGGCCTTGTCTCGGTTGCGCTTCCTTCGGCGCTCAATCTCATCGGCAAACTGCTCCAACGTCTCAGCCGGCACGATGTCGGTCCAGTCACACTCGAGGAAGCTGATGAGGCACCCGCGGGGTAGGTGGCCGAGGTACTTTGCCCTGCGCCGCAAGGCGTCGTCGACGACGTGGCCCGTCGAGATGTGCTCAACCCGAGGCAGCAGCGTGCAGGGGAAGAGCGAGAAGTCGCCGTACTTGGTCTTGAGGATGCGGATATCGAGCGGCGAGAGGTAGAGGTGCGGCGGGGCCGAGTAAAAGAAGAAGTCGGGTCCGGACGCGTGCTTTCCGTGGCTCTTGGGATGGGGATGGGGATGGTGATGATGATGGCGCTGGCTGTGGTGGGTGGGGTGAGCCGGGGTGGTTCTCGTCCCCGCCGGCGGGCGTCGTGGTCGGGTCCTGTGTTCCAAGGTCCTTGACGGCCTCCTGAGCGTTGCGGATGGCCTTTATAGCCTTTTGCGTCCACTCGCCGTCCGAGCCAAACATGCACTCGTCCTCCTTCTCCTGCTTCTCGAGCGCCGCAATCTCCTCCTCGTGCTGCTCCACCATGTACGAGCCGTTCGCCTTCATGACCCGGCCGTAGTCCATGGCGTTGGCCGCGTATTGCCAAGCAATGTCGTCACCGGCGTCCAGGGCTTCCGTGCCGCCTTCCCGCGGCATGGCTAACGTCGACGCCGCGCTCCTCCCCATGAGCCGGAGAACCACATCCTCGCCGGGCCGGGGTAGTGGGCTCTCCTGACCCGCGTAGAAGCGCACGGGCCGAACGTCGGAGAGCTGGATCCTGTCCTCGCAAATGGGGCACTTTCTCCACTTTCTCCTATGGGCGGGTATGTGCGTGTCTGCATCCTCGTTGGTCTCGGACTGGTGGTAGCGAATTAGGCAAGGTAGACAAAAATGTGGCCGCACTGCGCCATCCGAGGGGCCACCGGGTCCGAGAGGCAGATGGGGCACGAAGTTGTCTGGGACAGGGATGAGGCGACCACCTGCAAGACGTTGTTCCAGTCGATCTGGGCGTCGGCGTCGCTGGCGATGGAGGAGTACGACCCCTCGGGCGACACGACGAAGCGGTAGTTGGCTCGCACATACCGCAGCTTGTCAGCCTGTCGATACCCCGAACCGGGTTCCCAGTGAGGGTTACGCCGGTACGTGCGGGCAAAGGTATGGTAGTTGTCCATACCCGGGACGAGCATGGGGGCATGATAGTTGTCGAGGAGGTGAGTGATGGAGGTCTGACCCCGACGGGAGGTGCCGTTGCCAAAGGTATGGGGCTGCATCATGGAGAAGTCGTCGTCTTCGATGAGAGAGGCTCCCGGTCGTCCGGCCCGGCGCTGGTTGCGGTGTTGCTTTCGGTTTGCCTGGGCCTTTCTCGGGCCCGAATTGGGCTGGACCAGGAAATTCGGGGACTGGGCTGGCCTGCGAGATTCAAAGCTCGAGTTTGTGGGTCCTGGTTGCGGGGACGGCGAAGACAAGGGAAGGGATTTTCCCAGGTTCGACAGGTTCGATGACATGGTTCGCGTCTCGCCACGCAGAACAAAAGGAAACGGGAGAGAGCCGGCCAAGTCCGGCTTACCCTCTCGGACAACGTTCCCGTTCCCGTTCCCGTTCTAGTGAGCCTTTACAGGCCTAGGTTGACAGCGGAGGACGAATTGATTCGCAGTAGACCCCTGGAGCAATGACGCTGCGTATATCGTAAACAATGGCGTGTTTTCGTCGAATACCGATATCCACCCCAAACTGTGTAGCAGGGATAGCAAGCACACTCGACCGGCAAGGGAGACGGAAGAGAAAAATGCTTTTGCCACCTAGTCTCCTTTCTCTCGCAACACTCAAGCACGCTTGTGCACGGATTGGGCTCCAATGGGAGAGGGGTTACAAGCTCCGAGTGCTTCTGCTGAGGCAGGTTTAAGTCGTTCGCTCGGGGAGGTCGGAAATAATGGTTGACGAAGGGCCGGCGTCGAGCGAGAGAGGGCGTGAAAAGCGTGACTACAGCCCAGTTCGAATCAAGGCCGTGGTGTTGTTCGAAATCGCTGTTGTCTGGAAGCGTTGGGCTTGTGGGTCCGTGGAAGGGAAAGAATGGGGAGATCTACCCGCTGAGTCACGGAAGAGTCCAAGAAGAAAGAATCACGGTCGGGACAGGTCGGATGGCGAGGAAGTAGGTCGAGGAGGAGAGCTAGAGGGGGGATATATCGTCGTCACGTCACCAAGTCCACCATGGTTTGGGATCCCGGCCTCCGGAACTCCCAAAGAAAAAGAAACACTATGAAGGAGGAGTCGGTGGATTGTGAGTCTTCGTCCGCCTGTTTCGAAATGGGAAAGAAAGAGAGAGAGAGAGGATAAGGACCCTTCGTCAAAAAGGTCCGCCCTCGAGTGAAGGTGTGAAAAAAAAGAAACGGATAAAGAGAGAAGGAGGAAGAGGGACGGTGCTATAGGAAGAGAGAGGGAGGCAAAGATGGCGATATCGTCGAGAAGGAGGGGTGGGATGAGGTTCGGAACTTCAAAACGAGCTTGAGGTGATGGGAGCAGGGGGAGACGGTGGATTGTGGAGGGGGCGAAAGAACAGGAACAGAAAGCCACCCGCCTATGGCCTGCCTGCTACCACTACACGCCAAGCACGATTACTGGGTCAGAACGGTAGGGAGATCGGGGGAATCTGATTCACGCCATCAGTGCGCAGTGACTAATAGCCACCAGGGTTCTTCGAGCGATACGGATGCTCTACAGTCCAATTTACCCAATCATCTGCTCCACGTTTCATCCCTAGAAACCGTTTCTTCTCTATTTTGGTAGGGAGAGGCGAAAGAATACGGAAAGGGTTCATGGAAACGCCAATGACTAATTCACCTATTGCAGAATTAACCACCGCTCACGTCAACTGACCTACACTGCACTACACACCAATGGCGCAGCACTGATGACGGACCAGCACACGTCAACGACAAAAAAGCATTGAACGGAAACGGTTCAAGCATTCAAAGGCTTGTCGCTCCCGTGGAGCGGGTGATTGACAGCGCGACAGGCATAGGCACCACACATCAATCGGTCCAGCACTCACATTCCAGACAAGTCAATCGTCTCAGACTTGCTCATCACGGTTTGGAAGCCGGCCAGGGTCCCGCGCCATACCAAGTCATACTAAATCGTCGAGTTGACGATAATCGCGGATCGTTGGCCCACATCAACCGAGGCTTCCAAGAACAAGGGAAGACTCAAGTAGACCCTGGAACCCGTCCTCGCAAGATGGCGTGTTTTTGTTTTGTTCCACATTGGACATAAAAGATTTGATATCAGGACCGCAATATCACGAGCAAACTGAGCTAGGAAGAGAGACGAAAATGTCAAGAAAGAAAACTTGTGTACAAGCCGATCCCCTTGTTCGCCATGGTGATAAAAAAAGATAAAAAATCCCATTTCCATCAGTAAACAAGCCCCGCCAGTTCCCACCCAGTTCAGTATTCGTATTTCAACGCATGTTGCGCTTCGTTCCACCCATATCAACCTAGCCCTCGCCCGGGAAACCCCATGAGATACTATTACAACCCAAAGAGAAGCTAAGAAGCAAGGCCCTCCGAGTAACCGTGAGAAAAAAAGAGAGAGAAGAAAAGCCCAACAAGAGGAGAAACGGAAGCTATCCTGATAGAGACAGCAAGACGACTTACGCCGTCGCCTCCTCAAGCTTAGCCTTCTTCAACTCCTCGGGCTCGGCATCATCCTCGGCCTTGCGCTTGCCGTTGGACTCGCCATTGGCTCCCTTGGCCCCGTTGGACGCCTCAGCTTCCTGGGGCGGCTTGGCCTCGTCCTTTTGCTTCTTGCGCACGAGCGAGGTGAGATCCGTGGCCGTCTTCTTGGCCTCCTCGATGGCGGCCTGCTTCTCGGCGCTGGTAGCGCCGGCCGCGGCGCCAAGAATGCCGCTGAGGCTGCCGGCGATGCCCTTGTCGCCGTAGAGGGTCTCTTCGAGGTTAATGGGAGGTCCACGGAGATCCACCAACTAGAAAACCACGGGGTTTAGTTAGCCACTCGCTTGAAAGAAGGCGGTGTCGGGTTGATACAATTGGGAAAAGAAAAGGGGGGGATAAGAACGTACTCGCTGCTCCATATCCGCAATAATCTCCTTGACCTCGGTAATTTGCTGCCGCGTAAGCTCATTATCATCCGGAGACGCCATGGTCGCAAGATCCACCTCCTTGCCCTGAAGCTTGAGCTTCGTGCTCTCAATCGCCAGCTCCAGCTCCTTGACCGCCTCGTCGCGCTGCTCCTGGTCCACGGCCTCCGTCTTGTTCCCGCCCTCGTCCGTGGTGGTGATGGACGCGAACTCGAGGGCGAGGAGAGCTTGAAGTGCGCCTCGGCAATGATCTCCGACTCCTTGGGATACAGGAGCTGCTTGTACTTGAGCGAGGCGCGCGAATCGGTAATGGCGTTGGGGTACCGCTCGTTCTCGAGCGAGATCTCGGCGAGCAGGTCGTGCGTGTCGGCGAGGCGCTCCCTGACGTGCGTGAGGATGGGCTCGCCCTCGCCCTCCTTGATCTCGCCCGACTCGAGCTGTTCGAGCTTCTTCGCGTAGAGCACCCTCGCGAGGTCGAGAATCTCGAAGGCTACCGCAAGGTCGTCGTCTTCCTCTTCTTCTTCTTCCTCCTCGCCTCCCTAAAAAAACGGTGCTTGTTAGTAAAACAATAATTATCCTTCTCCCCTCCATGGGCGAGGACAACCTACCTCTGCGTCATCCTCATCCGAATCTTCAAAGTTTTCATCTCCCGTAAACTGGAACAGGGGCTTCTTGGCGCCAGGAACCTCGACCTCACCCTTCTTCTCCCCCTCTTCCTCACCCTTGGACCCGCTCGCCTCGCCCGCCTCCCCAGCCTTGGCTTCGGGCTGCTCCTGCTCCTGCTCCTGCTGTTGCGGCTTGCTCTTCTTCTTCTTCTCGGCGGCCGGCGCCTTCTTCTGCCGCTTCTCCGCCGAGGACGCCTTGCCCCCGAGCACGTCGCTCTGCGCCTGCCCAACCTTGAACAGGCTCCTGCCGTAAAGGAACAAAATCTCCGCATTGTCCGGGCTCATCTCGCCGTTGAGCTCCGCCTGCATCTCCGCCGCCGTGGCAAAGCACTCGGCCGACTCCTCGTACTTCTTCTTCACGTACAGAGCCGTGCCCTTGGCCGACAGGTCCGCCAGCGTCACCTTGTTCGACTTGAGCTCCTCCTCTTCCTCCCTGCCATTCTTTTCCTCCGTCTTTTCGTCCCCTTCGGACTTGGTCTCGGTGACGGTTTCCTCGGCAACGGCCGTTTCTTCGCTCGCCGGCTCAGCGGCGGCGGCGGCGGCGGCGGGCAGCGGCGCTGGGCTGCTCGTCGACGGGCACCTCCTCTACCGGCGCGGTCTTGGGCTCAGCGGCGTCGGCCATTTTTCTTTACTTTTTGTATCTTTGTATTGTGTTTTCTCCCCTCCTTTCTTTTTCTTCTTCCTTCTTCTAGTTCGCTGAGCTAACGGGAGGAATCGCGCGCCTCGATGCTTTCGTACAGGGGTGGGGGTGGATCGAGGAAGGGGAGTTGGAAGCTCGAGAGACGCGTAGGGAATTCAATTGAGACTTTCGCGGTAGGAACCAAAGGGTAGATGGTAAGAAGCGAAGATCCCCTTTATAGGTATTTCTAGCTCGCGACAGTGAGATGGTTAGAAAGCGTGGTCTGACGTGAAAATCGGCTCCAAGGCAGAGCTCGACAAGGGCCCAAGGTAATTGAAGGAAAGACCCACTTGAGATTGGAACCCTTGATTCTCGAGATCTTGGGGACAAAAAAGGTCTTGGTCGGGGTGAGTTTGGTGCGTGTGTGTGTGGATGTGTGAATGTATCTGTGTGTGATACTTGTCAATGTGTAAAAGGGGGGGGAAACAAACAAAAGCTGGGGAAATGTGTGGAGCGTGGTACCTCTTTTTCCTGGTCTGTGAGAAAAAAGTGACGCGATTCCTGATACTGATTCTGATCCGGTACGAGCGCGTCAGCAACGAAGCTGGTCTGCTCCTTGTGCTCTTTGGGTCTTTTGGGGGAAGAATGTGGGCGTGCGCGGGACAGTACCACAGTGCCAAAAACAGCACGCACCAGCGAAAGCTGCCCCTCCAAGCATGATGGCCAGCCGCTGCTGATCATCCACCCCCTTGCTCATAGGTGGCGTACTATTGGAAATATACAGCTTCCTAATAATAAGTATCAAACGAGCTTTTGCTCTCTTGGAATCTATGAGCGCGTTTATTGGAAAAAGTACATTTTAACACTGGCAGCGCTGGGAAATCGTCATGCTAAGGCACCAGAGCTAGCCTGAGCTTCGGCTCCTTCCCACACATGCGCAACGACGTGAGAGCACGCGACCACCTCCTCGTAGCTAGAAGTGGGGATAACTATTGACAAATTCACTAGCACTAGGAAAACATAACACGTGTGGTTCCAATATCAAGTTACAAGTATCAGCAAGGCTCTCTACTCCGAATTAAGTGGTATTACTATGGTACAAGCACATATATCCCCAAATGTCCGATACTAGTCCCCTTCAGACTCGGTATCCCATTATCTACCGCACTCCCCCGCCGCAGTGGACAAGAAGAAAGGGGCAGACAACCCTCCTAGAGATAGAGCTGTCTCGTTTTCCTTGCCTCTCCCCAACCTCAAACCGTTGGGGCCGGAAAAGTGTAGCTAAAAGTAAACGACCTCTTGGTTTTCCTGCAGCCGGCTAGGTTTTCCTTGTAAGACAAAAGATCTACACCATCTCCAACAAAGGCACAAAAAAGATCGATGTGTAGTCTGAATGCGCAATAGACATCTGGGGCAGCGAGGAGGCGAGGGTTATAAAGGCAAACGGGGAAAGGGGGACGAGGATAACACAAGTGTGTCCTGGAACCGCACCTATTTTCCAATTCCACGCGCAACCCACTCCTGAGCCCTCGAAGAACAAATCAGGGGAATCGTACGTGGCAGGCCAGGAAAAAGAGGAAGATAAGAAAAGGGAACAAGAGGCAATGGCAAGACCCAAGAAAGGAAAAAAGGCACGGGAGAAGAACAAGAAGAGGCACGGTTTGATACAACCAAGGACGATTAATGCAGAAAGAGAGCAACATTCTACCCCTCTCACATGTTGGCAACTAGCAAAAGGATAAGGAGGGAGGAGGCGTATTTTGCGTAAGGGGAATCTGAGAGAGTAGTAGTAAAAGGACAACAAATATGGGCATCTGTTTCCTCCCTCCTTACCAGCCAAGAAACGCCATCATTTTGATGAAAGGGGAAAAAAGGTTGGGGGTCCCCGAGCATCAAAACCAAACAAACAACAAAACCTACACACACAAGCGCGACTGGAAACGAAAAGAGGAAGACAGAGAGGAATAGGAGAAACGACAAGAAAAAGAAAACCAAGACAAAGATGGGAACACACAAGAGAGACTTTCCTCCATCACCGCCCACAATTCCCTTTCCCGGTTCCCACAACCCAGCCAGCCACCAAAAACAAAATCCAGTTCCCTGATGAAACCCCGCCATATGAGATGAGTGTTAGAATTGTTCCCAATGCTGCCGTCTCGAAATTACTGCTGCTGGCCCAGTAGGCGGAACCAGACATGTGACGCAAAGGCATGCTAGCGACAAGACCATTTGATGCGAGTGGGAATAAAAAGGAAAGAAAGAAAGAGAGAGAGAGAGAGAGAGAGAGGAGAGGATGGTATGAAAAGAGTCTTCGGCTTTTACACAACCCCGCAATCTTCCCGGCTCCTTATTCCTTGAGCTTCTGCTTGATCTTGGTGAAGAGGGAGCTGATCCTGTGCCTCTTCTTCTTCTTGGCGGCCGCGACATCGCCGTTGGTACCGGTTGTGACGGCCGCAGGGGCAGCAACCTTGCTTGTGGCCGGCTCCGCAGCGGCGGCCGGTGCCTCGTCGACAGCGCGGTTCTCGACGGCGAGCGCGTTGGTCGTCTCCGCCGCGGCAGGCGCAGGCTCGACTGCCTCCTTGAGCTCGGCCTCGACCGCCTTCTTGTCCTCGACGGCAGCAGCATTGGCCGCGGCCTCGGGGCCTTGCCAGCCTCAGCGATCGACTCCTTGACCGGTTCGGGAACGGCGGCCGCAGGCTCTGGGAACCTCACCGGCAAGCTTGGCGGTGGTGGATTCGGGAGTCACGCCGCCAATGATGGCAGCGGCGGGGGCCTCGGGCACCTTTGAAGAAGCTCGGACTCGAGCTTCGCCTTCTCTTCCACCTCGGCAGCGACGCCCGCGGCTTCGGGGCCTGGCCAGCCTCGGCCAGAGACTCCTTGACGACCTCGGGGACGGCAGCCGCGGGTTCCTTGGGAACCTCGCCGGCCAGCTTGGCGGTGGTAGACTCTGGCGTCACACCACCAATGATGGCGGCTCCGGCGCCAGCAGCGATGGGGAGGCTGGACTCGGGAATCAAGGTGTTGGTAACCGGGGGTAGAGTGTACGTGTCCTTGTCAAGACCAGGAATCGCGTCCGAGTTCTCGTACGACTCCTTGTCGAGCTTGACGTTCTTGTTGATGTCCTCGGCGGAGGCCTTGGGCACCTCCTCGCCAGGCGCCAGCTTGATGGGGTTCAGAGCGAGGTCGGCCGCAGGAAGGGGGTTGACGCTGACAATCTTGTCCTCGGTGGGGTTGGCGGGAAGAGGGTTGACGCTCACGGGCTGGTTAGCCAGAGTTTCGTCAACGGGGAGAGCACCGGCGTTCTCATAAGACTCCTTGTCGAGCTTGACGTTCTTGTTGATGTCCTCGGCAGCGGCCTTGGGCACCTCCTCACCCGGGGCAAGGGTGATGGGGTTGAGGGCACCGGGAGCGGCGGGAAGGGGGTTAACGCTGACAATGGTCTCATCGACGGGCGCGGCGGGCAGAGGGTTCACGCTGACGGGCTTGTTGGCCAAATCCTCGTCAACGGGGAGAGCACCAGCATCCTCGTACGATTCCTTGTCGAGCTTGACGTTCTTGGTAATATCATCAGCGGTAGCCGCGGGTACTTCCTCGCCGGCCTCGAGCTTGATGGGGTTCACAGCACCCGCGACGCCAGGCAGGGGGTTCACGCTGATGGGCTGGTCAGTCGTGGTATCAGGTAGCGCGTCGCTCTTCTCGTACGACTCTTGATCAAGCTTCACGTTCTTGTTCAACTCGTCGGCGGAGGGAACGGGCACCGCCTCGCCGGCTTCGAGCTTGACGGGGTTGAGGGCACCGTTGGTAGCCGGAAGAGGGTTCACGCCGACAACTTGGTTGTCAAGCTCGGAAGCTGGCGTGGCAGGGAAGCGACCCGGCGCATCGACGGCGGGGGTAGGGGCAGGGTCGGCAACAGCAGCAGCAACCGCGGGGTTTTCTTGCGCGGCTACCGCGGGTGTGATGGGCTCCTCCGAGGCAGCAGCATCCTGGGACGCGGGCTCGTCGTTTCCGGAGCCAGACTCTTCGCCACCAGCAGCCGCATCAGCGCCGCCAGCGGTAGCCTTCTTCTTGGCCTTCTTCTTAGCCTTCTTCTTGGCCTTTTTCTTGTCCGCCGCGCTCTCTACGGGGACCGCACCAGCGAGCTGGGCGGTGGTGGAGTCGGGGGTAACGTTGTTCAAGAGGGCGGTAGCCTTGTCGTCAGCCATGATGACGGGGATGGCGTCCAGCACGTTGTTCAGGTTACCGTTGTCGTCAGACTCTTGAGGTGCGGAGCTGTCGATGGACCAGTTTCCGTCGACGAAAAACTTTCAGGATGGGAGTGTCAGTGATGTGCTGTCCTTTTTGGGCCGCGCAATTGAGATGGATAAAATGGAGAAGGGGGCCAATTGGTTTATTACGGTCCCTTCTGCGACCAGACCAGATGTGAGGGTATTAAGGGTTAAGCTCTGAATCAGATGCGAGGTGTTCGGTGGATGAGACAATGGATAGGGAATGGGGGAGGGAGAGGGAAAAGAAGGAAATAACCCGAGGTAGTAGAAGGGGAGGAAGAGATTTGATTGCGAGGATCTAGTGTGTGAGAAAAGGGTAAAGGTGTGATGGGAGGTAGTAGTGGGTTTCCGGGTAATGAAGCTCCCACTCTCAGGATGTGCACAAGGAACAGAAAGCGAGAGCATGGGGCAGCCAACAGTCGTAGTGTCCACGCCGCGAGGGGAAGGAAGGTACGTGAGCACCCAGCAAAGTACACATTACACAACAACAATGGATCCAGCACTTGAGACGGATCAATTGAAGCTACACTAGTAGACCCCCAAAGCCCCCAAGCCCCCAAAGCCCTCAACTTCCACCAGCACTGGCGCTCCTCCAGCGGCTGCAAGCGGCGAGGACATTGGGAACGGGGGTCACTGAGGGTGATGCAATCGTTGTTGGACGGGCAATGGGACAGGGTCGGGTCAAGCTTCGCCAGGGTAGCACGGGTAACTTTGACTGCAGAGGTACATCATTGCTGCTGGCGGGGGCAGTTTGCGCAGCCTGTCAGCCGATTCAAAAGCCCGTGATAAAATGTTTGGGGTAAGTAACTTTCAGCCTGACAACATGCAATTCTGTACCTCGGTACATTGATGTACACAACTGTGCATGACGCTGGTCCTTGCAGCGCAGCGCTGGTGGAGCTTCTGTGGCCTTGTGCTCATCTTGCTTGCAGAAGGCAAGCCAAAAGCACAGGCGACAAGCACGGGGTACACAAGACGCACATTAGCTCAGATGGGAACAGGGTATCTGAGCTCGTACCCGGTACCAGTACCCGCTTCAGCGCAGCCAGACAGGCCCACATTTCATACGTCCTGGTCCGGAGCAGGCAAAAAAGGCAAGAGATGTGCCCCCAACTGTGCTCTCGTTTCGGCTTCGTAACTCGAGGATGACGCCGCTTGGCCCTTGTTAGACTAGACATTGGATAACAAACTCAATAAAAAACGAACAAGAAAGAAAAGGAGAACGAGAACCATCCAGGACGGACGACAGCTCGGAAAATCGAGTCCGAGCCCCCTTCGCTGTTCGCCACCATTTTTTTTTTTTTCGTTCTCTCTTCATTATTTTTCTCTCTTTTCGTTTCAGTTTCGTGGAAGGGGGAGGGTTCAGTCGCAGCCCGCAATGGCTGTTTGGATTGAATTGGCCAGCTCCCCAGGCAGACGGCCTGGCCCCGTCACCTTCGCGGCGCTCTCGGCGGCTCGATGCGATTTCAGGGTCACGAGACGAGACTGGGGAGGCCAAGAAGCGAGCTTGAACCGGAAGCGTTGTACTCGAGAGTGTACAGAGTACCTTCCACGACAACAGACTGTTGAACAGGAGGCCTTCCGAGGTTTTGTCAAAAGAAGGGGAAAGTCGCGGCAGAAAACTGAATCGCCTTTCCTGTCTTGTCTTGCAAGGCACGGTGCTGGCGCGCATAGGCTAATAATAACCTTCGGGCACTCAATTCTCCATGATGTTTGACGGAACAGCGGGCAGCCAAAGTCCCAGGAAGCTTGTCCTCGAACGGCCTGCAGGTACCGTACACAATTCTTTGCTCAGCTTCTGTCAACACCACCAGCGCCATCCAACAACCAGCTCGGCTTCGAGAGGGGAGGGATGGATGACGAGCTCATTACCGCTTTCAGATTCCAAACATTGTCCCTTGTCTTTTGCCTGGGCCCGTGTCGCCCCTGCTATTTTCAATCCTCAAAATTGATTCCCCAACTTCGAGAATAGCGAATGGACAGGTGGTAGGATGCAATACCTGCGCCGGGCCCCGTTGCTCGGATCCTGGGACAGACAAGGGGCAACTCGAGGGTTTCCAACAGCCTGAAAACGAGCATGGGCCACCACGGCTCGTTTGGCTGGAATCCTGACTCTTCCGTGTCGTGTGCTTGAGCAAAGCTCCAAAGTATCTTTCAGCCAGCCAGCTCGAAGGAAGCAACGATGAGAAAAGCACCATGCCTCTCGAATCTTGCTCGCTCAGAATTGGCATTATCCTAATAGAGCACGCGATGAGAATGATCAATTTCCCAATTTGCCAAACTTGCAGAAATTGGGTCACGGATCAATTCCTTTCTGTGGTGGTGCTAAGCTTATTGGTTTTCAACCAGCCACTTTGCCGGATTGGGCCTGCTCTTTTGTGCGCTCTCCCTTTGGTGCGCTCGCTATGTCCAATCCGGTGCCTGATGCCGACTCGACTATGATCGGGATCAAACAAGGAACAAACCAGACGGCCTAGACCTGCTCGCTCGAGTCTTCCGGGGCGCCATCAGTTGAGCGGTTCGAAAACCGAGAGCTCAGGGATCGAGGTGCAGATCGCGCGAAGAAAAAGGCTGAGGAGTGCCATGGCAAGCAGTGGAGCGCATGCCAAATGAACATGTAATAGATGATGGGAAGAGTTTGATGGTCTAGCTCCAATGGAGATGAGGCTCCCCCACTCGCAAGACCACTCTAGGAGAGGTACCATCAATCATCAGAGATCCACGTTTCCGTACCTCGAATCATCTCAATGTTGGCGCGCCACCGAGGGACCGGGTTTTGAGTTTTTTCTTTTCTCTCCCTGTATCCCATCTTTTTTTCATCCCCTTTAACCCTTTTCTTTTTCTTTTTCAAGGGCAGAGGGTAGTTGCTGCGGCGCAAGTCAAGAGCGGAGTCAAGACCGAGGATCCGAAGTGCCCCGCTACGTTTCCATGTCAGAGGTTTCGAGCCACTGGACTGGAGCTCCCGTCACAGAATTGCAGTGCACAACGTTTCATCGAGCCTTCTCAGACACAAACTTAAGGGCCGCCACAGGCGTTCTCCAGGACTTTGTAGAGGAAAATCAATCCGTTTAGCAGGCGCGGACTTCCGGTATCACCTCCTGAACTGGCCGACTGCGTCGGGGAATGGCAAGATAGGTTTCGCGCTCGAGGATTCTCGAACGAACGCCGAATCGGTTTGGGCGCGGAGATCTCTCCTCGTGGGAAAAGATGCAAGGGAAAGGCGAACAAAGGCCAGAGAGCGGAATAACACCAGGCGCACAAACCTTGTAGAGAATCTTTTTGAGACATCCGGGATCGGGACGGTCTTCTCGAAGCGACCATCTCCAAGCTGCTCAAGCTTCGTTGACCGAGACCAGTTGTCAAAGGTACCTGTGACGATAACTTCCTGTGCTGGTTCGTTCCTGCTCACGAAGAAACGCAATCACCGATAAGTCAGCTTGACAGCCATAAACTCACAATTAGAGGCCAATTGGAAGCTCGAGGGGAACAGGGAACGAGAAACAGGAAATGGGAAACGGGGAACAGGAAACTGTAATGCAGGGTGTGCTAGCTCTTGGGCAAGTGCGCTTTAAACCCGCACTCGGGGTGAGGTAGGGTTTGCGCTGTTCATCCTTCTGTCTCAAGCTGTCAAAACTTAAACAAGTGCTCAGCCGAGCCAAAGGTGGCGGCGCAACAACCATCCCAATTGCTAAACTGATTCCTATGACGACTATTGGATGGTGAATGCGAGGAAATACAAATTCGTACCAGGTAAACGTGTAGGTGGCCATGGCGGGGTGAATCGGAGGGAGAGAGTTTGGTCAGCAAGATTATCAGGCGCCAGGACTCTGAATATTGATCCCCTCGGATAGCGCACTAGGAGGGGGCCAAGAGCACCGTGAGGCGATGATCTGGAAAGGACGCCGTGCTAATGATGTACGCCAGTGGTAGGAACGAGCGATTCGGATGACAACGCCGCCGTTTCGGTGACGACGAATTCGCGGTCAATGGGAGGAATGTTGAGGAGAGCGGGGAAGCCGAGCGCGAGACTGGTGCGAGAGCTTCATGGAGCAGACTATCCAGATGGAAGGTGCCACCCTCCTTTTAAAGATCATAGATTGCGCCAATTCTGCGAGCACCTCGCTCCTCCAACTCCCAACAGTTGACGCCATGGAGGGGCTTTGTAGCACACCTCGAGTACTTCTGCATCCGCCTACCTTCATACCTTCATACATAGTACAGGTTGAATGCTTCATCTTGGTACCCCCAAGGTTACCACCTAATAATACCTCTTAGAGCCGCCGGACCCCTGCTTAGTTGGTGGAGCTGGATGGGAGCTCTCTCAATTCATTGAGATGGTTGCGACAGCTCTCCTTTATCAAGCTCCTCGTATCTTGCTCTTGAGGGGCGACAAGGGTCCTTATCAGTAACCTGAGATGTCCGCATATCTAGACTGTCTAGGTTCTAAGCTTGTCAACGTGACAGCCGTCGCCTCTTTGTACCCCCATCCATTGATGGCTGAAGAGATAATTGATCTCTTGCCTTTCTTCTGGATTCAGGATCTTGAACCATCCAGCGGCTTGTGTGCTAGGATCCTTTCTGCGGGTTCCTTGAGCTTTTGGCAACTCGGGCAATACATTGATTGATTAACAATCACAAGGCCGTGGTGACGATTGGAGGGTTTGATTGGCTCATTGTGCTTGGACGGGATGGGTGGATGGGTGGCACAACCCACGAACAACTGCTGCAACTGCTGCAACTGCAATCACCTGTAAATGTAGACTGTCCGCTTTGGGTGGTGCAAGCTTCGTTTGGGTCTGATGCTTGGGATTGACCACTTTCGGTGGGGCCAAAAAAGTCCAGGACCCTCAAAAACTTTTTTGCCCATTTCTCTGTTGCGGTACCGCACCCCCAAATCCAAAAGTCGGCTTCCCAATCACGACAAAGAGGGCGAGAAATTCGAGGACGTAACCCGCGGCGAAGCAGACAATGGCAGAAGGAAGCATAACCTCCTCTCTCACATCAACAACTCTCACTTTCGCCCCAGGCATGGCTCCCGCCGTCCCCTCCCTCGGCAGTGCCAACCCGCTCGCACTCGTCGAGTTCATCGCGGCCTCCAAACGTCACGCCTTCCTCCAACCGCCCGCTTCGATCCCCTCCGCCTCCCTAAACCTTGTGAAGGATACTCTCGAGTCCTTTGCCGGCCACGTTGGAGAGGAGCAGCTCCGTCTCTTAAGAGAGGAGAACAGGAAGAGAAAAAGGTCCGAGAGGTTAAAGCCGGATGAGGCCGAGGTGTTAAAAGTTCGAAAAGTCCACGTCGACGGCTTTGAGACGAACCAAGTATGGCAGCAGGCGAAGCGAATCATTTCCAGTGCGTTAAAAGCTCTGAAGATGCCTTACGCGAACTCGAGGAGGTGAACAAGGCAAACGGGGACGCTAGTGAAGACGAAGAGGATGAAGACGACGACTCTCAAGTTCTAGAAGGGGGTCCTCTGGAGAAGAATATGGCAGCGATGGTAGCGATATTGAGGCGAGATTGGAAGATCTAGAGAGCGACGACGAACTGGGAGAAGATGTCGACTTTGGAGACGAAGATGGGATGGGGCTTGATGGCGAGGAGGATGGTGAAGATGGGGAAGAAGATGGAGAGGGGCTCGAAGGGGATGAGGTTGAGGACGACGAGGATGAAGATGCCGAAGAGTTCGTGGAAGATGTACACGGACTGAACGATGGCTTCTTCTCCATAGACGACTTCAACAGACAGACGCAGTGGTTTGAGAACCAAGATGCAAGAGGAGACCCCAACACGGATGTCGCAAGCGACGACGAAGATATCAATTGGGATGCGGATCCCTACTCTACCGAAGCGATAATAGCCAAGAAGGGCAAGAAGGCGGATAAGACAAAGAAGGATGACGACCGTTTCAACCTTGGGATGGACGAAGATGACGAAGAAGAAGCGGACGACGACGACGACGAAGAAGGCGGCCCTACTTTTGGAAACATGGATCTCTACGCTCCCGAGGGAGATAGCGATAATGAAATGGGCGGCGATTTCGGCCAGGAAGGGGAAGAGGAGGATGATGGTGGCGACAATGCAAACGACATCTTTTACAAGGACTTCTTCGCTCCGCCGCCCAGAAAATACAAGGAGGGCAAACCGAGACGGAAGAATGTTCGCTTTGAGAAGCCCGCCGATGCTGATATCGACCGCGCCATCTCCAACGTCCGCCGTGACCTGTTTGAGGATCTGTCCGACCGCGAGGACTCGGACGACGCACTTTCCGAAGCCTCAGCTGGCGACCTCAAGTCCCGAAAGTCGGTCCACGAGAGGAGGCAAGCCAAGATTGCTGAAGAGATCCGAAAACTCGAGGCCGCCAACGTAGCCAAACGTGAATGGACGCTCTCGGGTGAGGCCACCGCGGTCGAGCGGCCCTCAACTCCCTTCTCGAAGAGGATCTCGATTTCGAGCACGTTGGAAAGCCCGTCCTTGTCATCACTCCCGAAGTTACCGAGGGCATCGAGGATCTTATCAAGCGCCGCATTCTCGCCAACGAATTTGACGATATCCTGCGGCGCCGTCCCGATTCGGATCCGACCGCCAACGGTCGCCGCGGCCTCGTCGACGTCGAGGACACCAAATCGAAAAAGGGCCTGGCCGAGATCTACGAGGAAGAGCACGTGAAGAACGCCAACCCCGACACCTACGTCAGCCAGGCCGACGAAAAGCTGCGCAAGGAAGAACAAGAGGTGGAGCAAATGTGGCGCGACGTCAGCGCCAAGCTCGACGCCCTCAGCAGCTGGCACTACAAGCCGAAGCCCTCGGCGCCCACCATCACCGTCGTCGCCGACGTCGCCACCGTTGCCATGGAAGACGCTCAGCCTGCCACCGCCCAGGGTGTCGCCGGCGGCGAGAGCATGATTGCGCCCCAGGAAGTCTACCGCGCCGGCGCCTCCAAGGAGACGGTCGAGCAGGGCGAGGTCGTGCCCAAGTCGGGTCTGCCCGTCGCCAGGCAAGAAATGACGCGCGAAGAGAAGCTGCGCAGGAGGCGGCGCGACAAGGAGAGGAAGCGCAAGGCTGGCGCGACGGGCTTGGCGGCCGCGAACGGCGCCAACAGGCAACCCGGCGCCAAGCGATCCAAGACGGACACGCTCGCGGACCTACGGAAGGGAGGCGTCAAGGTGATCAACAAGAAGGGCGAGATTCTCGATGTGGACGGCAACAGGCCTAAGGCGGCCCAGCTTGTCACGAGCGGTGGATATAAACTATAGATGAACCAAGTCCTCCCAAACAACAAAACTTAAAGGGACGTCGTGCAGAAGGGGAACAGAATGGAAATGGGAAAGAGGACCAAAAAGAAATGACCGTCGGTGCTCGCTCGAGCATGAGCATGGCCTCTTCATTTTCTGAAAGGCGAATACGGGGGTTGAATCTTGACAGTATCTAGAGAAGGCTGAATTCGGGAAGTCGTTGCCACTTTCTTCGCCTATTTGCCCTCATTACAGTTTTTGGCCTGTGTTTGTTCTTTTGGGTCGGTATCGCGCTGTGGCTCTCGAGAAGGAACGATTCTTCTCCCACCGTTTTGTTCAATTTTATTATCTCGATGGAGTTGTGGGTACTTTTAGCATTGTTTGAAAACATAGGCATCACTGAATTCATCCTGGTTTTTAATTCACAAACACAAAAGAGGGAGCACAAAAGAGGGAGACGGAGAGGAGGGTGGCGGGGACGAAGAGAGCCGTTCCGGTCTATCAATTATGTCGTCGTCATGCAGGAAAAAAAGTGTTTAAAGATAATAATAGTAGAGGACATTGCGACCAAGCGGCGTACCAGTAGAAAAGTGAAGGGGAAAATAAGAAAAAACCATTGGCGAGGAAGAAACAAGACCAGCACACGAAAAGCCCATGTATGCACCCATTACTCTTTTTGGTTTTCTCTTTGTCTAGAATGGATCCGAGAAACGATGAGGGAGATGAAAGGAGAGAGAAAGAGAGAGAGAGAGAGAAACCGGAAGGAAGGAGGAAAAGAATATCCCCATGCTCCTCGCACGCTGGAGAAATGGCCTGCGCTCTCACAGCTGTAGATTGCCGAGGGGAGAGCGCCCGGTCGTGGAGCCCTTTAGGTGCGCGGAAGAGCCCTTGAAGAGGCTTTGCCAGATGTAGGCCTCGCTGAGGAGCATCTCAATGTCCTTCTCGCCCCAGTCCTTGGTGGGTAGGCTCTGGAGGAACATCATGATTTCTTGAAAGTCCATCTTGACGAGCTTATCAGACCACTTGACTAGGAAGGCGGCGCAGACGTAGAGGTGGAATTCGGAGAAGCCTTGTTCTTCGGCCTGTTTTTGCAAGATTCGTTAGTTCTTCGCGCGGTGCTGTTAAGGGAGGATGAGAAGGAGGAGGGGGAGGGGGTAAGCGAGGGAGGAAGGGGGGACTAACTAGATATGTATCCCACATTCGTATTGTATTCTTGACGGATATCTCCCGCATAAGGAGGCAATTCATCCAACGGAAACTAAATTGGATAAACTCCACGCCCTCGCTTTCCAGGTGTTTTGCTAGTCCCGCATCGATGCGCGCCGTGAGGTCCTCAGCGCAGCCACCTGCCTCTGGATGCCGGGCTGCGCTACTATGTAGTGGTCCTGGATCCCGTCGAGCAGCTTGGTCAGGCACCAAAAGGAATCGGCTTCTACCGCGTCCAGAACGGCCCTGGGCAGCTGGCCGGGGTCCATGCCCGTCTCGATGTTGGGGTCGGCGATGTAGACGCTGAGAAAGACCTGCCAGAACGGGGTGACGAGGTCGTTGATGCCCTGGACGTAGCCGCTGGCCGGGTGGCGCACGGCCCAGACGTAGAGGATGCGCTCGAGGGAGCGCTGCGTGGCTTCGTAGCCGTAGAGCTCCAGGTGGGGGTTGGTGCGGGGCACGTCGATGCTGATCTGGTGCCAGATGGCTTCGTCGAGGCCGCGGGCCTTGCCCGGGTTCGCGGCGGACTGGGCGCCGACGCCAGCGCGATCAAACGCCTGGCGGACGCCGTCGAGGTACTCCTTGCGCTTGCGTTCGAGGGTGGCGACGCGACGCTCGCTGTTGGTGGGTAGGTAGCTGAGGAGGAGTTGCCAGGTCATGGCGCGCACCTCTTCGGGGACACCCGACCAGGCTAGCTTGCGCAGTTCGGGGAGGGATATGGAGGTCGCTTGGAGAAGTTTCTTGAACTTGTCGATGCGGGAGATTTTGGAGTTGATGGCTTCGGCTTCCTTGGGCGTGGCGTTGGCGGGGATGGAGGGATAGTTGATTAAGTGGAGTGCGTTGGCGGGGTCTAGGAAGAGAAGAGGGTAAGCTCTGGAAACCGCTTGCGCGCTCTATCGGATAGCAACATACCTCGTAATATTTCCTTGTACTGAGGTCTTAGAATCTTACCCTCGCTTTTCTTGGGTAAGGGATAGGATGGGGCCGGCCGCTCGATGGCGATATCTGCGCTATTGGAGTACCGTCTGGAATGGAACGCCCCAAACGAACCATCTAACCTGGGGGATAGTGTCGCGCCTGGTGAATCGTCTATTGCGCTCTGGCCCAAGGCAATCTTCTTTTTCTCCTCTTCATATTGGAGAGACTGGGCAAGCCGAAATCATCACCATCATCATCCTCATACCCCATCATCTCGTCTTCGTCCGCCTTCCAATCATCGTTCGTTGTGGAAAGGAAGTTGATATAGTGTTTGAAAGGAGGGGAGACCCGGCCAGAGACCTGGCGATGGGGTGGAGACGACTCTCCCGGGCGATTCTGGTTCGAGGAAGTGGAAGGCGGCGTCTGGGGCCGGGAGGAGGAACCTGAAACAGAGCTGCTGGATGTTAGTGGTGTAGACGAAGGACTAGTGATCGTGAGGACAGACAGTTGATCGAGCCTGAGAATGTCAGCGTGGGAATAGGCGGCGCCGACCACGATGCCGGACTCGCGGCTCGTTCGTTTCGGCGTCGTTTCTCGCTGGTTGGGCGCTTTCCAGAAAGGAGATCCTGAACTTTAGTCTCCACATGTTAGCCTTCCGAAACCCGGAGGGCGGATGTCCTCGATGAGGGGTCACCCGCCAGCTGGTGGGCGCGATTCGGAGCATACCTTGAACGGTCTATTGTGGTAGGAAGAAAAAAAGGGAAATCGTTAGCCATTGTATCACCCCCTCAGGCGAGCTCAGTCGCGATGGTAGGGAAGAGGGCGGCTCGACTCACCAACCTGTACCATTTCCTTGGCCTGAAGCTAAGTCGTCAGCGCCGAGTCTCTCAAACTGACAGGATGTGGAAGCTCTAGAAGTGGGGTTGAGCATACCTGCTGTTGCGGTTTCTTGCCGCTCCCCGAGCCAGAGAACATGATTTAAATCTGGCAAATTGTATGCACACCGCACTACCACATTATTATGCTTGCGAAAAGGTCAAAAATCCTAGGTTTTGGGGGAGACGACCAAGAAGGGCGGACGGCCTGAGATGGCGGGCAGGTGGTCTTGAATATGGGCCTCCTGCAGACGCCTGCCCGTCGCCACCATTTGGAGGGGCACCTCAATTACTAGCGCTTGAACTTGGTCTTGCCGGGATGGCGCCTGTCTGGGGCGTGGCACACCAGCCACACTCCAGCATGGACAGCATGGACACAGCACAGACCGAGGAGATCCATTGATGGATGAGGAGTTGACCGGATGTTGCTGGGCCCACATGATCTGTCAATCGTTCTTGTTCGAGCCTGGGGAAATTGTGTTTGTTGGCTCGTGCCATTCTCCTTGATTCGATGATTCGAGGGTCTTTGTCGAGGCCTTGCTTGTTAGCCAGGGGTTTATTTCTTCAAAGTCGCCAGTCCCTTCGTATTGGGCCACATTGGCGGGCTCAACACTCGTAATAGAGGTCTTCGAGGCAATAAACATTACGTCCATGACTTCCTAAGACCTATGATTTTATGCCTGCTTGATGGAATCACCCAGAAGGGTAAACTATCCTAATAATATTCCTCTCGGTGCTCTCTGTCTAGTTCTTTGGTTCACCGATGTCATTGCATTTGATCCTGGCGGCCAAGCCAAGGTCGGTTCTTGGGGGCCGTCAAGCAAGCGTACTCTGCCCCACACCACCCTGAACCCAGCTCCAACTTGAAGAAATGCAGTGTGGCTTGAAAATCACGTGTGATTCCAGCTGGAAGAATCCCGGCTAAATTATATTTCTTCACCCTTGTGAAGGGAGGACCAAGGTAACTTGCGAAAAGTGAGCTAGCTTCCTATTCTCTCTCTTCCAATCTCTTCACTATCTCATCATTCCATCGTTCCAACCCTTTGTTGCCTCTCATCTTTAATCTAATTTGCACACTTATCCAGGTTCTCCTTCCCGATTTCTTGTTCCCCGCGTTGTCAATTCAATTGAACGCTTGTGCCCCTAGGCACCAACACTAACGCGACAATGACTGAACCTGAGGGTTTCGATGATGATCTGTTTGCTGATCTGTATGCTCTCCTGCTTCATATATCCCCTTCTAATTAGCCTCTTTCATCAACATAAGCTCGTCCTCCTATATGATGAATTTTTAGGATGATTATTGACGCGTTTCTTTAGTTACAATGATGACGATGCTCTGAAGGCGGCCCCTCCGTCAGCGGCCCCAGCCCCCGCTGTCGCCGCTCCCTCGATAGCGAAGGAAACGAGCGCCCCAGCTCCGAGCGAGCCAGATCGAGCCGATTCGCCCGGCGATGCGCAAGATCAGGATGATGATGATGGCGACGTAGATTTTGACCTAGGGGATCCCGAACCCGTTGCGTCCCCCCGGCGCAACAACAAACGCAGCTGCAACAGCAAGAGCAGCAATACCAACAATATCAGCCACAGCGACAAGACGTGGCCGACTCTCCGTCGTCGATAGCAAATTCCTACAGTAAGGCGTCTGGGTCTACGAAGGAAGACGGGTACGTGTTAATCTCTCCTTTTGTCTTGTATTGTTCGTGTGATGCCCACTTCTGTGATTTTGGCCGTGTGGGGCACCACACAACCATGCCGGTGACCTGTTGGTAGCCGGAGCAACCAACTCTGTTGAGAGTCGCACTTTTGCTGGAAGGGGTTGATGCGCGATACGCCCGCGGAAAGAGCCCTGGCCAACGCCTCTTGCAAGAACACATGCGGGGGCCGTAGGCACACATCGCCTTCAGTATCTCCTTGGGATGCAGTTCTTATTTCCAAGTCTTCTGAGTATCGAAGTCGATGCTTTGTTGGTTGAGCTGGAGAGGAGCTGGGCGAACTCGTCGGACCATGATCAGTTCCCCAGGGTCGAGGAACGGCCTGGCTGATGTAATGTTTGGGCTGGATCCGGAGAGGCTTATATTCGAAACGGTTATATATCCTGGTCCTGGCGCGGATCTGTCTATATTGAATCCACCTGCAAAGGAAAGAAAGAAGGGCCATTCCTCCAAAGGATATACATTTCGAGAAGTAATTTGGTTCATCGACACATCACGGGGGTTTCGGTAGTCGCGCCGCTTTCTCACTTGGGTGGTAGCTCTTGGCAGAGTATCATCTTTAAGTTAGCAGGAGGATACGTTGGTCCCCGCCGAGCAAGAAAAAGAAGAAGAAAAAAATGATCGCTGTCTCTCGGTTGGCTGTAACAGGATATGCAGCGAGTTTATCACTCAGGCCAGTACCTAGCAAGAGCAGAAAAGAGGTCAAGCAGCGATAGCAAAGACAGACGAATACTTTTACGACTTCAGCTATGACCTGATCAACACGCTACGTTGAAATTCTCACCATTGAGAGCTACTTTTGGCGTCCGACATTGTGACCGAGGTTCCTCTACCCGGAACTCTTGGGTAACGTTGGGCGTCCCCGCAGCTAGCGGAGGCCTCATAGCTCGCCGCCTGGCCTAGGATTTGCCCTCTGATATAATGGTAGCCCTTCTTAGCCGGAAACAAGTGGAAGGCGCGGGACCAGCCAAGGTGTCCATACCCAGTTTCTATTCTTTTTTGGGGGTGGGAGGCGCCTAGGAGAGTGATTCACCCGCACCACTATTCGATTCAAATCACCCAAAATCACGTTTGCGAAAGGAATCTATTGGGCAGCTGGAGCTTGGATAATTATTGGAAGGAAGGAACGCGTGCCTCAGGACCCCCGTTAGACCTTGTGCCGCTATACTATGGTTCGACTGAGATAGAAACCTCTATTGCTGATACCTCGAGGTGGTCGGGCTTTTTCTTCAGCGACACAACCCACATTCGACACTCCCAGCATCAACACAGTCCTCCCTAGCATAGCGGATTGGATTCCCTCTGCCATTTGTCAAGCCAGTCTGTTCTTGAACCTTGTTGCAGCGCTTTTACTCTACAGCCCGCGCCTTAAAGTTACTCTCTCCCAATGGATGAGCTTGTTGCCGACCACGGTCAACTTGGCGCAGACGCCTTTGAAATTGCTCCAGAGGGAGAATGGGGTGACGAGGTTAAGCTTGAAAGCGATGGATCCCCGAGCCAAGGAAACACGTTGATGAAAAGCGAGGAGGACATTGATGACAATACCGCTTCAAGCCTGGCTTTATTGGGGGCAGACCTTTTGGGAGCCCTGGACAGCGATCTCTTCTATTTCCAGCGTTGTTTCGTTAAGAAGGAACGTAGCTCTCTCCGACCAGAGTGTCGTAATCCTGGGTACGATGGTTGATAGATGAAAGTTGGATATGACTCCCTTCTCTCTAGCAGCGTCTCGTGTTTCGAGCCGAGAACTGCGTCTTCACTGTTTAGCGAGGGTTTCTGGGGCACTTGGTCTTGGTCACCCACGGGGGTACGAATCCTGTACTCTTCGGGCCTCCTCCCCCTGGCACCGCAGCCGCCTCCCCGGTGACCTATGCAGACAGCCCACGCACGTTTGCATACTTGTGGCGCATCGTTCTTCATCGTTTCCACGGCGTCATCCTGCTCACGATGCACTCTGATGGAGGGAGAAGCGAGGGATTGTTTCTTTCCTTTTCCTTCTTCTATTTCTTTAAGCCCTGTTACCTAATTGGCTAGCACTTGTCACATTCTACTATTACACTTATGGGGGCTAGGCCTAGGTTACTAACTGGAACTGTTTTATAGAAAGATGTTTATCGGAGGACTGAATTGGGAGACAACGGACCGTGAGATCACCCCCTTTCTATCTCTTCCCCCACTGTCCTTGTGCATTCGTAGCACTCGTAGGTGCCGATCATCCCTCGCTAACCGTAGATGCACCCTGCTCTAGAATCTCTGAGGGATTACTTTTCGCAATTTGGCGAGGTTCTCGAATGCACCGTCATGCGCGACAATAACACGGGGCGATCCCGCGGCTTCGGTTTCCTTACCTTTAAGGATGCCAAGACTGTAAACATCGTGATGGTCAAGGAGCATTTCCTGGACGGCAAGATTGTGAGTTTTTGTGTTTGGCTATTCTCGGTCCTGGTCAAAAATAGCCGAACGTTTTCTCAGGAGAACCTTTTGCCTAACCCGCTCCCTAGATTGATCCTAAGCGAGCGATTCCTCGTGACGAGCAAGAAAAGACGAGCAAGATCTTCGTAGGAGGTGTTAGCCAAGAGACAACCGATCAAGAGTTTAGGGATTACTTTGCTCAGTTTGGCCGAGTAGTTGACGCAACCTTGATGATGGATAAGGATACGGGCCGCCCGCGGGGATTCGGATTCGTCACGTTTGAGAATGAAGCCGGAGTGGATGCGTGCCTCAACGCCAAATTGGAGATTCACGGCAAGTTTATCGAAGTGAAGAAGGCCCAGCCCCGAGGCAACATGAGGGAAGAAGAGGAGGCGGCACGGCGCAGCAAGTTCCGCAAGGGCGAGGAACAGCCGGCGAGCCAGCAAAATTCGATGGGCAGTCAGATGAATGCGGCGGGCATGAGCCCGCAGGTGATGGCGCAGTATATGCAGCGCATGCAGCAGTACTTTTCCGTTATGCAACAGCAGCAACTCGCCATGAGCCGGGGCATGGGCAACGTAAACCCCATGATGCAGCAGATGATGATGGCGCAAATGCAACAGCAAATGATGAATCAAGGGCGGGGCGGACCTGGCCAGGGGCCCAATGCAGCCATGATGAACCAAATGAACCCCGCCATGATGCAGCAAATGCAGCAGATGATGGCGGCCCAGGGCGGACCCGGCGGCCCTGGGGGATGGACCAAGCGAGCCAAGGCGGACGGGGGCCAACTTTGGCGGCAACTTTGACCCGCAGCAACAGCAACAGCAACAGCAACAGCAACAACAGCAGCAACAACAGCAACAGCAACAGCAACAGCAGCACCACCAGCAGCAACAGCATCACCAGCAGCAGCAAATGTTCAACCAGCAGCAGGGGCGTCGTGGCGGGCGCGACAACCACTACAACCAAGGAGGTGGCTACGGCATGGGCGGCGGCGGCGGTGGTGGCGGTGGTGGAGGGGTTGCGCCGACGTCATGGGAGGGCATGTACGACGACGTGCCCCAGCCCAACATCCCTCAGGTTGGAAACGGGCGGGGAGGGTTCAACAAACGCGGCGGAGGTCACCAGCACATGGTCCAGGTGCCCACCGACCCGGCCAACGCCCCTCCGGCCAACGCCCCGACGGGACCGAAGAACGCCGGACGGCCAGGCGCCAACTACCGAGGCGGCGGCCGTGGTGGCAACCGTGGCTTCCACCCCTATGCGCGTGGCTAAAAGAGAAAAAGAATCGAATCGAGCCCTAGAAATGTGCGAAGCTCCTCTGAGCCTGCCTTCTAGTCGGCAACAGTCCTCGCGGGTTTTTGGTGAATGACACTGCCTGCCCTCCGACTGGATTTTCTGCTAGCCATTGACGGCCTAATATGGAACCGGTTTCTCTCTTGAACTGTTGTCGCCTTCATCTTGGCCATGGTCTTTTTTTTTCTCCTTCTTTTCAAGCAATCATCCCTTTTAAACCTGCCCTCATCCCCATCCGTCGCCATCAGCTTGGAGGCGAACAGGGTTTCTTTTGTACCTTTTCACTTTCCCTTTTCTTTTCCTTTTTTCGGCCAGCCTCCTTTCCCTTTTCGAACGTTTTCAGGTTGCTTGACAAGATATCTGCTTCTTATCGTGGGGAGGCGCAAAAACGGGGGTGTAAAGCAATGAGGCGAACCACACTACATGGTACAGTTTGGAGAAGACATCAACACCAGCAAAAACAAAAAAGAAAAACAAGAAAAAGAGAAGAAAACAAACACTACCCCAACTCTTCGACACCGTCATTAGTATGTGGCGGGGAAGAAGAGGGGGAAGACGCGCAAATAGGATGGGGTGATGCGTTGGCTATTCGCTTGTCGCACGCAAGAGGATCGTGGAAGAGCCGGGAAGGAGGAGGAGCCGCGAGTCCCATTCTCACAACAAAGACTCTGCACATGAGATCATCAGTTTGAAGGCGAAAGACTGTGGCCCCTTACTTTTTCCAGCAACGGACCACTTGGTCTAGATAGGAGGTGTTCTTGCGCGAGTTGCTCTCTTATTCTTTTTGAGTCTCCAAAAAACAACGACAAAAACCAATAACAGAGGACTGGCTTTATGGATAAGCTCGTCCTCTTTGCCCTCGGGACGCCCGAGGTTGTAAAATAGAAATTCTCTAGGATCAAGTTTATCACAAGATTCTCCACCATGGCCTTGGCCCCCTTGAATTGCTCTATGAATGTGAAATCATGACCTTGCCCCTTGTAGAGCGCAAGTGATATAAAGGAAACGTCCGTTTCCGAAACAGTGCCAGGAAGCGAAAGTATATGAGGTCCGAATTATTCGCCTTCTTCATACTTGTTTCCTTTTCGGAGAGGTGTCGTTTGTCAAGATTCGTGCTGTCTCTCTCGTGTTTTGCCCAACGCCTTTCTTTACTTCAGCTTCGTTCCCATGCAAAGTCATGGTCGCGCGTTCTCCCGTCCCGTCCCGTCCCATCACGTCACGTCACGCACAAATCACAGCGACAGGTTATTATAGCTAGCAAAAGTGCAAGTCTCAAGCCACACCGTCCCCGGGGTGTCGGGAGGTAGGCCGAGCTCAAGGAGGGAGAGAGCGTTTGTGGCTTGCGGATCTCCGAGAGCGAGGATGGATGGAAGCTGGTCGAGGGGGATTGGTCACAATTAGGATTTCTTTGTATTTAGCACTGAGAGCATGAGAGCATGAGAGCATGAGAGCGAAAAAGGATGAAGAAGGATAGATAATACTGGGGTTGTGACAAGGCAAGAAGCTCGTCTTTGAGTTCGGACCTCAAGACGCCACCCAAAAAGAGAAAAAAGAAAAAAGAACGCGTTGCGTGCTCAATCTGGCCAGAGTGGTCACAGCTTCCCCCATGCGCATGTCCATTTCCCACTGTCCCAAAAGGTCAAGACCAAGACAAGGGGAAGGTAACGGCATGGCGGGATTGCCAAGACCGTCAAGGGATGGGGAAAAGAAAAAAGAAGAAGAAAAATTGCTCCAAAACCGCGCACAGGGGGAGAAAAGAGGTCAAGCTATTATGAGGAACCGGGCGCGGTCTGGCTCTTCCCCCTTTTTTCCTCATGCCAGCTTCATCTTTCGTGGAGACCTTTCATTTCAACTCTCTCTCCCCTGCGCCAACGGGCTGCCTCAAGGCCTCCCAAAAAAATTCTTCTTCTTTTTTCAAATGTTGGAATACGGGGACCCGTGAGCTGGTGTTTTTGGGATCATAGTTTACCACCCTCGATAAGAAAGTGGTTAGCTACCACGTCCTCAAGGCGCCTTGCATTGGTATAGTTGCATTCTTCCCGATGCAGCTCTGCCCTTTCTTCCCATTCCACTATTAGCTCTGGGCTTCTTCACGAAGCTTCCCCCTTTTCTCCTTTGGAGCTCTGCAGATCGTACGCTATCAATTTGGACCCGTAATCTCCACGCCTGGCGAGCAAGGTATGATGGGGAGGGTTTGAGTATTGCAAGTTAGAGAAGGTAAAAAAAAAAGAAAAAGAAAAACGGGAAGCATGAGCACAAGCCATCATTTTAATCCCTGCTATTACAAGCATCCGCCCTCTTGAGTAAGATTATCACATATTATCACCTTGAAAAAAGCTGCTACCCCACGAATCCGAGCGCTCGCATGGCAAAAGAAGAGAATCAAAGCTCCTGTGACTGTGGCTGTGGGTATTATAGTGTACACTACAGCATAGTACCTACGTCTCGCTCGGCAAATCTGGAAATCCATGATCCCGAGAGGTGCAGCTCGTTCTTATCCAGCTCGTGTGATCGATTCGAGCGTGTGCGCGTGTCACTCCAAATTGATGTGCGTGATGGTTGTCTGCCACTGGGTTCTCCCCAATGGGTGCGCGAGAATGTGTGGGTGAAGTAAGAGCAGATGCGTGTGCGTGTGTGGCGTGTCCTTCTTTGTGCGTGTGTGTGGGGAGGTGGGCAGCGTCGCGGGCTGCTCCTGCCTCTGCTCTGATAGATAGCGAAATCCTGGGTTGACGCCATCGGTCCTTCCTTGATCGGAGCGTCAGGTTTGTGATTGACGCGCTTTCCTCGCTTGATGACTTGAGTATTCTGATAGTCCAGTCCAGTCCAGTTCACCTCGAACTGTGTGACGAGCTGGCCAACTCGGGGTTAAATCCCTCGTTTACATCAATACTCTCGCTCTCCTTTCGATTCAGTCTGCCGCCGCCTTCTTTTATAAAACCTTCTTCATGGCCTCCAGCATCTCCTCAACTTCCTGCCATTTCCAAATACTCTTTATCGCCCAGTGACTGTCGATACTTGTTGGCCCGAATCTAATCTATCGATTAGCCTGAGAGACATCAGAGGAGGGTGGGAAAAGCAAGGACGCAACAGACGTCCCCCTTTTTCCCGAAGCGGCACAAAGCTTCCCGGAATTTCTTACTGGGGCCCCAACTCCCCACGTTGCACTTTCTTCCGTCATCGTCATTCTTGCCACTCGATTCCAAGTCCGAGAACAGAAAGTCTAGTGGGAGAAAAAAATTGTTAAAACAAGGGAAAAATAGGGCAGGAAAAGAGAGATAGCCAGAAGAGAGAAGAATAAACGCGGCAAGATAAGAGGTGAAGAAGAAGAAAGAAAAAGAGTGCTGTCCACCCTTCCTCCTGACCGTCTGTCCGTTACACCTGGCAGACAGGGAGGAGAAGCTCTCGCAAGCTCTGGACCTGGATACCTCCCGATCATACCACAGCTCCCTCGAGGCGGGATCCTGCTCGGTAGCTTTTGACGCTAGGCCCGATCATCGTCCGAAACGGCCCACTCGCGTCGAAACGCGGCGAAGAAGCCAACCATCCAAGGACTATAGGGGAAGCAACATCGGTTAGCTCTCCTCACTAGCCAAGTTGTTGAGCAAAAGCGGAACCGCGCTGGCGGACGAGCACATCTGAGTGGTCCTCAAGACTGGAGAAGGCCCAGAGAGTTCAATTTCCCCAAGCTGTAATCCTCAAGAGGAGGGCAAGCAGGGCAAACAGGGCAGCAACTACGAAGTAATAACCGAACAATCTCGTAGGCAAGAGAGACCCCGGGCCAAGTCCGACAAGTGAACCACAAAACGGTCTGGGAGACACTGATTATTCTTTTCTTTCTTTTTCTTTTTCTTTCTGGGACCAGGGGTTACGATTAACTGTTGGTTTGCATTGCCAGTCTCACACCACCTCCCCTGATTATATTGAACCTTGGACTCGCTTTTGTCTCTTTTTCTTTTTCTTTTTTTCTTTTCCCCCTGCCAGCCGCCGCGTGCTACTTCCATCCAATCCCATTTGATACCTTGGTTACTCCCCTATTTCGTCACCACTTGACCTTTCTTCGATTTTCTTCCACTCTCTTTTTCCTGTTTCGTCCTCTTTTTCTTTTTATCCTTTCTCTCTCGACCAAGGCAGTGTAATAACCTTCGTCTCCCCACACATAATCGCCATGTCGTCTCCATCATCATCATCCCACTCGGGAAAGCGAAAGCGCCCTTCATCCACCGATGCCAACTTCCACATGATGGATCCTACATTACAACCTTCGTCGCGCGACGCCTCCGCTGAAGAAGGCGATACCACGGCTCCCGAATCTGGCAGGCTCCAGAGCCGCAAGCTCGAATTAACCACGTCGTCCTCCTCCGCCCATCCGTCTAAGAGGCAGCGGGCTAACTCGGACCGCGCCAATGCCGAGGCCAGGCTTGACCCCGGCGAGCCCAGCGACACTACCGAGGCCAGCGTAGACATCGCCGAGAGGGTTGGGCGCAGAGGTAGGAAGCCTTCCCTCATCACCAAGGATGAGAACGGTGAGAAGGCTGTTGCCATGGCTCCTCCCCCAATTGGCAACCTCGCCGACCCTGTCGGCTACAAGACGAATCCGCCTCCCGTTGGTAGACCTGTACGAGTCTATGCCGACGGAGTTTTTGATCTTTTCCATCTCGGGTAGGCTTTCCCCTTTCATACACGTAGTATTCAACCTAGACGCGTCGTTTTACCATGGCTAATCACGTTTTCTTACCTTGTCTTTTTGAACTGTAGGCACATGCGACAGCTCGAACAGGCCAAGAAGGCTTTCCCCGAAGTCTACCTCATGGTTGGCGTTACTGGCGACGAAGATACCCATAGGCGCAAAGGCCTGACTGTGCTCTCCGGCGCCGAGCGCGCCGAGACGGTGCGCCACTGCAAGTGGGTCGATGAGGTCGTCGAAAACTGCCCTTGGATCGTGACTCCCGAGTTCCTCGACGAGCATCAGATTGATTACGTCGCTCACGATGATATCCCCTACGGCGCCGACGAAGGCGACGATATCTACGCCCCCATCAAGGAGGCTGGCAAGTTCCTTGCCACCCAGCGCACCGAGGGTGTCAGCACGACAGGCATCATTACAAGGTAAGAAAAATACTAGCGTGGTGGGGAGAGGAAGAGGGAGACAGAGGCAAACTTTACACGAGGTTCTCTTCTTTTCTTCGCGCTCCCTCGGCGCACAAAGCTTACACCTACTCTTTATCACCTTTACAATGCTAACTTTGGCCGGTTTCGCCCCATTCTTCTAGGGTCGTAAGGGATTACGAAAAATACCTTGCTCGACAGTTCAGGCGAGGTGCTTCTCGACAGGAGCTCAACGTCAGCTGGCTCAAGAAGAACGAGATGGATCTAAAGCGCCACGTGCAGGACCTGCGCGAAAACATCCGTACCAACTGGTCCACTACTGGCCAGGAGCTTAGCCGCGAGCTCCGTCAGTTTTGGCCCGCCAGCAGGCCTCAGAGCCCTGCCCGCTACAACCCACACGCCTCCAACGGCGATACGCTATCCCCGCTACCGCACTCAGATCGCCTGGCCTCCCCGGTGGTCAGGGCAGCATGAACGACTTCGTGGCAGGATACGCCGTTGGCTTGATTGGCGGTGTTCGGTCTTGGGTATGTGCTATCCCCCACCTTACTCTCACCCGGGTTATTTGTGCTCTTCCCCCTTGGGGGTCTCTTGGGCTGTCGTATTCGTCAATGCCGTGGCGGGAAAGAGGTTGAACATGCTCGACGACGTTTGACTAACTCTGTTTTTCTTTTTCAGATGACGAAGAGCCGTAGCCGGGATTTGGACAGCCGGCCAGCGAGCGACGATGATTCCGAAGAGAGCGGGTCCGACAAGGTGCAGCTCCAAAGGCCCGCCTCCGCGAAGATCTAGGTAGTCTCCTTCCTACTCGCGTTACTCTTGGAACCCTCGGACCCAATCTTCTTTTTGACTTCACTTGTCATAATTTTTCTTTTGCCAGTTTTATATTTGTTCTGAACTGGCTGGTTTGTACAATCGTCTTAATATTGCGGTGCCTGCTCGTCTCGTCCTCGTTTCTTGTTCTCTCTCTTTTTATCAAGAAGCAAACACAAAAGGGGGATTGTCTGGCCATTTTCGAGCGGGGAAAGAAAGGCCGTTATTCGTTATAAACAATGTTCGCATCGACTGTCGAGGCAACACGAAGAAATTCCAAATGGAGGGGAGGGTGCTTCTCTTTTCCTATTCCTCCCACTCCCAATTTTTTTATCACTTCAGGACTTATTTGTTATTTTATTGCGCACGCGCAGGATACTGGGTTTATTAGAATCAAGGGAAAAGAAGATCAGAATGAGGAGGGTGGTGGCAAATGGAAAGCAAAACTTATCAACACGCTCCTCCTTCCTTCGCGCTTGATCATCTGAGTGAAGACAGGCGCCTCGGGTGAATTTTGGGAGGGAAAGGGAAGCGAGATAGATTGCGATGATGGGAGAAAGCAAAGGTAAAGCAACATGATATGGTTTGGCCCGAGGGGCTGATTCTTGCTTTGGCCGTGAGAGCTCAAGCCTGCTCGGCCGAGATGGAAAGAACGAATACATTTTTTTTTAACCGTTCACAGCTACGCCTATGTGTTTTCTAGGGGAAGTTGTGTGAAATGTGAGGTGGAGGGATATTAACTGGACGATGGCCCCAAGTGCTATGCAGGATCCCGGTCGGCTCCCCGGAGAACACCTTGGAAGAGACTGAATAAAGTCCGCGGGAGGGGAACAAAGATGGGCGAGTGGAGGACCGGGGGCGAGAAGAAGGATGGCCAAAGAGTTGGACTGGGAATTGGAAAGAACAAGGGCATGAGAGAAGGGGGAGGGGACGCCCGAGATGCTTCGTGAGCGTGTAAACGACGCAGCGGACATGGCGCGAACTGATGTGCCCGCGTCACACAGGATGAGAAAAGGGGAAGGGGGCTGGAAAGGTAGGGTTTTCCTCGAGCCCGGGACCAGCAGAGGATCTGTGGAAGTGAAAAAGGTTCGCGTGAGCTAGAAACGGAGGGAAGGCTGGCCCTGAAAGAAGGAAGGATTGGGGGCGTGTCGTTCTGCGTGCTGCTCGGGCCCATCTCGGCCTCGGACTTGGCCGGAGAGTGCCTAGGAAGATATTCAGGAGGAGGAGGAGGAGGGGGCGTTTACATGTGCCGTGGTCGAGAAAACATGCAGCTGTTACAAGGGGAAGGGAAGGAAGGGGGGAGCGGCGAGGTGAGGAAGAGGGCGAGGGAAACAATGCCCCAGAAGTTAGGCGCGCGAGGGTTGGTGCGCGCCAGTGGTGGCTGCAGACCCTCCTCCTGAGCGCGTTAGGCGCGAGAAGAAGGTTGGTTGAGGGCTGCTGGGGACGTCTCTCCCGCTGTGGGAGAAGAGGCGGGGGAGGGGCATAGAGAGGGGCAGAAGTGTATAAAGGGGGGCATCTCGGGTCTGGGGAAGAGAGGTGGCGGGGGCTGTCTCGGGCGCTTAAGGATCCTGCGAGGATGGGAAGCCATATCAGAGGCCGTTGCGGGAGGGCGGGAGAAAGGAAAGGGGACGTGGAGGGCAGAAGGGGGACTTGCGTTGGGATTGGATTCTGGGGGTTAGAGCGGCGGCGGGGGCGAGAAGGAAAGATACGGAGAGGAGAGGAGAAGGGTCGGCGAGGTTGGCGCATGGCAGACACGAGGGAATGCGAACTGGACGATGAGGGGGCATCGCTGCGTTTCAGCTGAGAGCAAAGAAAGAGGAGGAAGAGGAGGAGAGGGTGGTGGGGGTTATGTTACGCCAAAAGGGCCGTTCCGAGATTCACGGGGAAGCATCTCGCGCGGGGTGGGTGCGGAAGGTGAGAGAGAAGGGGGGCTTGAACGCGGGGAGCGCCGAGACTCAATGGGCAGGCTCTTGGTCTTGAAAGGGGGGCAACGGGGGTCCAAACCGGGGGAAAGGTCTATCACGATGAACGGGTGAAGCGAGAGGGGATGCGTGCCTGGGAGAGACTAGCCTTGTGTGTCGGTCGTATATCTGAGAATGGTGAAGAGGGTGTGTGTGTGTTACTTCTTGCGCAGATGTGTCTCTCCTTGGCCCTTTATCGAGATATCGGTGCGCATCGAACCTCGAAGGGCTCTCCCGCGTCAATCTCTCTCGTTGCGGGAACATTCCCAAACTGGAAGAATCGCCGCTCCGTACATTGGGGTCGGGTCCGCGGGAGCCTCCAGTCCCGTTTGGCATATGCATGATTTCGTGTAGGCGCAGTGCTGGCTGGGAGCTCCAAGGAAAAACGTCTCCCCGTACCCTCCTCCATCTCTCTCTTCCGGTCGTCATCCCCGCTGCCCCGGGGGCGGACATGAAAGTGAAGTGTGATATCAAAGCGCGGCAAGCGCGGACGGGTATTCGTTGGAGCGGGTGGCTTTTGGGCCGTTGAACCTCGCATCTTCGTGTTGTGCATATTCAGGACTATTTTACGCACCCTCTCCTGTAAACTACGTAAACGGGGTGCGTGCTCTCTTCTCATGTTATCCCGAAAGCAACGGCGGAGGGAGGGTTGCCGATACGAGCACACGTCGTGCGACAGCAGGCTTCTAGAAACGACCAAAAGGGACAAGGCTAGATATCGTATATGCTAGAAATGGGCAACCAGGCTGTCTTCGCCCTCCACGAAGTAGACCACCCATCCGGCCGGAAACCTCATCGAGCGAGCACACAATAATTCCTCTTTGTAAATACGGCCATGTCCGGCCCATCTCCACGTGGAGGGGGAACAAAACGCGAGGGCGCAGGGTAAGACGAAGCGAAGGAATGATACAGAGGCTCGACACGTTTCCGGGAGTGCTGTGCCGGATCGCCCACTACCCGAGCGGAATCCGCCCCCGGAAGGGACCATCCCCGTCAGCCCTACCATCTCCACGCCATTTTGTTCTTCTCCGAATCAAACCGACAATGAGGATGACGGCATAGGAAAAGTGAACAGGAGGCTGAGGGGCAAGGGGAATGAGCAAGGTGGGGGTTTGATTTGACGAAAGAATGCTGTTTGTTCGATTTCAATCGAAGCCTGTCAAGAGAAAGCGCTTACGCGACGATTAGCTGATGCCGGGAAAAGGCACTTCCTTCTCTTATTCTTCATCCGCTGTGTTCTGCATCTCCAAAAAGAAAAGCACAGCCACACACCCCGGCGGCTCCTCTTTCATCCCATCTCCAAGTGTTCTTGGCCTTTTTTGTTTTTTTTTTTTTTTTTTTTTTTCTCTACCCCCTTCCCTTTTCGGTCGCTTCTTTTTATCTCTTCTTTTTCCATCTTCCGGATGTCGGCGCTGTGGCGTAGCGATGTGGATTCGGAAGGACGGGCTGCCGGTCTATACTTGGCTGTGGACGTCCGCCCCGCGAATCTCCTTGGACGATCCGCGCCCCATCGTGGATCACCAAGTTTGCCCTGCAAGAGGATTCGGCTTCACTCGCCCGAGACCTGGCGTTCTTGCCTCCCCTTCTGCTCTCGGGAGCGTCTTCATCCTTGCGAATCAATAAGCCGGTTTGCTGAATGGCATGAAGAAAGGCGAGTCGAAAGTCTGGGCTTTGGGGAAGGAAGGAGCGTGCCCGGGGATCAGGCTACTCGTCGGCCGAAACAGGGCCAAACGGCCGAGAAGTGCACATTGGTGTTGGACCTCTCAGTTTCTACCTAGCCGGGTCTTTATCCTTGAATAGACTATCCGCTGTTCTATTCTATCCCCTTGTTTATGTGGGGTGTATGTGAAGAACCCAGAATGACGAGATGACCCTGTTCATCGTGTTTGATATTGGTGATGTTATCCCCGTTACAACTCGTCCACGAGGCTGTTTGAAACCCCCGCGGAGGAAACAAGAGAAGGGGACAACCACTCGGCCCACCCTTCCTTGTCGCTTAATCCTTCTTGACGGTGCTCGTTACTTCAAATCCTCTTCCCACTTCGAACCAGGGCAGCCTTCGCCTGTGGACAGAGGGCGGGAACCACACCGTCCACCTGGACGTGCTTGCCCTTGAACCCTCGTGCGGGAGATCGCCATTGCACGACATGTTAAGCGCGGAAGGAGGCCATGCCCTTTCCCTATCCTTTCTCTTTCTTCCACTCCGCCCCTCCTCTCTCTTCGGTAGGTATGAAACTCGAACAAGAGGGAGGTGAGGGGAACAGGGTCCACTCGAAATCTCAAACAAGCGACGGGGAGGCGAAAGAGGGCACACAAAATCTGAAAGGGGTAGGGGATGGCGATGTGATTGCTGGAATTAGAACAGGTTTTCGCGTCTAAGCTTGACATGATGGCCTCCGCCACAATTTTTGGGCGTGGTCGGGCGGCGGAGATGCGTGACACAAAGTCGCTTAACGGATGGTAAGAAGCCCGGATGGCGAAGTAAAGACTGCCAATCGTCGCCGCGCCAGTAGTAGGAAATGTCAGATAGGGCTATGTGTGGGGTGAATTTTTGCTTACTTCTTTTTTTCCTTTTTTTTTTTCCTTCCTTTTTCATCACCCCATTCGCTTGATTTTCCCCTTCGTCTTTATTCAATAGGGGCATAAATGGTTGCCTCTCTGATTTTTGAGTCTCCGTTTTGCCTTCAAACCCGTTGTGAAAAAGTAATTATTGACCAAGGCATACGAGAGGACGGCAGCGTGCGGACGTGGAGAGTTGCGGGGCGCCACGTTGACGGAACCTGCACCGACCGCCGTTGTCTCACTGGTCTCTGCCACCTCTTGACATCTCCGCCTAAAGGATTTAGGGTGTGTTCTAGCGGCACCGTCAGTTACCGGGACCTGAGGACGGCGTGGCGCAGTGCGTGCTGGTACAGTAGGCTTGTTATAGGTCGAATGTTTCTTCGCCATTTGTGTGAAACACCCAGATGTTGAGTGCTGCCTCTCGCCCAGCCTGGGGGAACTGGAAACAACAGGTTA